TTCATTGTTATTTAATGTCTTGTTTGTGCATTTTTAAATGGACCAGCTTGAACAGCGTTTCCGAAACCTTTTTCCTTCTAAAATGATGATGGTTTGCCTTGGGCAGCGGCTGCAGGGGCGGTGTGGCGATGCAGCCCATGGTCCAAGCAGCATTTATCTTCACGCACACACACGTACCTGTGGACGGGTATAGGCAGTGATGTTTGTAGATGGAGTTTGCCGTGCCATGCCATTGCTGCTTAATCCAGTTTATGAAGTTAATGGCCACTGGTTGCCTCTGGATTCCTAGAAGAAAATTGCTAAATATTGCAATTTTTGGTGCACGCCATTTATTTTTTTTTTTTGCATGCAGATAGATGGAAAATACAGTGAATTTTTGTTGCTTTCTAGTAGACCGGTGAATCTAACTTACCCAAACTGGTTTTTATGTTCTTGGTGTGGGAGAGGGTGGCAAAGCCTCCTCCGGAGCAATACCGAAGCGTTTCTGCAGGGGTGAGTGGTGGCGGGTTTCTGGGAGCCCAGATAACGTGCCACTGTTACAGGGAACGCTTCGTCACAGGCCTTGGGTTTCACAAAGGCAAAATTCCCCCCGGGAGCTTAGGAAATTTCTTCCCAGAACACAACCAGGGAAACGTTGGCACCAGTCGAAAAGAAAATAAATAGCAGAGCTGGCAAGAGACACAGCAGCTCCGTGTCAACAGAGCACGTAAGCGCAAAGTGTTTGAGCATGTGCTGGGGTCTGGGTGAAGCGAGGGGAGCGTCAGCGTTTGCTTAATCCCAGGGAGGGGCTTTGCAGAGTCGTGGTCTAAGACCTGTTTTTTCCAGTGGCCAAGGATTGCGTTAGTCTGGAGGTTTAAGAGCCCAGCGAAAGCCCTGGATCATCTCTGCGGGAGGTTAAGCAGTTTTGCCCGAGGTTTTCTGCTCAGAACAGATGCTGAATTGGGATTTTTAAAAATCTATTTTTTTATTTAAAACAGAGATCTTGAATTCATTTCAATTACGGACCTTGAATTCAAGATTTTGTGGGGAAAGTAGAGCAAGCCCGTGTAGGACACAGCACCAGTTACGGCCCTTGCAGCCAAGGGGATCCTGCAGACGAAGCTTTCCCCTGTGTAGTTTATTTATTGAGTAATTTGGTTTCACTGGTGATCTCAGGGGATCCCCCAAAAGCAGAGGGACTGTCCTGGCCAGCTTGTCCCCCCACATCCCCCAGCCACACCTCAGGGATCCCTGTGCTGGGACAGCAGCTACAGCGCGGCATTCCCAGGTGATTTTCTCAGTGCTTTTGCCCTGCTGACCCCATAAAAACAGAGCGAGAGGAAAACGGTTTGAAAAAGTCATTTCTAAACCCAAATAGGTGATCCCAGACGCGTTCCCCTTGTGTCCCCTTTTCCTAGCTGCACTGAGCCCCGTGCATCCTTTAAGGTCGCGCAGATCCGACCCTGTTCGGTCAGTTGAATCATTTCCTGTTTTCTTCAGTTTTTGAAGAACTCCAAGGCAAGCTGGAAATGTTTGCAGATAGGGTGAACCGACTGCTCCGGGGCCATGGGAAAAATACAGGCGTGTGAAATCTGTGGAGGGAGAGGACACGAGCGGGAGGTCGTGCCCGGCGGAGGGGCTGGCCCTGGCCCTGGAGCAGGTAGCTGAAGCGCTTGCTTTGGCAGGAGCGGGGTTTTATCCACCAGTGGAGGTTGCACTCGTGGTATTTTCCCTTTTAAAAACCGATCTGTGCGTTGAGGTGCCGATGCCAAGAGCATCTCCCCAGGCAGGTGCCTGTGTGGGCTCTCTTTTTCCCCCCAAACTTGTCCTGGCAGCATCCCCGCACCCCCAAAGCCCTGCTGCGGCGTGTGAGCAGTTGGTAAGGCTTTTCTTGCAGCTCCCTCTGTGCTGCTTTTTTTTTTTTTTTTTTTTCCCTTTAAATAAAAACCCCCTGCATTTCCAAGTTAATCTCTGTAAATGGTCAGGTACAGTCTGAGCAAGCCCCAATGCCCATGGTGGGTGTGGCTCTCATTTTTAAGTGCTTTTTGAAGAATTTGGTGCTTTGGCCTCGAGGTGTCTGGGTGACCAGCGTGTCCCTCCTGCACTGGAGCATCGTGGGCAGCTCTGACCTGGTGTCCAGCAAGGGCTGGTCATCTCACATCCCTCTTTAATTCCCAGTGCTGGGATTGAGCTGGTCAAGTTGGTCCTGAGTCCTGGTCCACCTCTGTCCCCCCTGGGCATTGCAGCTACGGCCAAAATTCCCCCTGCTTTTTGCCCCAGGACTCCAGGACCCACCTCATTGCTCACTGTCGGCATGCACGGGTGCAGGTGGGTGCAAATGGGTGCAGGTGGGTGCAAATGGGTGCAAGTGGGTACAGATGGGTGCAGGTGGGTGCGGGCGGGTGCATCTCCAGCCCTTGCTTTGGCCAGGGGTTGCTGAGTGCTGGTGCTTGGCCCTGGGGGAGGCTTTGCTCTCTCCTCCCTGCTTTGGGGTTCAGCGGGACTGGGGGGGTTCAGGCTGTCAGTCCCGGAGGGGCTGTGTTTGGGGAGAGCTCAATGTGAGGGAGCGAGTCGCAGGGGGAATGGAGGAGGCGGTTTGGTGTGGTCAGCCTCCCCGGGAAGGTGCAGCTTTGAGTAACGGGGGGGAAAAGTGGCTTTTCTGCATTCGTATTCCCAATCCCACCCCAGCTGCGCGGGGATGGAGGCTGCAGTCACGCCAGAGCCATCCCCTGAAACAACTCCAACCCACCGTGAACCCTGCCAGCTCCAGTATTTCATAAGCAGCTTGAGGAGAGCTGTGCTGTGACATTTATTTACATCCCATTGAGCTGGCGGGTGTGGGGGGGGCGTCGGAGCAAGCGCTGGACGGGGCGAGTTGGAGTTTTTCCCCCCGCAGTGAAGCAGTCGTGGTGGGTTTCCACCTCCCCTTGCCCCGTCCCCAAGTCTCACCCCATCTCCAGCTCTCACCCTGTTGCATTAAACCTGTGACAGGCAGTCGGTGCTTTGGGGGGGGGTGGGGTCCAGAGCCCCGGTTTGCCAGGTGGCCACGGTCACCGCTCACGGCACGGGGACACATTCTCTCTGTGGCACGAAGTGGCTATTTCTTGGGATTTTTTGGGTTTCTCTCTCACCACCTGTGCCTCCGTCCCCCGCCAGCAGCAGCAGCGTCACCCTGGCTGGGTGTGTTTGTGTGACCGGTGGTGCCTGCGCTCGGCGCGGGTGACGGTTGATGTCCTGGGCCTGGGCATCCCCTGGCCCTCTGCAAAGTGGGGAACCCAGCTGGGGGGCGGGGGGGCGGGGCAGGGACACGCGTTGAGTAATATTCATCGTATTTTGCCATTGGCATGAACGCGGTGCCCCTGGGGTGGATGGGCGCTGCGGGGCTGCTCGCTCCATCCCCCTCGGCAGCCGGTGGCTCCGTGGCCGCGCCGAAGGGGAGAGGTGGCAGAGCCATCCCCCAGCGTGGCAGGTCCCTGGGGGGTGGCTGCTCTGCGTGTCCCTGCCCGGCGCTCCTGTGGAAAACCCCTTCTTTGAAGGGATGGAGGAGACAGGATCGGTCCCCGGAGGGACTTAGCCAAGTGATGAGCCAGCAGTGCCCCGGTGATCAGCTCTTCGCTGCCCTCCGTATTTGCCCCACCGTGACATGCAGTGCCCAAAAAGCACCTGGTGGCACTGCAGACGGAGTTATTCCCCACCATCACCGGGACACGTGAAGACCCTGCGGAGAATCCGGCTCCACGGTGGGAGTGGGAAACGTCCTCTGGCTTGTTCGCCTCTTGCCGCGCAGGGTCCACGTGCAGCTGGAGCCCCTTGGCATCATCCCTGGGGGTCCCCTACGGGGATGGTGGCCAGGCCAGGTCTCCTGGGCATCAGCCATGGGCGCCCTCAGCTCCCGCAGCCCTTCCCGGAGAGGAAGCAGCTTTTAAGTGACATCGAGGGTGTTTTTACAGAAATAACCCCAAAGTGCTGCAAGTGCGAGGAGCTGGTGGCGCGGTTTGGTGCTTCACGGTACTTTTTGGCGAAGACGGGAAGGTGGAGGAAATCGCTGCGTGGGTTTTTAATTTGAAGGGAAAAGCTGCACGAGATTTCACCGTAAACGCGATCTGGAAAGAAATCAATTAAGCAGGAGGGGAGCGGCATTTCTTTTAATGAAAGGTTAAAACTCAGCCACGGGGGATGTTTTCCTGAAACCACAGATGAAAATGCAGTCCCGTATCTCCGAGGCGGCTCTTGCCAGGGATGCGGTGCTGTGCCGGGCGCTGGTGCTGCCCAGTGCGTGGGCTGGGAAGGGGCTGGGGGGACACTGGTGGGGAGAGCAGCATCTGAGGGAGTGTGATGGGTCCTGCAGGCCTGGAGAAAAACCGGTGTCTGTTGCTCCCCCAGCTGCCTCGAGGAGCCATAAAGCATTTTTCCGTGGGATGGGGGGAAGGCGTTAAACTCCTCACGTGCTCCTGTACCGTCCATCCTACAGCAAGCTCAACCTTCCCGTGCTGTGGGGAGCTGTCAGGTGTGGGGTTCATCACCCCGGCCCCCAGAGCCCCTCCGTTGGGAAGTGATCGTACCCACGGGTGATGCCAATGTCACCAGGACCAAGGGCACGGCACTGCCTTAAATAAATAACTAAGGTTAATCCAGTGTCTTGGTGAGCCTGTGTGCTTTGCCTGGGCTCTCGGGTTTGGTTCCTCCCTGCCCGGGGCTGTGGCCGTGGGGCTTGGCTGCTGCTGGGGGGGGTCTTGGCATATGGGTGGACTATATCTGAGCTGCTTCTGGCAAAGGAAATGCATTTTTTTGTTGTTGTTTTAATTTTTTCTGTAATGGTTTTGGACAATTGATTTTCTAAAATAGACTCAATGAGAGGAAATTCATTTGTTAACCTGTCCCTATTCAGGGGAGTGGGAGGACAGAGTGCAGATATGGTGCTTCCTTGGTAGCTTTATTTACGGTTGCGTCTGCTTTAGAGCTAAACCAAACCTATAAATTAAATGTTTTGTCTCTTCCCCAACCTCTCCTCTGTTGATCAGGATTTAAATGGACAGAAGGAGCTGTGCCCACGTCTCTGCCACCTGAAGAAAGGCCCCAGTGGCTACGGCTTCAACCTGCACAGCGAGAAGTCCCGGCCGGGGCAGTTCATCCGCTCGGTCGACCCCGACTCGCCGGCCTTCAGAGCGGGGCTGCGGCCCCAGGACCGGCTGGTGGAGGTAACGGCGTGGGGGTCCGGCACCTCCCTCCCCGGGAAGCCTTTTGGGGTTTCCTCAGTGTACACCGTGCGGGGGTGTTCGATCCTGCCCCAGCCTGGCAGGGGCAGCCGGGTCCTGTCCCCCTCTTGCAGGTGGGGGGAGAGCGACAGCAGAAGTGATGGGACCCGCGGGAAGCCCGAAGCTGAGACAACCCCCCCCCATCCCGTGACCTTTTCCATCAGATCCCCCCGTGTGTTCTTCCACAACACAGAGCCATAAGACCGACGTGGGTGCTTAGGCAGCGACTTGCTGGTCCTTCAGCAGCTCATTCAAGGCGGGCACTTGCGAGCGCTGACATCTAGATGATGCTGCCAGCTCCAGGGGAGGGTTGGAGCAGGCGAACCGCTGCCCCCGCGCCCCTCCGGGTGGTTTGGAGGTGGCAGTGGGGTCCTGCGAACAGATGGGGTGCTGGATGGGTGCCCATCTCCCCCCTACTCCAACCCAGCAGCACGGCGAGCCCCGTAGTTGGGTGGCGTTGCCTGATGCTGCTCGGTGCAGGAGCTGGGTCTGCCCGCTGCAGCAAAAGGGGTGTGGGGGACACGTGGGACCCGTCCCAGCGCTGGGGATGGGGGGACCTCCTGCCCCCAGCCCCCCCCTCAGCCTGCCAGGGGTGCAGGGACAGGTCAGTGCTGCCCAACCGAGCTGATGCGCTGCCAGGCAGGTGTTTTGAAAAAGGGGGCGGGGGGGCGGGAAGCTTTGCAGAGATTTTTAAGACACAAAATTGTGAAAGATGGGGAGAAACTGCTCTTGGAAGCAGCTTCCCGTCACTGAGTGCTGGACAACACAAGTTTTGCTGTGGCTGGGAATTGTCCTCCCTCCGGCTTGTTTGTGCCTTGTGTTTTTTCCCCGAAGAGCTCTGGGCAGCGGGACGGGCAGGGCTGGTTCTGGCAGCCATCACCCCTCTCGCTGCGGGAGCACGTGGACATCCCCGGCTCTGGGTGCTGCGGGGTCCTTCCCCACCAGAGTGAACCCCAAAACCCTCCCGTGGGGACCAAGCTGTGGCCTTTGCCGCCGGCTCGGGGGCAACGTGTGGAGTTTGTGCTCCTGGAGGAAAACGCTCACGTCCCGCAGAACTGGGCAAGTTGGGGAAATACCAAGACCACAGCACTCGCCCGCTTTCTAGCCCCGTGACTAATTGTTCCCCGGCCGGTGGGAGCTGCTGCCTCTTCCCAGCACCTGAAAGTTTAATGCCAGGAGCAGCGTGGGGCCGGGGCTGGGAGCGGGGCACTGGCGGCAGCGGCTCCCGGCAGCGTGGTGTCACGGCGAGGGGTTGTGTTATTTATTTATCGGTGCTTGGCAGAGCGCCTGGCACACACAAAGCGGCGAGGGGTGAGCTGGCGAGCTCGGCAACCTGATCCCCTCCCTACCTGCTCTTTGGGGCTTTGATAAATATTTGATGCCCCCCCCCCCCCCTCCCCGCCTCCCCAGCCCTGCAGCCCTGTGCTGCCTGGCCAAGCTCAACCAGGGGTGAGCACTGGGCATGAATTGGGGTGAGCTGGAGTGGCAGGAGGGTGCTGCTGGGGACAGAATGTGGTTACAAGCCAGCAGCTGAGGTAGTAGCCAGTGAGATGCAAAGCCTGGGGAGGGGGTTCCCCTTGTCCCGAGCCCTCAGGACCCACTTCTGCCCCAGGTTTGTGTTCAGGCATCCAAAACACAAAGGGGAACCCAAAGTTTGGAGCTGGCCCAGCTCAGGCTCTGCAGTGTTCACCTGCCTTGTCCCTTTGGGGTGGGGACGAGCAGCTGTTGCCTCTGCAGCCCCCCAACAGCCTCAGCACGACCCAGAGGCGACGGGGGCTCATCCCTGCTGTGAAATAACCGGGGCTTTGCAGCGAAAGGGTCCACGGCTGGGCCAGGACCAGCCTCATCTGCTGTCCCGCTTGCCAGCGATGGGCTGCAGCCTCCTGGGAGCTGCTGGGGCCGCCGGGATGGGGTTACCCCGGCTCCTGGGCTCGGACCCTGGCTCTGCCATTGGTGTGCTCTGTTCTTTGGGGGCTGGCACGGGAGAGGGCAGTTGTGTGTCTGCAGGCGGAGGAGGGATAAAAATGTGTTGATGCTGGTGATCCTGGGGAGCCGTGGCCCTGCAGGAGAGCAGGCATGTGCATCCAAAGCATGCAGTTAGAACGTTATGTGTGGCTTAAAAAAAAAACAAACAAACAAACAAACAAAGCCTGCTGTCCACTTCTCCTAACTAAGGTCTTTCTGTGCTAGACGGATTTCTGAAGTCTTTGATTTGTTTCACAAAGCTGTAGTAATGGAGTAGCTCTTTTTAAGAGGAGGAGGTTACTCTGTGCCCGGTGATCTCTGCCCCAGCCAAACTCACGCACGGCTCTGCCATCCCACGGGTGGGCACCGGCGGGTGCCAGAGGCAGGACAGGCAGCGAAGGGTGGGTTGAGCTTTGCCGGGGACGGCGGGCCGGAGCGTGGAAAAGAGTTTATCACACAAAACCGGGTCCAGCAGCGAGGGGCCGGGCTGTGCGGAGACCTTCCCCTGCGGGACAAAGGGTGATTCATTCCCCAGCGCGAACAATGCCTCGAAATCACAATTGTCCCCTCGCTGCGGGGAACAATCGGGAGCAGAGGATCACGTTCCCCGGTCGGTCCCGGCTCGCACGCAGGGAAGGGAGAAATGAATCCCTGCAGCGGGCACGGGGACTCGCCCGCCGGGGACAGGGGAAATCCGTGGTTTTCCATGCTGGAGGGATGAGCCGGTGGTGTGGTGCTGCCGCGGCTGCCTGGGCAGGGTCGGGGAGCGGGACAGACCGGGGACACCCAGCCCGCTGTCCCTGCACATGGTTGCACCCCGTGGGCGGCCTGAGATACCTGGGGCGCATCCGAGGTGAAAGCTGGGTTTGAAATCACTGAACCAGGGGAGCCCGGAGTGTTTTGGCAGGACGTGGGTGGCCGAGGAGACGGCAGAGTCTGGGGTGTGTGGTTCCTGCTGGGTGTGTTTGGGGCGCAGGCGGAGGTGTGCAGTGACATGCAGGGTGCTCTGGCAGAGGCACGGCGCAGGTGGTAGGAGGCCGTGGCTAGCTTGAGAGGGGGAAGGAAAAAGCGTGTAGCCTTCCTGTCATCCCAGCAGAAATGAAAAAAAAGGAAAATCCCATCCCTTAGGGAATGAGGAGTCTGCTCTGGGGGTCTCTGAGCTGGGACCAGCATCTCTGCTGCGGGGGGGGGACAGCCCTGGGTTCTGATGCCGTCGCTTTGCAGGTGAACGGGATAAACGTGGAAGGCCTGCGACACTCGGAGGTGGTATCCCACATTAAGTCCAGGGAGAACGAAGCCAGGCTCCTGGTGGTGGACCCCGAAACAGATGATTACTTCAAGAAGCTGGGAGTGACCCCCACGGAGGAGCACACCAAAGGTGAGACCTCACTTTCCCAGGGTGACCCTACGCCGTTCCCTTGACTCACCGTGTCATGGGTGGGATTTCAGAAGTGAGGGAGAGTCATGTTTCCTTTCTGTCTCATCCCGCAGTGGTTTCCTGAGCACCACCCAGCTTTTTATAAATAGAGAGAATACTTCCTAATCTAGCCAAACCCCAATTTGTTATTTTTATCAGAGGTGAATAATTAACTTAGGAACTTGCTGCCATAAAGTGGCAAAGCGTGGTGGGTTTGGGGGGGAGCTGGGTGCTCGGTGAGCGATGGGCTCGCTGAGGGATGCTGAGATGGGACTGGTCCATCTGGTTGGGGCTGGGAAGCCTCCCTGACGGCTTTTCCTCAGGCCCCTCCGTTTTCGGGTGCAGCACCCACACCCTGGGAGACGGGGTGTCTGGCGTTGGAGCGGGTGGGCTCCGGCGGAGCAGAGCGCTCTGCCGGGGGTGCTGAGCTGGGGTCTGGGGTTGGAGGGTGCAACAAATCCCCCACTGCTCTTTGCTCCGGCGAAGGAACGTCGAGAAATACCGGCGCAAACGCGGCGTGTGCGCAGGAGGAAGGGTTTCACGCCGCGGCGATCACAGGGGGTGGCGGTTGCAGAAAATATTTCCTTGCTGGTGAAACCTGGCAGAGAAAGCTGCCTGTCCACTCCCCGACCTGCTTGCGCGGAGGCTCCGGGGTGGGGAGGGAGCGGGGCCCTCCCCGGCTGAACGGGGAGCTCTGTTTCCCAATGCAGTTTTTATCTGATCTGCACCACACATGCTCCCTCGGATGCTCAATGGGGAGATTTGTCCGGAGAAATGGGTCAAAGAAGTGCTGAGGAACGCGCGGGGCGAGAGCGGTGTCAGATGCTCCGCATCGGTTCGAGGAGGAGCTGGGGCGAGAGCCGTCTGCTGGCACCGGCGATAAAGGAGCCCTTGTTCCCCCCGCCCCCCTCCCCGGGGTGGGGACACAGCCAGGGCCACGGGTGCGGGGGGGTGCGGGGGTGCTGGAGCCCCTGCCTTGGCTGGGCAGCTCTGCTGCCGTCAATGCATTCATCAGCCATCAAGATTTGGGTCTGCCCGGCCGGTGACAGTACGGGGCTTGATGACAAAGGGCTCTGGTAAAGTCTGTTTGCAGGGTAAGAGGCAATAACGTTTGCGCCCCGTAACCCAGCTGTGTCCACCTCCAGCTGGCAATTTCAAAGTCTTCCAGCTGATCCTAAGCACCTCGACGTTTCAGCCAGCGTGTGTGTTTTAACAGCTATGCACCTTTCAGGATTAAGGAAATAAGAAAATATTTCAAGACATGCCAAATTTTGAAATTGCTGGTTTTTCTTTTTTGTTTTTTTGGTTTTTTTTTTAGTCCAGTTCCACTTTAATATCGCTTGTGATTTGAAGCTTGCTTCGCATTTAAATTACATTATCTTTTAGCTTCTTACGGTACCAGAGACTTTAGCATCATTTTCGCTATGAGCTGACTTTCTTCTCATGACCGTTGCTCAGAGCTTATCATACTGTAAACATGGGTCTGACGTTCAGTATGATAAAATACTCAAGGATCCCAACACAGTAGCTGAGGCTTTTGCACTAGCATACTCTCAAAATTATAAGTTTTGGGTAATGCGTTTAGCATTGCCGTGAGCGTGGTGACTGGCAGCTTATCTGCACAAAATATGCCATTGTGTGGGATATTATTAGTGCAAATCGTTGAAAGTGAGCAAAAAAAATGCCAGGGTACCTGGGGAGTGGGTTGTTTGCCACACACTGGTGACACTAACAAGCTGCTGATTTTGGCAAAGAACGTTGGGTTGCTTTTTAAGATCCCTGATTTAACAGCTTCTGAAGAATAGTGACTTAGCAGTTAAAAAAATGAGAGTGTGCTGAATTTAGTGCTCATGGAAGGAAGTTACCTGGTCCCCATCCTGGAAAGTGTTTTCTTCTGATGAAAATAGGGTTGTTTTTTAAGATTCCTGATTTAATAGCTTCTGAGGAAAAATTACTTAACAGCTAAAAAAAATGGGAGTGCGCTGAATTTAGTGCTCATGGAAGGAAGTTGCTTGGTCCCCTGCCTGAAAGGTGTGTTCTTCTGAAGAAAACACGGTGAAATCAAATGTAGTCAGGGGAATTGGAGAGAATTTGGTTCCAGAAGGGCACAAGGGGGCTGGAGAGGCTTCCGTGTGGGCGCGGAAGCGGCGCAGGACAAAGTCAAGAGATGAGACACGTGGAGCTGGTGGAGTGGGGCTGGGGATGGCTGGGTGGGGGATGCTGAGGGGTGCTTGCCTGGGACCCCAGCCCAGGAATCCCAGCTGAGCGTATTTACGGCGTCTTTTCTTTCTGTGGTCTGCAGGTGTGGTACCTCAGCCCTTGACAAACGGATCCGCACAGACTCAGGTGAGCAGTTTTGCCGGCTCCGGGCTGCCCCGACGGCCGGGGTGGCTGGGCAGCACCCTGGGTCAGCACAGCCGGGGGGGGGGGGTCGTGCTGGAGCCATCGGGAGGGACGGGGGGAGAGGCCAGGCCCCCCAGCTTTCCTCAGCTCCCACCCGTGACACGGGAGCCTGTCGGGCTGGGATGCCAGCCTGCGGAGCGGCGCGGGGATGCTCACGATATTCACAATGTCCCCGAGGCTTGTTTCACACAGCTCGGCTGCTGCTGGCTGATTTTAATTGCTGCATTAAAGCTGCAGTGGGAACAAGGCTGGGTTTGGCCCCATTGAATCGTTGTCCCCAGTGACGGAGGGAGCTGGCAGGATGGGGACCGCGCTCTGCCCGGTGCGGGGGATGCAGGAGAGCAGCAACCTGCTGGCAAATCCTGGGGAGCTCCTGCGTGTGCGCACGTGTGTGTGTGTGTGCGCACACGTGTGCAGGGTCCCTTCAGCAGGACCCTCCCCTCCCGGCTCCCTTCCCGTCCCTGGATGAGCCGGCGATGCTCTCTGCCTGGCAGGGCGGCTGGGATGTCCTTCCCCACCAGGCTGGAGTGGTTTTCTGCCTAGTTTTTCATTTATTGATTTTTTTTTCCTAATTCTGTCTTTGTGCAAACCGGACTAACATTTTAATTTCCACTAGCTGAATGGAGGATCCACATCTTCATCTCACAGTGACCTTCAAAGTCCTGGGAAGGAATCAGAGGTAAAAACCTCAAACAATTCCCTTTTACGTACTATTGTAGGTACAAGCCTTATGGTGATGTAACAATGCCTTTCAATGCATTTTCAGTTTGGGGTACGCTTGTATCCATCCAGCAAGCAAAATCCAGTTTTCTTTCATCCCTTGCACTGGAGATGTGCGTGAGATGGAACCGTGAGCTGCCAGCCATTGCTGGTTCCAGCGCGGAGGTGGCCGCGTTGCTGGGGTGGATCAGGAACCCCTTTGGGTGGCTGGTCGGGGGCTGGGGACCCTCAGGGTGATGTGTGCTGGAGCAGCACAAGCTGCTGGCCCAGAGATGTTCTTTCCCCTCTTTGGCCGGGGGGACAGAAAAGCTTGGGGGGGGGGTGGGGGGGGTGGGGGTCGTGGGGCCTCTGGCAGCAGCAGCGGGACATGACGTATTCACAGATGAGTTTTGCAGGGGGGTGCGGGTGCGTGCCCCACTCTGGCTCTGGGAGGGCTCGTGGGTGCTGGTCCTTTCGGGCACCGCGACCTCGGGGAGGGGCTGGCACTGCCCCAGCCCGGGGAGAACGGCAAGGGTAATGGCAGCGAGTTAATTGGCGCTTCGCTGGGCAGTGACTGGTGCTCAGATAGTTTGAAAGGAGGTATAAGATGAAAGGACGTCTGCGAGAGTTTTGGATCTTAAGTGTGATTATACTGATGAGGTACAGGGGCAGGAGGCGAGACTGGAAAGCCGGGAGGGCAGGAGGAGCGGAGCTGTGAAGTTCAAGTGCTGCTAACAGGAACGAGGCGGGCTAAAATTTTAAAAAGCCAAATTGCTTTTGGCTTGGAGCATGGTGAATTTATCCCAGTGTTTAAAGGAGCTGCTCAAGATGGGGGGAGCAGCGTGGATTTGATGACCCGAAGGGCTGGGGCTGTTTTTCTGGGGGAGCCTGGCTGAACGCTGCAGCGAAGGGCAGACCTCGCTGTGGAAGGTGAAACACAAGGCACGGGTTGGTGTTCTCTCAGCGTTGCTAATTTAGCAGGTTTTTTCCTTAAAATAATGCTAAGTGGGGGATTTTTCAACCGCTCAGAAATTGATCTTTAGCATGAGGCTCTGCTAAAAGTAGAGGAATGCCTCCGTGCAGGTGCTCTGCGGGGGCTCTGCTGGTTCTCCGTGCTGGTGCCATCCCCGGCCCCGAGCGGGAATCTGACGGCAGCGAGTGCTCGCGCAGCCTCCCCCCGAGCCTCGAAAACACCTCGAACGCCAGCTGTGCCCGGGAGCCGTGGCCAAACGCCTGCAGTCTGGCATCTCCGTTTCTCTCTGAGCATTAAATAATACATGTCCCGATCCAATGGCCGCTGCCTTTGGGAAAGGGGGCTGCGTCCCGCTGTCCTGAGCGCAGCGGTTCCTCCCCACGGCGTCACCTTTGGGCTGTTTCAGAGATCCCTGTCCCACCTCGGCGTTAAGCAACCGGAGTCCCCCGGGGGGCTGGCGGGGGGTTTGCCCGTGGCTCTGCCCCCCCCAGCTCCTAGCCTGCCGTGCTCAGCCAAGCCACGGGCCGGTTCAGTTTGCATTCGTTAAGGCAGAGCGAAGCTGAAGCCATTATCTTGCAGCGCCCGGTGGCCGAGCTGCCCACGGTTATCAGCAGGGCTTGTGAACCCATTGTCACGGAGTTTCGCCTGCGTGGTAGGGCAGCAACGCGAGCAGAGAGGTTTTAAAGTGTTTCCTTAAAACCGGCAGGTCTTGGTTCTGTACGTGTTTAGCTGCTGTGGGCGTGAGCACGGTGCTTGCAGAGCGCAGCCCCCCGGGTGCTTCTGCCCGAGCCGGGCTCAGCACAGACGCAATCGGACGAAGCAGAAGCTTTAGGTTGTGGCTGCCCACTGAAACCAGCTCGGGTGAGCCAAGGCCCCGCAGCGATGCCGCTTCCCAGACCTGTGTGGTTTGAGGGGCTCGGCAAACCCAGCGGGGATGCAAGGGAATAAAAGCATTTTGGCCAGGATCTTAATTGTCCCCTGAGGACGTGGTTGGCAAGAACACGAGGGTCGAGGGTTGGTCTACTGGCACCTGGGGCTCCTGGCTTGAGGTCACGTTGCCACAGGGACTTTAGAAAGTTAATTTTCTGATTAGAAAAGTACTTTTATTAAGCAGATGGAGAGATGTTGCTTTCCGTACAGTTCCCATAGCAAGTCCTGCCTTGAGTGGTGTCCTGTGGTGGCCGTGCTGGGCATGGCCAGCTGGGCAGGCACTGCTCTCCTCCCCTGCCCCCCCGCCTCGGTGAGCCACGGCTGCTCTGGGAGCAAACGGGTGCCCGGGCACCCAAAACCGAGGGAGGGGGCTTTCCCGCAACCCCTCCCTGCGAGCCCCGAGGCTCACCCGGCTTGCTCCCCCCATCCCTGCTTTCTGCCTACACGAGGGGCTGATTTTTTCATTTTCCCAGCAGAGGAGCAGTTTGTTTTCCCTCCGGGAGCAGCTTCTGGGTTTCTGCTTTTCTACTTCTAGCCGTGGCAGCCACGCATTGTTCAGGCGGCGGGGGGGGGGGCAGAAAAAGGAGGAAAAAAAAAAAAAGAAAAAAAAGACACCACCACAGACTGCAATGTAGTAATTAACTCTGTGGCCGCACAGATGCTGCTGCCAATAGTGAAACCACAGACGCGGCAGGGGGGGATGACTTTGACCTTCTGCTCCAAAAAAAAAAAAAAACAAAAACCCCACCCCTGCGCCTTGGCTTGTCGTGCACGCTGGGGGAAATGCCTCTCCTGAAATGTTGCAGGCCACCACGGCTTTGCTCGTGGCAGCGGGGGGGATGCTGCCCTGGGCTGACACCTTTTCTCCCTTCTCCGCGCAGGATGGAGACGCGGAGAAGAAAGACCCGTTTGAGGAGAGCGGGCTGACCCTGAGCCCAACGGCTGCCGAGGCCAAGGAGAAGGTGCGGGCCAAGCGGGTGAAGAAGCGGGCTCCGCAGATGGACTGGAACAAGAAGCGAGAGATTTTCAGCAATTTCTGAGCCTGGCTGGTGGCTGCCGTCCGCCGCTCTCCTGCCCCAGCTCGGACGTTTCTGAGGTGCCTACGCCCTGTCCTTCAGTGTCCACGTGAGATGCTTTGTGCTCTGCTCTTCACTGGTTGCTTTTACAAGGCGTATTTTAAAGTCCTTTTTTTTTTTTTTTTATTTTTTATTATAATTATTATTATTATTATTATTGTTACCCACCAGCGATTCTCATAAGACAAATGTGACCAAAGCTCTTTTTTTTGCTTGCTCTTCAGCCTGGCTCTGGCTGCCAGCTGTCCCCTGTTCCTATGAGAAAGGACTGGAAGAGTTTAACTCTTGTTTCTTACCTGCATCATTTAGGCTTCTATTACTTTTTTTTTTTTTTTTTGAAGGGGGGTGGGGTGTTTGTTTTGGTTTTGCGGGTGTCCCAGACTGAGCCCCAGGGGATGCTCTGTGTCCCTGTGCAAATGTCTTACGGGCTCGTGCCTGCACCCCGGTGGGGGCCCGCAGGGTGGGGTGTACCTGGCACCCCCTCCCCAACACCCTGTCTGCAGTGTCAATGGGAAAATGAACAGCGGCTGTAAATGGCTTTTGTTGGCTTTGCTATTGAAATGAAAAAGTTTGTTTTGTTTTGGGTTTTTTTTTTTTTTTTTTTTTTTTTTTTTTAATGAAGTCCCATATGTTTCCAGCTAGTTTAGGAACCTCCCTCCCCACCAGTGACTTCTGCCCTGGCAGTAAAGGCCCCTTTTTCATCCCCGGCAGCTCTGCAGAGGGGAGAGGGCAGGATTTAAAAACAAAACCCAACCCCAACAGCCCAAATGCCACAGGCTTCACCATTTGCAGCCATCGACGCGGCGCTGAGCGGCGGGGGAAGGCAGGGAGCGGGGCCAGTCCTGCCCCACGGTGCTGGGAACGGTGCTGCCACCCGGCTCCAGCAGCTTTGCAAAAAAGACAAGAACCACAAGATGCTACAAAACCTCTTTGGACAGGCTCGAAAGCGAGCCCGACCCAGCCCGTTTCCAGGGAGGAACGCGGGGATCCGGCTCCGGCTGCGGGCTGGGTCCGGGTCGGTCCCCACCTGGTTTGTTCCTTCTGGGCTGGTGTTTGGTGCCTCCAGCCCACGAGCACAACCGAGTCTGGGTCTCGCCGTCGGGAAGGCGTCCTCCGAAGCCGTGGGGTCTCCGTGGGGCTGGCTATGAAGCAGGCAGCGGGGTGATGGAGTGGGCAGTTGCTTCGGCTTTCTCTGGCCTCCTGTGAAAACACCCTGCTCTTGGTATTAGAGCCTCAAACACGTATCTTTAAAGCGTTACAAATTAAGCCCCTTTAAGCTCTTTATGACTTGCCTTGGGCTGTAAATGAGGGAAGATGACCAAGCTGAACACCACCGCTCTCCCGGGGGTTGCAGAGGTGTTTTACCAGCGCAGGGTCCCGGCCGTGGTGGGGCTGGCCCCCTCCTCGCACACCAGCAGCTCCCCAAGCCCGGCCGTGGTGGCCGCCTGGTATTTCAGCTCAAATGCCAAGGCAAGTGGGAAGGGACTGGGCACAGCAGAACAGTCGAGTACAAAACCCCTTTCCCCAGCTAAAAGCGAACGGCAGCAATCCCTCGGACATCGGCGACCGTTTGAAAACACACGGCTGTGATTTTTGCCCTGCTGTACTCCAGCACTGCTGTTACAAGCCCAGGGCCTTTTGGGTTAGCGTGCTACGGATATTGTAACGTGTTTCCCAAGTATTGAGCTAAAAGGTGCCTTATTTACAACATTTACTGCTCTCCTCGGCAGTGGGATGGGGCTCAGCACAGCGGCAGGTTGGTGCAGGGCAGGGGGACCGCAGCAGCAGAGCCAGGACATTTGGCTTCAGCGTGGGGAGCACGGAAGGCCTCAGGGGTGAAGGAGATGAGTTCTCTCTTTTATGAAAGTTACCTTGTAGGAACGTTGATGGGCTGAACGGGTTGAAAATAATGGCTTTGGAGAGGAAGTGGTGGCGGTTTGGCAATGGCAGCGGGATGACAGCTCAGGCTGCAGAGGTTTGCCTCCCCTCCAGGACTCTGCCATTCACAGGACACCTCTTCCCTACCCCACTTCAAAGACAATAGCCTGCTCTTTTTGGCCTCCAAAATATTTGCTTCTATCGATGAGTAATCTTTTGAAGGAGCCCTTCTTTTTCATGGTGTGCACGTTGCTTCCTGTGCCTGCATAGCCAAACCCCAGGCAGCGCCCCGGTCGCCGCAGGGCAGAGCGTCCCCCGTTACACTGAGCTAAACGTCGCACTCTCCGATGCATGTCAGAGAGCAAAGACCTCTTTGTAAATACCCCAGCTCTTGTACAAGACTGGACCGCCGTAGTAGAGGGGGGAAACGAGAAAGAACATGTAGTTTTGAATGCAGGTCAAAAGAAATCAGGTGTGCAAAGCTGTACTGGTAAGATTTTAAAATCTTAATCTCTGCTTAATCCATGGAAACTGCTCCTGGTTAAAGCACTTACTGTATTTCTGACATCTTGTAGCTCAGTAGTAATTATTCAGTTCCTGTACATTTAACTTGGAAAAAAAAAATCAATGAAGTATAAGGCTGTCAGCTGCATTGTAAAAACATAATGTACACTGTAATGTCAGTAATAAACTTCGTTTTCCCATGTACCGAGTACTTATTTGCTCATTCCTCATCTCTTTGGTGGGGAACTTCAGAGCGGAATTACAGCTGCCTTTAGCACATTATAAACTTTGCTTCCTCCCTTGCCTGTTTAAAGAGTAGCTGAAATCATCCCTTTGAAGCTCTACAATGAAGTCAGCACTGCCCTTTCTTTGAAGAACAAAACACAGGCGGTGGTGATGTCCCTTCTGTCAGCTTCTGAGGCGCACAGGAGCCTGGCTCCCGTGGCCACTGTAACCCTTGCTGGCACACACACAACCGAGCACGACGCTGGCTTGTCTCCTGCCTGACCCTGCTCTGCGTTACCCCCCCCTGCTCTTCTGCTCCAAGGTCACTCATCCAGGCAGTGGCTGCCTCTGATCCGGGCTCGTGAAGGCTTCAGTCGTGTTTTATTCACTGCAAAGCCCCCTCGCTGCCCAGGCCTGGCAGGTTGTGTGCTGCTTGTGATGGTTTCCTGCTTCAGTGAGGTCACCCCTGCTCTTTTCCCCCTGCCCCGCGTTGCACAGATGCCAGCAAACATCACGGCTGGAAACAAAACCACCCCCCCACCACCACCACCACCTTTATTAAATGTGTATTTACAAGCAGCAGCGAGTCCCCTAGGACAAAGCACTTCTCCCGAGGCGGCCCAGCCTGCTCCTCCACTGGGGCATGCTCAGGCATTCACACGGGGGCTGGAGCCTTCCGCACCGACGCAGCAGGACCGCTGCGCTTTGCAAGACCCTTTTTCCTCTCGAGAGCTCAGCCCTTGCCAGCGGCTGCTCCCTGCCCAGAGATGCTGAGCTGGCTGCAGCAGTCTCCTGTTCCCCGGCAGTCACACAGTCAGCCCCGTGCAAAGCGCAGTGTTACCGGGGCTTGGCTCCGGGCTGCTGCTGAGCCCAAGCAGCTTTTTTTGCTCTACGAAGACTAGACGATCCCTCAGCGTCTCTTAGCAGCTGGGCAAATGTCTTGATTGAGGCACTCGTTGCAGCGAGGATTCACAGGCAGGCAGGTCTGCTGGCCAAAGCCCACCAAGAGCCAATTTAGCTCCCTCCAGAGATCCCTGCAGTGAGAGGAAAAAAAATGAGCTTGCCGATACAGCTGCTCTGAGGGGTTAAAGAACAGCCCGTGCTTTTAAATGGATCCCTTTCGCCTACTGCCTGTTCCTCTTGGCTTCCCACGGCGCCTGGAGGCGGGTCCCAGCCTCCTGCTATGAGCAGCCCTCCTAACCTTTCCCGATTCTTCTGAACTGGGGTGGAGAGCAGAGCACAGGCACGCAAAGTGGCTGCGGTCACTCTCTTGTGATAAGGCAGGTACCAGATGTGGGGATGCAACAGAGTACCTGTCAGCTGGCATCTCATACTGAAGATGAAGCATCAGTGAAGGCCAGAAGCCAACCATGGGCTGACAGCACTGTGGCCATTAGGCTCAGCAAGGTCCAGCATAGCAAAGCACCTGGCTTGGGTCATGGTAAACTTGTCAAGGCAAGAATCGGGCAGCAAGACCTCCAGGTACCTGGCTGCACTAGTGGTGATTGATATATCTGATAGCTAGGAAACACCCAAGTAGCTGAGATGCTGCTGCAGCTCTCTGGGAGAGAAACGCCTGCAGACTAGTCCCCCCTAAAGAGGAGGAACCCAAGGTGCAGTCACGGAAAATGCTAGAAGCAAGATTGTGTGCAGACATGGCTCCTGCAGCTAGCTTGAGGGGTTTGGTGTGGAGGAAGGAGCCTGGGGTCTCAGGCCTCACCTGGGCAGCCAGTCCTCCAGCGCTGCCCGAGTTTCCTCGGGGTATCTGGTCTCCTTCTTCACCCACTTCAGCCTGTTTGTGATCCTGTGCACATGGGTGTCCACAGCTAGGAAGGGAGAGCCCAGAGTTTAGGTGGGGGCAGACACACCTGAACGGAGAGAGCACAGCCAAAAGCTGCCTGTCACAGCACACCAGGTAACAGCACCCTGCACGGGCTTCCTCCGCGGGCTGGCAGGAACAGGCAGGAGAAACAGGAGGGGAGGCTCACTCGCAGCACAAACGTGCTGCTCCCTCCCTAGGCCCAGAGCCAAAAGCAAGATGGGATGGATAACTCGCACCACGCAGCTTGCGACACGCTCACACAATCCGACCCAGCCTTCTTTCAAAGGTTTGTGTGCTCTGATCTAGCAGGCACAGGGCGGCCTGTCCCGCGTTCTCTTCCTCCCTGTGTTTCAGCTGATGTTATGCAAGTTGCAATCTCTGCCCCTTAGTTTACCCAGATGGAAAACACATTTCATAATACCCACCAACACAAGAGCGTTTGTGAGGCTTAAACGAATGTTTATGAAGTGCTTTGAGCTAAAAAGCCCTGAAAGCAAAGTGTATTATTGTTAGATCAGCAGCGATAAACCTGTCTCTATGGCTAATTGGGCAAAACCCAGGAAATTGCTGTAAACAGGAAGACTAAGTCTTGCCTCCTAAATCAAAACGGAGCACACAATTATTTGGAAAACAGTTGGCTGGTTTGGCTCCCTCTAGACCTCCCTCCCCCACAGCAGGGCGAGAACAACAGACCCCAAGGGCTGTCAAATCCAGTGCAAGAGCCACATTTCGTCCAGCTGCCGGTCACCAGCGGGGCTGCGGGACTCAGCTGCCGCCCGCACTGACCTTGGCCTGCGCGCTCGCCGCGGCGGCAGCCATTCATCAGGTGGCACCATTCCCAGGGCTCCTCCATTAAGCAGCAAATAAACTTGGAATATTCATCTATCCCCAGGGGCCCTCGGGCCGGGCAGCCCGCCGGGGACCCTGCAGCTGACGGTCCAGCCCCATCTGCCGGCAGCTCGGCCGCCCGCCGTGCTCCCCAAACTGGCATCGTGCAGGAGCCAACCTGCCCTGCGCCCCGCTCCGCCGCAGACGGCCCCCCAGCCCATCGCTGCTAAGGCACGCAGCTCCACGGGGTACAGCTACGCTCTCCGGGCCATGAACACGGGGAATAAACAAAGATGCCTGTGCTCACCTATTACCCGGCTGCAGGAAGGAAACCAGACCAGAAATTCTGCAGGTACAGACTGCCTGAGACTATTTCTTTCTAGGATCCATCACAAATTACCGATTTCAAACAGTAGTTTTGACCAAGCCCTGCTTCTGCCCTTTTATGGCTTGCCGAACAAAAAATCCCAAATGAGATTTGTTTAAACAGAAGCAACCCTGGAAAAAAATAACCTCAGGCTATCCTACAACTATCACCGCACCACAAAATTACCCCCACCTCTCTTTCACTTGACACCAAAGAGATTTCCAAGCGTTATTCTGCTAGCACATCTTTTTGGATGTCTACCCAACCAGGCAATACTTGCGCTGTTTACCAGTACCTGAGGGGAAGGAGTGACTGCCCCTGGGGATTTCTACTGCCCTTAAGGATTTCTGCTATCAAATTTGGGGAAAAACAGGAGCTGGATCCTTGCTTAAATCCTACAGCAACTCATCTGCTGTGAGTGGCTGAGGGTCACATCCTTCACCCACCCAAATATTCTGCAGATGACTAAACTCAAGCGATGCTATCAGGCAGTTTACCCAGCTGCAATGCTTCCCCTCTGCCTGGGGAATGGATCAGGCAGGATTCAGGAGAGGAATGGGGAAAACACGGGCCAACCTACCTATCCCAGACACACTGTCCCAGGCAATGTTCATGGCCAAGTGGGCCATTTTGGGCCCAACTCCTGGCAGCTGCACCAACTCCTCCACGGTTCTTGGTATGTCACCCCCATATTTCTGCTTCAGGATGGCTGTTGTCTGCTTTATGTACTTCACCTTGTTCTGGAAAATGAAGGGGAAAGGCATAAAATCCAAGTTGCCCTCCAATACAGGGAAAAGAGACCAACAGGTCAGAAAACAAACCATTCCTGAGCATATGCTACATGTGAGGCCACACACTGGAGTTTGCAGAGGGCAGACAGAGGTCTTTGATTTCTCCTTGAAAGCAAAACGCTGAGACCTGATTAGCTCTAACCTCCCCTGCACACTCCAGGCACTGCAGCAAACGATCTTGCTGTGAATACAAATGGCTAAAACTGGCATAAAAGACACCCTTCAGCTTGACTCCAGGGGCAAGATCACCACGGGGCACGGCACACAGGCTGATTATCGGCTGGGGGTGCATCTCTCAGGAGCAGGGCTGGTTCGCACCCACCTCCTGCTTTCATCACCTGCTGTCAGCAGAGGCTGGCCATGAGGACAGCCTAAAAAAGGACAAGCATGCACCCGCTTTGTGCTCCTCTTCTGGGCCTCTGAGCTGTTTCAGGCAGCTGCACGGGAGCGGAGGACTGGAGGGGGTTCGTCTACGTGCACGTCGGGTGCTGCCGCGATCCTGCACTCACCCTCCAGAATCCTACAGGGTAAATGATCTGCCCGAGCGTCGCATCATCCATCTGCAAAATACTGTCGACGGTGAGGCCGTGCTGCCGCAGGCGCAGCATGGCAGCTGATGTCACCTGGTCCTTGGTCTGGCTGGAGAGCATCAGCGACAGCAGAACTTGGTAGCGCATCACCTGGGGAAAAGGAGACGGTGAGACACCCCGAGATCTCTGAGAGGATCCGGCCGCCTCTGCAGCTCGGTTCTCCCATCCAGCGCCACCTTCAGCCCAGTGCATAATATGGACCCACCCTGGTTCAGCTGTATCTGTCTGTAAGAGACTGGAAGGCTGCAACAGAAACAATCCATAACCTTTTAATTCTACCACGCAATAAAGGGAGAAAAGAAAAGCCTTCAATCTAAGCAGTCAGCATGCATAAAAGGGCAGAGAGCAGCTACTGGCTGCTGGGCTCTCACATCCAAAGATGCCAGTGCTGAGCCACAAAGGGCCAGACAAAGCTATTCCTGATGATGGGATTCTCAGGAGACCCCACAGGATGTAGAAGTACAAATGCCCAATGATCTTTCATACAACTTCTGCTCTAAAACAGCTTTTGAAAATCCCATCCCTTTCTCACTAGTCTTCAGCAGGAACTGGGTATCTGGCTCCAGTGATCTCCTTACAAAAGCAAATCTAAAGACCTGGGAGACGAAGCGCAAAACCTGGAAGTTCCTCGGATGCTGTCACGCAGGGTTTAGCCCAGACCATTCAGCTCGTATTTTTCCAATTGATTTTTCCCCAGGTGCAATTCTGTCCCCACCAAGATGAGGGGGATGATGCAACTAACCTGGACTGACCCAGGATAAGATGGGACACAATCCTTCCTCCAGTTCTCTTGCAAAGTTTACAAAACCGCAGGTGCACCAGGAAAAATCTCTGCGTGCATGGAAGCGGGGTAATCTCTGAGTACATGGATGTTGTGCGAGGAGCGCTGGTGCGCGCCGAGGGTTACAACGTCCACTTTTTTTTGGAAGCAACAACCCTGCTTCCCTAGGGAAGAAAAGTTATTTCCGTATCGTGCACCGCAGCCTCCCTGGCCCCACAGCTGCGCTCGGTGCCAGCCCACGCGGCTGCAGGGCACGTGATGCTCTCTGAACCCGGAGTCAAAGCTAACTGTTTCCCCCTGGGATTCAAGCCCAAGGCAGGATGCCAGCAACAAGGACAGCGTTCCCTGCAGCTGTGTCTTCCAGACCTCTCCCTCGGAGCCTGGCAGATGGAGCACACGAGCCCCGCTGCTCCGCCGAGCCTGCCCGCGGGTCGTCTCCGTGTTCCCACACCGGCGCCGTGCACAGAGAGCCCAGCCCTGCAGCCCCGGCTCCCCACGCCGCTTTGTTTTTTTGTACTGATGCAAATGGTCCCCTCAGAGGGAGGTGTCATCTGGGGCCTTTGATGGTGTTCCCAAGCTTGGGGGAGCACAGTGGCATCCCAGCGTGGCCTTTCCTTTCAACCAGTATCCCCTCAAAAGCAGGCTGCAAGAGGGGAGGAAGCCAACCTACACTTATGCGCTGCTCTGAAGAGCATAAAAGCAGCCTGAAAAAGTTTTTTCTCAGCTCTCCTTGCCTTTTCTCCATACTGTTTTTTCTCTGTATTAGAGCTATCTTACTGGATAATTTCCTTGGACTCCTACAGAGACATTTAAGAATAAACGGACATGCCTTCATGCCCTGCCAGCCCGCTCCAGAAGACAGCACTGCCACAATACACTCTCAGGGTTTTTACTCCCAAGTCTAAAATCACCCTATTTTTGCCTCAGCTCTTGCCCTTGGTTCAGCCCTCTAACTCTTCTGGCAGCAGCTTAAGCAGATGACAAGGGATTTTCAAAGCTGTGTTTGCTAGTTGGTCTCTAATGCCCAGCACAGGCTAAATGTGAGCAGAGAACATCTCCAAAAACACCCACGGCCATTTCACAAGGGCTGCCTGAAGCCAGAGAGCCCAGTACTGGAGAGGCAGTGGCTGATTCCCCTCCTCTAGCTGGAGGAACAGTTTCTCTTATGTGCACGCTTCTGCAGTAACCTCTCGTGGGACCAATCCCAGTCTAGAGTCCTGATACGCCCTGTGTTCATCCTTCTGTTCTGGAGACATCCAAGGTGGGACATATCTAGGGGCAACGCGAGGGTGAGGGGAGCCGGAGGGCTGTATTTTCACGCAGGGTGTTGTTACCTGTGGAGGTGCGCTGCTGTCGTAACACTTCTCCACTCCCATCTCGTCGACGGGAGCGTCTCTGCTCCTCCTCATCTCCCGGATGCGCTCCAGCTGCTGCCGCCAGGCCCTGGGCTCCCAACGCGGTCGCTGGGGCTCAGGTGGCCCCTGCTCGGTGCCATCCCCCTGCACAGACTCGTAGGCAACGGCGATGTTCTTCCTCCTCCTCCTCCTCCCGCTGCGCCCCGGGATGCCGGCCGTGCTGAGGGGCTGGCTCACTGCAAGAGAAGGGAGAAAGAGTTTCAGGCTTCTGTCTCCTGCCAGAGACCGGTGTCAGCCCCGCGACCACCTGGGCGACCCCGACAAGGGCTGAACTCCTCTTCCTCGCAGTCCCAACCCCGCAGCAACACCTCGCATCCCGCCAGCCCTAAGCAGAGCCAGGCGCCGGGCGAGGAACGGCCGGGAAAAGGACCTGGGGAAGAGGCGACAACAGTCGGGGGCGCACGTCACACTGCTGGGGTGCGTGTCTCGGGCACACAAGGAGGCTGCTGAAGGGCAAGGGGCATCCCCAGGTCCTCGCCGGGACGTCCCGGGCTCCGGGGGGGGGGGGACGTGACAAGGACACCAGGCCGCTGTTGCCCCCCACCTCCGGTTGGGCTGGGCCCTCGCTCTCCCTGCTCGCAGCCGAGGCCGCGTCCCGCCCCGCCAGCCCCGGGAAGCACAAATCATCATCCCCCCCCCCACACACACCCCCCCTTCGTACCTCCGGTCGCCCCCCCGGCCCTACCGAGCCCCCGGGCCACCGCCCGCCCACCGCCCGCAGCCCCTGCCGCGCACATGGCGGCGGCGCCGGGCGCCACCGGGAACTACCAGCCCCAGTATGCCCCGCGGAGGTCGCCGGCGCCGGAAGAGGCGGGATTTCCGACTGGGAGGCCGGGGGGGTGCCGGGGGTGGGGGGTCCCGGCGCGGAGCGGCGCGCGGGGCCGGGCCGGGCCGGGCAGGGCAGGGCCGAGCCGAGCCGAGCCGGGCCGAGCCGGGCCGGGCCGGGGGGCGGCGGCGGCGGCGGCGGGTGAGTGACGGGGGGAGGCTGAGAGTGCTGCCCGGGACGGAGACCGGGGTGCGTGGGGGGGCCTGGCGGGGCCTAGCGGGAGGCGGGGCCCTGCCGTGCTTTGGAGGTGTAGGGCTGCCCCCCGGCTGGGGGGGGGGTGGGGGGGTGGCCCCTGTCAGGGAGCCGGGGTGTGCTGGGAGAGGGGGGGGGGTGGGGGGTGGCCGGGCCTGTGGCGGGTCCCTTGTTGGGTGTCCGTGAGGGGTTTGTGGCTTGTCCCGGGAGGGTGGGGGGCCTGTGGTGTGATCCCGGCCTGCCTGGGTTGGGGGGGGGGGCAATGTGCCATGTCTTGGGGTGTATTAAGGGCTGTGGTGTGTCCCCCAGGGCGGTGGGCTGCAGTGTGTCCCCTGGTGAGGTTGGGCCGGGGGTCCTGGCTTTGTCCCCTGGGCCGGGGGTCCTGGCTTTGTCCCTCGGGCCGAGGGTCCTGGCTTTGTCCCCTGGGCTGGGGGTCCTGGCTTTGTCCCCTGGGCCGGGGGTCCTGGCTTTGTTCCCTGGGCTGGGGGTCCTGGCTTTGTCCCCTGGGCCGAGGGTCCTGGCTTTGTCCCCTGGGCCGAGGGTCCTGGCTTTGTCCCCTGGGCCGGGGGTCCTGGCTTTGTCCCCTGGGCTGGGGGTCCTGGCTTTGTCCCCTGGGCTGGGGGTCCTGGCTTTGTCCTCTGGGCCGAGGGTCCTGGCTTTGTCCTCTGGGCCGGGGGTCCTGGCTTTGTCCCTCGGGCCGGGGGTCCTGGCTTTGTCCCTCGGGCCGAGGGTCCTGGCTTTGTCCCCTGGGCTGGGGGTCCTGGCTTTGTCCCCTGGGCTGGGGGTCCTGGCTTTGTCCCTCGGGCCGGGGGTCCTGGCTTTGTCCCCTGGGCCGGGGGTCCTGGCTTTGTCCCCTGGGCTGGGGGTCCTGGCTTTGTCCCCTGGGCTGGGGGTCCTGGCTTTGTCCCCTGGGCTGGGGGTCCTGGCTTTGTCCTCTGGGCCGAGGGTCCTGGCTTTGTCCTCTGGGCCGGGGGTCCTGGCTTTGTCCCTCGGGCCGGGGGTCCTGGCTTTGTCCCTCGGGCCGAGGGTCCTGGCTTTGTCCCCTGGGCTGGGGGTCCTGGCTTTGTCCCCTGGGCTGGGGGTCCTGGCTTTGTCCCTCGGGCCGAGGGTCCTGGCTTTGTCCCCTGGGCTGGGGGTCCTGGCTCTGTCCCCCAAGCTGCTGGCACAGGGCCTGTGGAACGTCCCCAGGGAGCACAAGGAATTGCTGTGGCGCGTTCCCCAGGGTGTGGGGACGGCTGTGGGGTATCCGTTGGGGGGCATGGGGCATAGCTGGGGGCGGGGAGTGGGACTGCTGGGTTGGTGTGGGCACGTGTGCTGAGGGCAGGGTGCTGGGGCAGGGTGCCAGCAGGCAGGGAGCGGGGGGTCCCCGAGGGGCAGCGGGTTGGCGCTGGCTGGGCAGACAGTTTGTGCGCGCCGCCGCTGTCGATGTGCCGTTGCTGTAACGCACGTGCTTGTTCTCGCTCCCCCTCTTTTTCCTCACCGTAGCAGCGTTTGGATGTTCGAACGCTGAGATTCGTAAGTCTTCTAGCTACGTTCGGCATCTTTGCAGTGGGGTGTGCTTGTCCGTTGCTTTTGCACGGGGAACGGATATTTCAGCTCGCACCCGCCAAAAACTGCGTGTGTCTGTGTCTTTGCACTTCAAAAAATCAGCTCAGCGGTTTTAAAACGGTGGTTGCTCTGTGCGGGCTACGGTGGTGCTGGGCATTTGGAGCTCCTAGAAAATGGGAACCCCGAGCTCCTCATTCCTCAGGTAGCTGCAGTATGCGGGTGCTGAAGGCAGGAGCAGCACAGGCTCCTTGTATGTGCAGGCTCCTCACTGTTGTCCTCAACGTTGGGCTACTCACTTGTTGGAAACGGCTTGAGACACCAGAGCTGTTTGGAAAAGCCACATTGTGATGGCTGGTGCTTTTTTTTTTTTCCTGCTTAAAGATTCCCCTTGGGCCTCCCTTAAAAGAAACGCTGTTTTGTATTTGCAGGGGCTCGGCGCTGCTCGTTCGTCAGCAATGGCAAAGCCTCAGAGCAAGGATTCTGGACTGAAGGAGAAGTTCAGGAATCTCCTGGGGCTGGGAACATCCCGGGGAAGTTCAAAGTCATCGGAGGGCAAGCAAACAGAGTTTATCATCACTGCAGAAATACTCAAGGTGTGAGAACTGACCGTAGTAAAGGTGGGGATAGTGCCTGGATTACCTGAGCTGAGAGGATCAGGAAGGCTTGCTTGTTCTCCTTTCTGTTTTGACTTTGATTCCCTTTCCGATCATGCATTTCTACCTTACCTCTCAATTCATTCTCTAGTGAAATAGATGTAAAACTCACCTACTTTGAAGTTACAGCATTTTAGTTATTCAGTGTTTGAATACTTTTGAGGTATTTGATAGGATGGTGGTGTCTTCTGTTGGGTTACAGGGAGTTTCCTCAAAATACATTGCTCTTTTTTTACAGTCTCAGCTTGATGAAGTTTATGTGGTGGCAGTTAGCACAAGCTGTAAACAGTTCCTATTTTATGAAAACCTTATGGGTTTGTGAAATTAAATAAATAAATAAATAAAGTTGATTCCAGTAATTGGTACAGCGAGTCTGTAAGCGAAATCGTTGGCACAAAGGGAGGAAAACACATAAAAGGGAGAAAGAGCCCAGAACCCCTCCCTGTCTGCTGGAGCAGCCAAGCTCTTACCTGCTGGAGGGCTGGAGAATCGGGTTTAACGTCCCTCCTTTCGCTGCCCTTCTTCCGTGAACAGGGCGAGCGCCACAGCCAGCGAGTTATTAACTTTTCTGAAGAAAATGTGATGTTCTGTTCTGGAGGTGAAAAGCTGCTTGACTCCAGTTCTGTGAAAGTTCTAGTTTTGACAGATCATTTGCTAATGGAAAAAAGTTTTTGGCGAAATTACTGAAAAGCTCCAGTGATGACTAATGGTTAGATCATTTTGGACAAATGTGTAGTTTATTTTTCAGTGGTTCATGATCCCCTTTGAGAAATGGATAAGTGTTTCTAGTAATGTAAACTGTTAGCTTATTTCTGCATTTCTTTCCAGGAACTGAGCATAGAATGTGGATTAAGTAATAGGATACGAGCGATCAGTCAAATTTGTGAAGTGGCAAAAACAAAAAAAATTGAAGAGGTAAGTTTCAGTCTTTGGTGAATATTGGAAGGATGAAAATTTAAGCAGCAGCTTTTAACCTATCATAAGAAGCTCCTGTAGTTTAGGCTGCTTTTTAAAATTGATCATCCCAGAAGCTGTGTTGTGCTGTCCAACCTGTAAAAGGATGGCTCACATGCCAAAGAAATTAGTCTTGTCCAGCCTGCCAACTGTGGAACAGAAAGGACATAGCTGATGGGCTTCCTGAACTGAATCAAAGGAGGATGCTGTGAATATTCAAGGCTGAACGGATGGTTCACGGGGGAGATGACGTTAATCCTGTAGGAGAGGGATTTGCTAACTCCTTCTGTCTTGTTAATAAGCAGCCTCAAATTGGGTTTAAACTCATCTTGTATGTGGGTGAAGGTTTCTGCACAAATGTTCACACTGAAGTAAGCGTGTGAATGAAGAACGTCAGTTACTGGGGTGCAAGTTGTCACGTAGGATGGGATTTGGTGTCTCATGTGGTTCATCTGAGCTTATAACCAGGCAGGCGAGAGTGTCCCTAAGAAAAGAGAACTCCAGACATGAAATCCCTGGAGATCTTGTTCGTTAACTTACCATAATTAATGACTGACCTACTGGATAAAGGTCCCAGAAGCAGCTTGACGTTCCTACTACTGCCTGTCCCCTGTTTGTTTTCAGCATGCAGTGGAAGCAATATGGAAAGTGGTAGCTGATATGCTCCAGCCAGAGCGCCCCGTTGAAGCCAGACATGCTGTTCTTCATCTGCTGAAGTCAATTGTTCAAGGACAGGTGAAAACAAACAAACTGTAGAAGAAACACTGCGCTTAAACTGGGGTTTGTGCAGAGTATGAATGTGAAAAATATTGGGTGGCTCTTTTCTACAGCTTTCCAGGTTTCTTATTTCGGTTGTGCCTAGTAGGTGGGAAGAAGAAGCATTTTAATTTAAGTCTTGGTTTGACCTCATAGCAAAACTTTTCACACAAGTCATAGAAAACTATGCTGTTTTGGGCCAACCTTGATGCTCTTGACAAAGAAGAAATACTTTGGGTTAAGTTCAACATAGTACAGCAGATTTTATGTGGTCTTTGCCCAGACCTATTAGTCCTAGTCTGCAGCTGGTTTTGATGTTTCAGTATGTCAACTGTGCAAGAAGTTCTGTATGAGATACTTTTCCAGCCTGGCCAAGTTAGGCATACTATAAATTCTTCAGATTTCACAATATGCTATACAAACCTAAGACTATATCAGAGCAAAGTTCTAGTTTTCAGTATTCTGAAAAAGTAGGGGTGTAGATGCTCATGAAAAGAATAGCCATTGATTCTGGTTTGTTGGCTTGTTTTTTTTCAAATGCTTTGCTGGCAGTGCTGTCAGTTGCAGCTTCCACGGATTACTTTGTGCGTTGGATGCTGTCTGTGTGTTGCTGGACAAAATGCCTCCATCCGTGAGTGCTGATAGAGCAGACTGAGAAGACCTGAGCCATTGTCAGTAGCCAGTAGAGGTTGGAGCTATTTTAAGGAGGCTTTCATAGCCCATAGGAAAAGAAAATAATTGCAAGCGTGAAGATTACTGTTCTAGACCTTGAGAAGATGCAGGCCTTAAGTGTGTTTTTGTTAGTGACATTGCTATTCCCATCCCCTCCCCTCCTCTTTTTTTCTTTTTTTTTTTTTTTTTAAAGGGTGAGCGATTGGGCATCCTCAGAGCACATTTTTTTAAGGTTATTAAGGACTATCCCTCCAATGAAGACTTGCATGAACGGCTTGAAGTGTTCAAGGCTCTAACAGAGAATGGACGATACATCACCTACTTAGAAGAAGAGTTGGGTGAGTATTGTCTCTACCCCTCTTCTGTTTGTTGGGAATAAGTCAAGGGACAGGCATTCAGTGATACGAGAAAATGTAATGAAAACACTTCTATTTAGAAAGCATATTGTAACAATTTGTTTTCCTCCTTTAGCTGACTTTGTACTGCAGTGGATGGATGTTGGTTTGTCTTCCGAGTTTCTTCTGGTTTTAGTGAACCTGGTGAAATTCAATAGCTGCTACCTGGAAGACTATGTAGCTGACATGGTCCAGTAAGTTTCTTTTTTTTTTTTTTTTTTAACTCCTACATGCTTATTCTTTGTAAATTACAGGCAAATGTTGCAGATCAATATACAGATCAGTAGAATCTTTTTCATCTGATCCAGATCTGTTTTATTCCAGGTCATACCTTACATTTTTGACAAATATTTGATTTGCAGTTCTTACAGTGTTCAGACCTGCTTTAGTTTAACTGCATGTGCTTTCCCCATTTCATGTGGTGGACCTGATTACATTGCTTAGTCTCACAAAGGATCTCTGCTATTGTATTAATGTAGGTATAATGAGTTGCAAATTTAAGTGCAACTTTAAGTTAACTTTATGAATGAGGTTGTAGTGTTCAGTGTCTCTAGGAGTGTTATCAACAATGCCACAATAAGGGGAATGATGAGTAAAATAACATGCCAAGTTACTTGTCTGTTTTGGCTCTTTATAATTTGCCTACAATCATATTAAGCAAACCATTATAATTAGATGTTCTTTCCCAACAGCAAGATATGCCTCTTGTGCATTCAGACTTCGTCATCTGTGGACATAGAGGTCAGTAGCTTGAGTCTCTCTTAGTGCTTTAGAGTTCTTTTGAAATTCTTTGAAACTGTAACTCTTACAAACAAAATCAGATCATCAGACTCTCTGAGTTTATTCTTACCTTACAAGAGAACTAATACAATGTCACGAAGTATTTGTAAGCCATTGAATCATGTACACATCGAATCATTTTAGTCTAAACCAAACAGAACATTGATAAATTTGATAAGCGAATCCATTTTTCAATAGTGCTTTTTATGGTTTACTTTCCATCTTGCAATGATTTCATAAAAAAAAAACCAAAACAAAAACCAAACCACAAAAAACCAACCCAAAAACCCAAACAAAACACAGAAACCCAAACATATCTGCATCCCTTTTGACTTCCAGAAGATTTCCTGGGTCTGCCAGGTTAGCCTTTGACCTGCTGTATTCATACTGTATAATCATTCTGTCTTTCTCTTTCCCGAAGATTTCCTTGCAAGTCCTAGATGCAGTTGTTTGCTATAACTGTCTGCCATCAGAGAACCTCCCAGTATTTATCATCACTTTGTGCCGTACCATCAATGTGAAGGAGCTCTGCGAGCCGTGCTGGAAGGTCAAAACTTTCTTGTAGTTTTGTTTTTTATACGGAGTTCACTGTTTTGGCCTCCTAGATGAAGTGTCAGATGTGCCTGTACACATCTGCCATAAATTTCAGTTTGGTTTTAAGAATAAATTAAAAATTGTTTCAGGTATTAAGGAATCAGCATGTTGTTAGTCTGAGTCCTGTCATGTCCATGGCATTTACCTACGGTTTCCTCCCAGCTGATCTGACAGGCTTCTGTTGTGGCATGGAAATGGCTGGATGCATTTACTTACCATAAGCAGGCACGATTGGCCACCTAACTGCATATGTAGGCTAATGAGTGTTTTAACAATTGGATATTTAAGTGTTCTCTTCAAATTTGCAGCTTATGCGCAACCTTTTGGGAACTCATTTGGGACACAGTGCCATCTACAACATGTGCAGGATCATGGAAGACAGGTAAAGAAGGTGTATCTAACAAACCCCAAGGGATTTTCATCAGAGGTCCTGTTGAGATAGGGAGTCACTGACCTCAGAAGAACAGGCTGAAGGTTCTGGTGCTCAGAAATTAATTCCCTTCCTATTTGTGCTGCTGGAGTGCTCATTTTCTGGCTTTTCTGAATTTAATTTTCCTGTGTTTGAAGTTGTACTAAATGATTTTCTGCTTTTAATGTTTGTAAATTGCTGTGCAAGGCTCTGATGTGTAACAGCTGGGAATTCCTGTTGTGACAGTGTATATTCCTATTGACTCTTGTCTGTTAAAATAATTGTAGCATGGTCTAAGGCTTTCCTTCCATCTGTTCTTAGAGCTTACATGGCGGATGCAGCGCTGCTGAGAGGAGCTGTATTCTTTGTTGGGATGGCTCTTTGGGGTGCTCATCGCCTCAATTCACTTAAGAATTCCCCGACTTCAGTGCTGCCTTCATTTCTCAAGGTAGGATGGGATGCTGGAAGAACTTTTTAATCAGGTATACATCTGGACCCGTACAAATTTAGAACAGAAATGTGGTCCCCTACCCCAAAAGAGATCTTTGTATGTCTCAAAGACAAGAGACAACAGTTGGCAATGGTGTGAAGTGTGGGCAAACAGTGAAACAACAGAGGATTTAAGTTTAAAACTGAGGCCTCCTGGGAATATTTTTACTGGTCAGAAAAGGGAAGCATAAATTCTTTTTGTCAAATATCTACATTGTGGGTATTTTAGATGAAAAAAAATTAAAAAAAGCAAAAACTTTCACTCTTTCCAGTGTGTGGTACAAAAAGTTGAGGGATGGTGTCTTCAGGAGCAGCCTCAGAACTCTCTTAAAATTTTCTCATCCAAGCACATCAAGCAGGAATTACTAGCTTTAACCTCATGTGTCTGCTCTGTGAGATGGGTCTGTATTTGTCATCTGATCTACAGCTGTTTGCAAGAGTGCATAACTGCACTTTATGAAATGGTTCTTTGCTTTGCCCTTTGTGTGTATAGACTTGAATATATTAATTTCAGACCTCCAGGCTAAGATCCTGATTAGTGAGGGGTGTTTCGTTTGAATTTAAGAGGGTTTCTGATCCCTGCTTTCTGATTATTAACTGACTGAAATGCTTTGTATTCCAGGCCATGACATGTCCCAATGCAGTTGTGTCTTACGAGATAGTTCTGTCCATAACACGTCTAATAAAGAAGTATGGGAAGGAGCTGCAGGCTGTAACGTGGGATATCCTTTTGGACATCATGGAGCGATTGCTGCAACAGCTGCAGGTAAGTGTCGAGCCTGTCTTCATGTGCTTTCAATCCAAAGACCTTGCCATAAATACTTTTGCAAATTTATCTCCTGTTTGTACACTCTAGTGAACTTTGAAACTGAATGAAGGTTTAGCCCACTTCTCAATAATGTGCTTCTCAACTGAGTTTTCTGGTTATATTTAAAGGTTAGCGCTTTCTGGGAAGGTAGAAGTCTTTTTAGGAATGTTTTTGTCTCTGTTTCAGAGTCTGGAGAGCCAAGAACTTAAGTCCATTGTACATGATCTTTTGACTACAGTAGAAGAACTCTGTGACCAGAATGAATTCCACGGCTCTGAGGAGAGATTTTTTGAGCTGGTGGAAAGATGTGCTGATCAGAGACCAGTAAGACTTTACTTACTACTGTTGTCTTCCTTTGTTACCAGTTGCATCTGTTTTGTTACTCAGTACATTTGAAAGTTGGGATTCCTAAAATAGCAAGTGGTCAGAAAATCACAGCAAGGACCTACATGAGTCTTATTCTCATGGTGGGGGTTGGGGGAGTGGATATATTGTATTTGCTTATACACTAAAAAAAAAATTCTTGATCTTTCTGTGAAAGGAATCTTCTGTATTAAACTTGATAACATACAGAGCTCAGTCCATTCATCCTGCCAAAGATGGCTGGATTCACAACCTGCAGATGTTAATGGAGAGATTCTTCAGGTATGAAATCATAACTTTGTGAACACAGGGCACTTTCAGATGTTTCTTGACACCTTTTCATGTTGGATAATTTTGTTTTCTGAAGTTCTAATGTTAGTAAATGACTGCTAAGACGTATGGTAGTTCCAGGGCACTGTACATGAAAGGATTTTGTTTAACAGAAGAAGAACTTTCCACTGAGTTGTTTATGCTTGCTTTTTTTTTTTTTTTTTTTTTTTAATTCCCTCCCCTTTATTTCCTTTGGGTGGTGCTATTCCAATTAGCTTAGGCAGTTATGTGTTCTACTCCACAGGACTTTGTAGTTCTGACACCAAACAAGACTTACCTGTTAAGCATCAGGATTGCATATGGTTATCCAGTATTAAAGTTACCTGGGTTTGAATCGGTACTCCTAAAAGTATCCTTGTGCTCTAAAATATCAACATACAGCAATAACAAAGTTCAGTCTCATCTGTGAAACGCTGCCATAGAGCAACTCTTCCTTGGTGCCATATGTTTGGTTTTAAATTTGTTCACCAGAGCACTTGTTCTTCTGACATATGCTTCCTAGTTTGGATTGGAAATGGCAAAACTGCAGGTACAGATCTCCAGAAGTAGTAAAAGCTGAATTGGCATTCCAGTTTCCAGCTGTTCTTGTATCTGATTTCATATGTGGAGACATTAACTGAAGGCTCAACTGATCTCTAACAGTTATTGTTCTAACTCATAAGAAGTTTCTTAGTTTACTTTAGTTTTACTTTCCTTTTCTCCTCTCCCCCCTTCCCTAAATATCAGCAACTTTATTTTATTCATCTTGAATTTGCTCTTCCCATTTTAGGAACGAAAGTCGTAGTGCTGTTCGTATTAAAGTTCTGGATGTCTTGTCCTTTGTCCTGAGTATTAACAGACAGTTCTATGAGGTGTGTGTTTATCTGTTTCCGATGATCACATGTGAGATCTTAAGTGGGTGGGAAAGGCTTTGGTGAGGCATGTTTTATGGTGTGCTTCAGGTTGTCTCTGCCACTGGGGAATGCACAGAACTGTGCTCTGATTGTTGCACACGATAGACATGTTTCTTTAGGATGCTTGTAGGAGGACCTGCCTCTTAATTGTCCTTAGTTGGATACAGGTATGTGCAAATTTTAGTGGGGGCTGCTGTGTTTTGAGGACATAGCTGGTTGTGTATTTGCTTCCCTGTTTTAAGGTCATTAATTCCACATACATTTTGTTTTGGAAGAAAGGGAAGTCAGTGTGAGAGGTGCAGAGTTGATTTAAAAGCTTTGTAAAAAGATGAGGTGTGGACATAATCTGACGCGAGCAGATGGACTTGTCTAGGTGCTTGCAGTTTAATTGCAATCCAAGATGGAAGATGTCTGAGGGAGGAGTTACGGGAGAGCTCTGGGGATGTCTTCAGCTCCTTGGAATGTACCCAGAGTGTCAGTGGACAGGAAAGGGCAGAGATGCTTCTTGGATTCCTTCAAGATTTGTGAAGACATGGTGTTGTATGTTTCCTCTCTCTCACAAAAACCCAAGCCCTAGAAATCCCTTGTCAACAGTCTATTTGAGCCAAGGCTATCGAGTCTGTAGGACAGATGAAAACCAAAGCATTGAATCCAAGTTCAACAAAAAGTCATAAATAATAGGAGGGATGGCATACAGAAATACTTCATTGTATGGAAGAGGAAAGATCAAGGAACCAAACAGTTAGTTGAGGAACAAGCCTGATATCAGAATATCAGTGTTCTTTTGTTTGTAATTATTTGTCTCTTTAACTTGCTGATTTAACAACTGACAGCAAAATGTTAAGGCTTATTAAGGTCTGTCCTCTTGCAGGAAGAGCTGATAAACTTGGTTGTAATCTCTCAGCTGGCTCACATTCCAGAGGATAAAGACCATCAAGTCCGAAAACTGGCCACTCAGCTACTAGTAGACCTGGCTGAAGGCTGCAACACACATCACTTTAACAGCTTGCTTGATATCATAGAAAAGGTGAGCAGAGTTTGGTCAATTGTCAGTAGCATCACCACATCTTTTGTCAGATCCTCTTACCGTGACTGAGGGGGCTAACCCTGTGACTGTCTCCAGTTGCGTGGCTCAGCAGGATATTGTAAAACTGCTGGGTTTTGAAGGATGAAAATTTGAAGTGCAGAGCGGAAGGGAGCTTTAGAAACCCTACCAATGCACATCCAACCTACCTGACAGGGCTTGCAGAATTTCCAGCAAGGATGACTTGCCATAGTCTTTCCTGACCTTCCAGGATGGAAATAAAGAAAAGGTGTGTTGCAGATTTAAACCATGTATTGCTTTTCTTTTTAAAAGGTGGCTGCACATTCTCTCTCATCTCCTTCTGAACTGGAAGAAAGGGACTTGCTATCGTATTCAGCTTCTTTGGAGGATGTCAAGACAGCAGTGCTTGGACTCCTGATTATTCTTCAGGTAAACAATGCAGAGCATTAAACACGCCTTCTTCAGAATAGTCTTCTGCCACAGCTGGCTTTTTAGATAATCGTTTTCCTGCTATTAAATATTCCCACTTTTGTTTTATCCACCTACTATTCTAACTTGTTTTGGCCATTCCTTTTGCTTTTGGGTACTGTATAACTGTTTGTGAAATGTTTTATTTTCTTAATTTCCATTGTACAGTGCATGTGAGCACATTTTCATGTGTGGAGGGCAGATGTGTTCATAAACTAGCAGAAAGGGAGTAGTCCATAACCTTGAATAGATCTGTGTGTTTGGGTGGCGTGTCCCGAGATACGGTTACGCAGTTGGGAAGAGCTGGTTGTTCCAGCCAGTGCCCTCCTGGAGCCAGGCAGACCTTCTCTGGAGTCTTTGCAGAAGTTCTGTCCAGAGCCATCTGTTCATCTTGCTTTCAGGAGCAAGCTTTTGCTCCGTTTTCCTTGAATTCTCAGTGCAGATACACACTTCTGAATAACAAGAGGCAGTCTGCCTCTTGATCTGTATTTCTGTTCCTCTGTAGACAAAACTCTACAGCTTACCCTCCAGCCACGCGATGCGGGTGTACGAGATGCTGATTCACCACGTCCAACGCCATTATATATATGCGTACAGCCTTGCTGTTGCTAGCAGCATCAGATTGCAGGTATGAGCAGTAACCTGTGCTTTCAGGTCGAGAGCTGTGTGCTGTTTTCAGAATTCTGGGGTGGCAGGTGGGGGGAATGTGTGCTCTGGAGCTTGCCAGAAGTAGAATTAAATGTTTCTTAGGTAATAGGAGTATGCATAGGTACTGTAACACCAGAAGTGATGCCTCCAACCGAACTAGCCACAGCATCTATTAAAAATCCCTTTGTACTTGCAAAAGTATCACGTGGGGAGGTGGGAGAGTATTCCACTGACTTGGGTTTTGGGTGATTCCAGTGTCTTTCTCTGTTACAGGTATTTGATTTCCTGCTGATGCTTCGAGCTGACTCCCTCCATCGTCTCGGCCTTTCCAACAAGGATGGAGCCGTGAGGTTCAGCCCTTACTGTCTCTGTGATTTTGTGTAGGTCTCTCATTGCATTAAGGAAAGGCTTTTTTCCAAACTATTTGGTATTTTTGCACAGGCTTAGGGGTCCTTCAGTAGCAGTCTGCAGTTTTTGTAAATCTTCCAAATCCCGATGAATCAGCTGCTTGACAAGTTACAGCCTAGGATTGTCTCATCTAATAACTCATTAGTGAATTGTTCTTACAAATCACTTACCTACAGAGCTCTCAATCTCAGACATGAAATTTCTGTTCCGGCTCACAAAACTTCACAAAAATGTTTTCATTTTCCTGCCTGAAACCAGTTTTCACATTGAGACTTGATTCAATGATTTCTACAAATCTGGCTATTTTTAGTTTTATAGCTCGGTCTGAAGTTCCTTGTGTAACATATCTCAGAAGATACCTTTCTAAATTTGCTGCGGGCCTGGATAGAAAGATCCTTAACCTGACCAAACTGACTCCTTGCTGTCTGTCTACTGGGAAATCCTGTGTTTTTTAATTTAAAATGCAATTTACATTGTTGTTGGGTCGTTAAACTGGCTACCAAATAGGGCAGCACTGTAAGTTCCATGAATAGCCTGTTCTGATCTGGATTTTACATTACATGTATTTTTCTCCCTTTCCGTGTTGTAGAGAAGCAGAGAAGAGGGCTTCTGAGAAAAAGCCCACTGGTACGCTCTCTCCGCCTTCAGGAAGTCCCAGTGTGCCTTCCCAGAACGCCACCGTTCGTATAGGGCATCTGCCATACTCCATGGTCTTCGGCGTCCTCCTGCAGTGTTTGAAGCAAGTACGTCCACTCGTAATGACAGGTGTCATCTTCACGTGAAATATGCCAACTCAAACCAGCTGGCTAGAGAATTCTATCCCAGAGTATCTAAATAATGTCTGAAAAGCAATACGTAAATGCTCCTCCTTGGGCAGAATCTGTGTGTAATTGTGCAGCTTCACGACCACCAGTGGGAGCACCGGTTCAGCTCTTCAGAAACTAAGCAAAGCTTTCATTTTGCTCTGCTTTTTTGCAGACAAGGGCAAAAAATACGTTTGTTAAACCAAGATCGAATAAGTCGTCGTGTTTCTGTAAGGGCATTTGAAACTAAAAGAAACTGTCCTCCTGCAAGTTTTTGAAGTATTTTGAGGATTGCTAAATGTTTCCATTGTTAATAAACGGTGAATATAAATTGTTCATTAGTGCTGTGTTGGATATAGTTATGCGCTGAGGGGTTGTCTTGGTCTGGAAGTTAATTTGTGCTAGTGGTTAGGAGAATTAGATTCTGGCTCTGTCTTTTTGAGCTCAGTCAGATCTGGATGCAAGTTGTCTTCCAGTTTGCGGTGCCAATATTGCACCTAGAGCTGGATGACAGACAGGACATAACTTGTGACAGCTAAATGCCGCTTCTTTTTATGGAGCTACTGTGACAAGACATGCATCTGCCTAGGAAATGGCATGTTGTCTGAAATTTGATTGGTCTTAATTTCAAACTGAACTGAAATAATACAGAAGTCTTCCACCATAACTTTTTCTTTCTCTCCAGGAGACAGACTGGAAGGTGTTGAAGTTGGTCCTCAACAAATTACCTGAATCCCTCCGCTATAAAGTGCTATTTTTAACCTCTCCTTGTAACATAGACCTCCTGGCCTCTGCACTGAGCTACATGGTAATACCATGCACCCTACTGATGTGTAATCATCAGATCCTTAGTCTTCTTGAGAGCAGATTTGGGGAGGGGGGGGTTGAGTTTTTTGTTGTTTTTTTTTCTTCACTCTGATACTTTAGCATGCTAGTTGTCAATCCTCACTCACCTTCCCTTTTTGTGAGGGTTGTTTTAGGTACAGAAGTAGGTAATAATGAGTGTTCTTTCTCTATGTATGTACATATAATGTGAAAAGGGAGCTATGGGCAGTGCCTGTCTACTGCCTTTTAGAGAGCATTTCTAGTGTGAGGTGCTCTAACTTACTGTGTGATGTGTCAGCTCACAGACAAAAAGACTACCGACAGGCTCCATGGTACCCCAGAAGGTTTTTCTCGCACTGATTTGCATCTGGCTGTAGTCCCAGTACTGACGGCATTAATATCCTACCATAATTATCTGGATAAAGCTAAACAGGTATGGGGAAAGTGAGGGTGTAGGGGGGACGGGGCCTGAGCCTGTACACTCGAGCATTTTCTCATACTAGCTGATTGGGAGACTTGAGGGCAAGGTAGCACTGCCCTTTTCTGTTTTAAAAGGCTGTATCTGCTGCATTTGGGGGGGGTCGGGGTGAAAAAATACTTTGCTGACTTCGTGCAGCAGTAACTGTCCGGTCAGTTGGATTCACTGTTCTCCATCCATACCCATCCCCCCTCGCAGGTTGCTGAGTGACCTTATCCTCTGCTGGAAGACGCTGATAAAGATAAAAATTCTGTTTAATCAGAAATGTAAATATTAATTTCTAAAATGTCTACTTGATTAAAGTCCCATCTTAATATTTTGATCTATAATACATGCAACGCTATTTATGATTCTGTGTTAGTGCATTTTGGATAAGAATTCACGTGCATCACACAGGCCTTTCAGTACCGATACCTTGCAAGCCATTCTGAAATGCTAGCTCAAGTCAGGAGATGATGCATCGGAGGTTTTCTCTTTCCCTGTATTATGACTTCTATTTTTTTTTTTTTGCTCTTCTAGCGTGAAATAGTGTATTGCCTGGAGCACGGTCTCATTTATCGCTGTGCAAACCAGTGTGTTGTGGCACTCTCAGTCTGTAGTGTCGAGATGCCCGACATCATCATAAAGGCACTTCCTGTCTTAATTGTCAAATTAACCCACATTTCTGCTACAGCCAACATGGCAATCCCTCTCTTAGAATTCCTTTCAAGTAAGTTGTAATGTTCTTCTACTTTTGATCTTCTGTAGTTGTAAATGTGGTGTTTGCACTGAATATGGGTATTTTGATTGTGTTCGTGATACGGAATGCAATGTAAGGGTGTTTTGTTTTTTGGTGATGCCCTTGCACCATTCTCAAGATATAAATGTTTGATCATCTCTTGTTTGTTACCGTTTTTCTATTTCACTTGCACCCACTGAAGAGAGGGGCATGCTTTGTGTAGTGCAGCCATATGAAGCAAAATACGAAGCTGCTTTCTCTGCCTTGTTGTTTATAACTTAACATCGTGGGTATAATTTCATGCTATTTAACTTCCGTGTCAGCTGATGATTTAGAAGAAACAAAACAATTCAAATGAAACTGAACTGTGATATTGAATAGCTTGTGTTCAGACCTCACCTGTGTTGGTTTTCTTCTTGAACTGTTCTAGCTCTAGCAAGGCTGCCTCACCTCTACAGGAACTTTGCGGCAGAGCAGTATGCCAGCGTGTTCGCCATCTCCCTACCATACACCAACCCTTCCAAGTAAGTTCATAGCAAATGTGCTTCTTCCTCATCTGTGAAATTAAAGAGAATGAGAAATGCTTTTTTGGTAGCACTTGGGTCAAGGTTATTTACGGGTTGTTGCTCATTCTGGTATCTCCAGGCTTCTTCTGAAGAAGGGACATGTTCACCTTGGACAAAATACCTATTTTTCTTGACTTTTGATGTCTTTTTCTTTATACTTACAGTAGGTAAAGGAACAGTTGTGTTTCTCAGATTGAAAAGTCCTCCTGTTCAGTTTCAGGATGGCAGCATAATGCAGCATTAAACTCTCTGGGATCTTTCTGCTGTTTCAGGTTTAACCAGTACATCGTTTGCCTGGCCCACCATGTGATAGCTATGTGGTTCATTCGGTGTCGCCTTCCCTTCCGAAAGGACTTTGTCCCATATATTACGAAGGTAACGGACACTACTGAATCAAACAGAACATAACAAAAGTGATGACTTAAAAACTGGTTTGAGAAGGTTAAAGGTTCTGTTTGAAGCTAGAAAAATTCTACTTTTCTTGTCAACATCTTTTTGAAAGCTGACTGGGAGTCCTTGTGTGCTGGCCCATGATTGCAGGCTTGCGGCTGCACGTCCTTGCCATTCTAACTGTTACCTGTTTGTCTCCATCGGCAGGGTTTGCGCTCAAATGTCCTCCTTTCCTTTGATGACACGCCTGAGAAGGACAGTTTCAGGGCTCGCAGTACAAGCCTGAATGAGAGGCCAAAAAGGTAAATTATGTTTGACTCCAGCAAGGGCTCGCGTTCCCTGTTCTAGTGCTCTCACCCTTCCCTGTGTTCTTCTGAAGGAGGCTGGGTCTAGCTATCCAAAATCTGACAGTGCATTTAAGCAAGCAAAGTAAACCTCTTTAGGTCAAGGGATTGGTAAAAGACAAACTTAGGTTGGTAAGAAGCTGGAATCAAACCAGGCTGACAGTCTGATAGTACATATGTGGGCATCACTGGCTGTTCTGTATGCCTTTGCAGTAAGGTGTGGGGCTTTTTGTTGCTGATTTTTGAAAATCAACAATTCTTTCAGGTTGATGTGTGTCAGTACAGTGCTACCAGAAGTAATAGAATACCGTGGTCCTATTGGTAGTGGTAACACCTTTTGATAATTGACCTGTAAGGACGAAATGATTGCCTGAGAAATTGTTGTGATTAGCAACCTGTGTAAATTGAGAGAGCCAATGCTGTGTTTTTCCATAGCGTTATCTGTCGAGTCAGTGTACTGGGTGGCAGACAGCTGCCTTCTGTGTATCTGGATGTCCTGATCCTTTTTTTGAATCTTGAAGCCATTATATCAGTTTTAAGCAAAGCCTAATGTCTGTAGAAGTCAGAACGTCTCTTTCCAGCAGTCTTTCAGAGTAACATTTGCCAGGATAGGAAAATATTCCTTGGAAGGCATTCAGCGTTCCTCAAACCTCCTTTTACCTGCAGGGCTTACCTAAATTGGTTCACTTCACTTGCTTCAGTGTTGATGTGCAGTAAGCATACCGTGGCATTTGAACCCTGGGGAAAGTGCCTCTACTTTAACTGCAAGGCTCAATGAGTATCTTGCAATGAAGAAACACCATCCCTGCCCTAATGCTATAGCTGTGAACCCTGTTTTGTGTTTCATCTCTCCCATCTCCTCCTCTTTCATTCAGAAACTTGGAAGAGAAGCCTTTTGACACTCGTCTCTCAAATTAGAATTTCAACTAATCCCTTTTCCAAAAACCTGTTAAATTCTACCAGGTTGGAATACTACTGTATCTAAAGGCTTTTTGCTAGTGCTGCTGGATTGCTTTGCACAGAAATCTCTGCTAAGGAGTGTGGGCTGTACTGAGGCAGCAACCCGAAACACCAGAATGGCAGGATGCCACTGCCTCCGAGTCTCTCTGAGCTTGGACTCTGGCCAAGTGAGAGAGGAAATAGCTTCGAGCAGATATCTGTTTCTTTGCTTGAGAAGCTTGTGTGCTTGGTTTTCACTCCTTAAGCCCAGAGAATAAGCATTTCTGTGCCCTAGCTGAGGTGCTGGGTGTTCTGAGAGATCAAGATCCCTGCGGTTCCCAAGGGTGTGGAATGGCATGACATTGGTGTAGGTGATTATCTCGGCATACGAGCCTGTGCTCTCTGCAGTCACATCTCCAGTTGTGGCCAAAAGTGATCTGTAAGAGGTTTTGGGGAGGAGGAGGACAAATAAATTCTGATCCCTCCAGGTGGCTATTAGAAATTAAATAATTCACTGAAAGAAGGGTAGCAAATAAATCATGTTTAGAAAGAGCCAGAAGGGTTAAATTAGTATCTGCATTTTCCATATGGGGATGTGAACTGCTGGACCAACTGTTATGTCCAAATTAGTACTGAGCCAGGCATGCATCTCAGCTGTGACTAATTAAAGTGCCTCTTAGAAGTTAATTGCTGTCATCTCCCACATGTGGTTGGCACCTGACAGTGCAAAGGCTTATCTTCCTTTCTGTTCCAGTTCAAAGTCAGGTGGGTTACCTCGAGCCACCTGCAATTAGGATAGGTCGTTTGGCAGAAAAGCATCACGCGGTCAGCAACAGCCAAGAGGGTGTTTGTCGTCTCGCCCTTCCGTCTGCGCAGCATGAGAAGGACCAGTCTCATGCAGCTGGGCTGAATCTCCCCTCATGTCTCGAGCTGAGCTAAGGGGACCTTTGACTGGCCCTGGGTGTTCTTGTGATTCAGGGTAAAAGCTCAGATTTGGGCCAAGCCTAACGGAGGTAGAGGTGGCTGACGTATTCCTGTGTCTCTCAGAAAAATGTGCTGCTAACTGGTATGTAATGGGTGAAGCATTTTAGGATCTGGTCTCTGTGGAAGTAATCAGGTTTTTAGCTGTGCTGAAGTGGTGAGTTGGGGTAACACAAGGGGTGGTTGAACTGCACAACACTTCTCAGCCTTGAGAAATTTGTGCCAAATTAGCATTCAGGTGCTCTTGCCTTTGTTTAACAGCGCAGTATTCCAACTATCATTTCAATCAGTTTTTTGTTTTAACTTGTACTAATTTCATTTGTTTTGTAGCACGTTTAAAATCTTGTTTTCAAAATGTGGTTTGTCTTTTTAATGCTTTCAGCTCTGCTTGTTTGTACGTTTTAATTTTTTTTTTTTTTTTTCCTTTTTTGGCATTTGTTTTATTTTACATCACCCTCCGGGATCCCCCAATATTGACCCTGTGACCTGTGACCTTTCAACCTACATCCCTACAATGATTTCCTCCCTTCCTGTGACCTCTTTTGGGGCTTGGTGCTTCTCCACCTAGTAGTTTAAGACTAGCCAAAAATGCAAAGCAAGGCTTGAATAACTCTCCTCCAGTGAAAGAGCTGAAAGAATCCTCTGCAGTTGATGCCTTCCGATCCCGCAGCATCAGTGTGTCTGAACATGTGGTCCGCAGGTAGAGGCACTTTAAATGGGGAGAATCCAAGAGCAACTCAGCACTTGGAAATTTTACTGCAAGGGTGGGTGGAAGCAGGGGGGATTTGCATGTGGGGTGCTTGCATGACTTCGTTACGCAATAAAAAACTGTCCTTCGCCACAGTCAAAGGTTTTGGGAAAGTGTCATGGATATCCCATGGCTTCCCAACGCCAGCTATTGGGTTGTCACGTCACTCCCTGTGTTGTGTATGGGTACTTTGCCCTATTCTCTGATGCTTTAGCAACAAAAATTGTTATTTTCAAAGTAAAGATGGTGAAGGGGGGGAAAAACAAACAAACAAAAAGCACCAGAAAAAAAAAAAAAAGGAAAAAGGTTGCATTCTATGCAAGTGAGAGTACTGGTTAAAACTCACTAAAATGTAAAATGTGAGCCTTCTCAGCAGTGACTTGCTCCAGGAGAGGCTTTTGATACTCTGCAAACTTATATATAGGCCCCCTTCCCAAACTGTGAGGAACGGTTCTGGGTTCACTTTAGGATTTGTTCTTTGAGGCAAGGGGAGCTGGCGGAAGTATTCTGGTCTAAAGTATGATGCTGTGAAAACCTTGATGTGTCTTTCTGTAGAGCAGTGAAATGTATGCTCAGCCCATATGCAGCTATTGCTTTCACAATTAAAGAAAACAGTTTTTGATTGCAGACATTGATTTGCTCATGCAAAAGATGAAACAAGTTGCGCTAGTTTTTAAAAACATATTTCTGGATCGCTTCCCTTGAGTGCTAAACTGCTGTCTGTAACATGTTGGTTTAAAATCTGAACCTGAAGATTTGTGCCTTAATGTGTAAGGATTGCTGTCGGTGGAACTTTATTTTCTGTGTTTTTATTTTTGACTATATGTTATTTGGGGGAAAGACACTAAAGTGACTGAATTGTGAATACAATTCTGGCACTTCATTCTCGGATATCCCCATTAATCTGTTAGGTGATTTTCTTCTGATATTTATGTGTAAGTGGCAGCAACTAAAAGTTCAGATAATTATGCTTAATGATGACAAAGAAGTTGCTATGTCATAAAAAATTTGGCTCTACCTCAGCTTAGTTTGTATTCCGATGGCATAAGGGGTCGTCTTTATAAAATACTGGGATCTAACCTGTTATTGCAATTGTTTTAAATTGCTTTGCTAACTTGGCTGTTTTGAAGACAGAGTGGCTTTCTACTCTTGTGCCAATTTCCTGTTCAGAGTGCAATATTTTTCTGTTTCAAGTTAAATTAGATTTTACATAGCTATTGAATTTGGAGGAAAAAAATCAGGATGTGAAAGGGATGCAACAGAGAAAAAAAGCAAACCACAGGATTATAAAGTTAAGCCCAGAGTGCTCTGATTTATGGCTCATGGCAACATGTTGCCTGGGAAACTGTGCAGGTCACGGGATGCTTGCCCTTGCTGTGGACTAGCGAACTCAAAGCATGGTGCTGCTGCTCACTCTTTGCTTGGTGCACTTGCCCCAGGGCCACCCAACATCAGAGAGCACTGGCCTGACCTAGTCGGGTGACGGACATTTAAATGTTTCTCAAGTCTCTCAAGTTAAAATCTGCTTTCTGCAACGACAATCTACAAAGCACAACATCGGGCTGATCCAAAAATATTTTGATTACATCCTGGGTTTAATGTCTGGCCACCTCTCTGATCTGGCACATGCATGTATCGCAGGTTGTTCTGCATCACAGTGTCTTTCGGGTGACAGGGACGAGCATTTTGCAATGTGATCTGTCAGTTGGAAACATTCTCTTCTAGTCGGATACAGACATCCATCACTAGTTCAAGCCTGGGCTCTGCAGATGAAAATTCAATGGCTCAGGCTGATGACAACTTAAAAAATCTCCACCTGGAACTCACGGAGACCTGTCTGGATATGATGGCTCGCTACGTCTTTTCAAACTTCACTGCGGTGCCTAAGAGGTAGGGGTCAGTCGGTGACCACGGGAGAGATGTTTTTGTTTGAGGTTCATATTTCACTTTACTAGTGGAAAATTACCGTGACACATTTGAGATTCTGGCAGGCCCAGGCTCCGAAGCCATTCCTTGCAGATAAAATCTGGCTTGGCTAAATACGACGTTAGAGGAGAGAAGCCCATTGGAGCCAACCAGCCTTTGCCTCGGCCTTGAACCGTCCAGAAAGCGATGCCTCGAAGGCGTGCAGTCTGTGAGCAGTGCTTTGCTCCATGTCCTTGCTGGATAATCACAGTCTTCGCTGCAGAACCGAGTGTGGTGCCAGCTGGCTTGAAATGGAGGGCATTTACTTTTCTCACTGGCCCTTCCCAGGAGATGCATAGCTCAGACAAGGCTCGTTCCCTTCTGCTCTGTGATGTGTGTCCAGGATTGAGCTAGACTGCTCTGTAATGTATGTCCAGTAGTACTACTCTCAGTTGATATTAAATTCAGCTCACCTCTTAACCTGATGATTAATGTGTATGTTGACAACCAGGGGGTACGTGAAAGATGCTGCATAAAGGAAAGCAGGCGGTACCCCCTGCATAGTTACATGAAATAAGGCACCTGTGTAGGCTCTGTGCTCTGCAGTCCAAGAGCAGTGTTCATCACAAATGTGTTTCTAGGTCTCCAGTGGGTGAGTTTCTGTTGGCTGGAGGAAGGACGAAGACGTGGCTGGTTGGTAACAAGCTGGTGACCATCACTACAAGCGTTGGAACAGGGACAAGGTCCCTGCTTGGCCTAGACTCTGGAGAGCTCCAGAGCAGCGCAGAATCAAGGTAATTTTTGCTCCCATTTCTAGAAATTTCCACCTAACAAAATCACTTAACTCAATGTTACAGTGCATCTCTTCAGGTTTTTCTCTTACCAGAAGAGGAATGTCTTACTTGTCTAGCATGACTGATTGCTCTCTCAATATCAGTATCTTCTTTTTCCACAGCTCAGACCCTGTTTTGCAAGTGAGACAAACTAAAGAAGCTCCAGCAAAACTGGAATCTCAAGCTGGGCAGCAGGTTTGCAGAAGCTCTCGCAACAGAGTCCGATCCATGTCTGGTAAATACCTATCCTGGACTCTTACTGCCATTTCTGGGTCCGTGTCGCAGGTTTAAGTGTCCAAGGGCCTTACTGAAGAGGCCTGTGGCTAAGCCGATGTGAGAACCTGGACCTGTCTGGTATTTACCAGTGGGCAGCAGCAGCAGCTTTTGGCCTCAGGAGGTGGTGCTCCTCCTGCTCGCCTCTCCTTGCAGCAAAGCTTTGGTGATTGGTTAAGTGGTGGGTGCTTGCCGTGAGAACCACTTCTGTTTATCTAACCTCGTGGTTTTTAAGGAACACATGGAAAGTAAAGTTCTCTTAGGTTCCCAACACGATGCGCACAGCTGCTAGAGGAGCTTAAAACACTGACTACTTGTGAGATTTTTAGTGCTAACTGAGCATGGCTCTCCCTTCTCTTTTGTGTCTGTCTTTCCAGGTGGTCACGCCTTACGTGTTGGTGCCTTAGACAGCTCAGCCTCCCATTTTCCCAGTGGCTCGGCTTTCCAAGGGACACAGGGGCCTCCTGCTCCTACATCTCGATCAGAGAAGACCAATGCTGCTCCACAGACACCTCTGCAGAAAGAAAAAGCAAACCTAGCTGCGTATGTCCCGCTGCTGACACAGGGATGGGCAGAAATCCTAGTGCGCAGACCCACAGGTATTCTACCTGAGTGTGGAGTGAGCTCTTTTGACTTGCTAGGAAACCAGAGCCTGGCTAGAGAAGAAAAATCCATCTTTAGTTGCAAATGGATCTCTTTATTGCTTGCTGCCTCTTGAAGCTAATACATTTGATACTTGATTCTTTGAAATCACTCCTGAGTGTTTTAAATCTACAAAAGACCTGCAAAAAGATCGAAGCAGGGACTTCAATTTATATATTAAGTACTGGTACAGAAATAGAGCCAGATAATATCAACCCTACTTTGCATTTCCCATTTTTACACTGCTCCGTGGTCTTTCTTGAAAATCTGCGTGTGCTGTGTTTTAGCTTCCCGTGCTGGATTCGAGATGAATGAGGCTTATGGCTGGAGCAGCTGCACAGCTGTGTCTGCTGTTAGGGGAGGAGTAATGACCTGTTCAGGGTCAAAATTCTTGAACACTGCTATGTCACTCAACATTTACAAGGAGTTGTCTATTTCAGCTGAAAGTTGCTTCATGAGAAAATAACTGACCTGGTATTAATTAAGATACCTGAGTGTTTTGGACGTCTTTTAGGAATCTGCTGTAGTGATGAGTTACTGAGGATGGTTTTTGAACAGCTCGGGGTGAAGCACAGAGCACTGGGAGCTACTTACTGAAAATAGGACATTAATCAAGTGATTCTGCCAAACGTCAAGAGAACTGAGAACTTGGTCCATTTTGATTTTTACTTTCAAAATCCAAAACAATTTGTGCTTTTTTCATGCGAGTTGTAAACTTTCTGGAGTTGGGAGTACTTAATACTCTTTCCTAATTTTCTCTTACCAGGTAACACAAGCTGGCTAATGAGTCTGGAGAACCCGCTCAGTCCATTTTCTTCAGATATTAACAATATGCCCCTGCAAGAGCTCTCTAATGCACTCATGGCTGCAGAGCGTTTTAAAGAACACCGAGAAACGGCTCTCTATAAATCCCTCTCTGTCCCTTCCTCCAGCTTGGCCACGGGGACAGCCAAACCATCGCTTCTCCAGCGTTCCAACACAGGTGAGAGACGTCATGCCAGCAGCGTGTCCAGCATAGCTGTCACTAGCCTCTTTAAAGTCTGTTGAAGTTACTGCAGGTCTTCTAGAGCAGTAAAGTTTGTAGCATGAGGAATAACATAGCAGTGGGAAGGGGAATCAGTTCTTGTCCCTAGAAGTTTTCAGTGAAAAATTCCCCCTTCCTCCTTGCTTCTGATGTTCCGTTGGAAAATTACCTCTCTTTCTTAAGGAGAAGAAAGGGAGGAGCAACGGAGCTTCTTTGGAGGAGTAATGTGTTTCGTGCTAACTGTTTCCCAAATGAAAATGATCAAAATCATGGATCTTTTCCCTCTTCCACTTGTTTGGGGCTGATCTGGGCGTCCCACATGTGGACGGATCTTCCCATGCAGCGTTTCCATTTCCATTTGTCTCCAGTATGGGAGTTTATGTTGGGCACTAAGAGCACCAGGTTCCTGGGAGCCTGGCCTGTTGCAGACCTTGCCAGCCAGGGTCAGTTAGCTGCCACTGTCTCTTACAGCATGAGATAGCAGAAAGCAAATCCTGTTGGCTGTGGATTTATTCACCTCTTAAAAGGAGTATTTAGCCTTCAGCCTGGTGCAGTTGAATCACTTGATTTTCTTTTGGTGCCTTTATTTTAACATGGTGGCCAGGGCTTTTCACTATATTTACTTCAGTGCTAGATCACTTCCAAAAGAGCTGTTAATGTTGGGAGGTTAGTGTTGACCACAGCTGAAATTTTTAAAGCTTTATGTAATCCCTGCTCAGAGCTCTTATCAACAACATCTACCACTGAGGCTCTTGGCAGTGTCAAAACTGAGCAGTGGTAGCAGCAGACAAGGCTTTTCTGGGGAGGTGGCATTAATGCTATGGATTCTTTGGAAATCTGATAAAAATGCTAGTTTTCAGGTTTGTTTTAAACAGGGCAGGGTAGGATTTTAAGATTTCAGAATGTAAACACAAAATTAGGGTCAAAATCATATTACCACCTTTTTTAAAAAAAAAAAAATAATTCTTACCTGTGAACTCTTATTGACTCCTACAGATTTGTGGTATATAGATGCTAGGTGATTAGTTGAAAGAAGGAGCCACCTGTCTGCCACTTCTGTGGCAGCCTGAGAAAATAATTTTGGGCACATTTTTGTTAACACAAGTTCTGCAGTAGACTTGCCAAATCTGGCTGGAGAACAAATGTTTGAAGAAGTTTTGCTGTCAGACTGTCATATGCATGTTGTTCTTCTTTAGAGGATAAAACTATGTGGATCTTTATTCATATTTCTACTCTTTAGACTCTTCTGTGGGTTTAAACATGATCTTTTGCCAGAAGTGTGTAGCTCAGGAAAAGCTCAGACTGGTTGCCTGCGTGTGCTAGCATATCACTAAGGAATTTTCTGTTTCTCAAACTCACAAAGATGCATTCTTTGAAAGACAGCAGTTTGAGTCTACATTGTTTGAATGTGTTTATGCTTCTATATTCATGTTGAGACCTTGTGCCCTTAAAGTATCCCTTTGGCATCTAGTGAGCTTATCCCAGCTTGTTCTTTCCTTTGTTTTTATTTATTTATTTATTTATTTTAAAATAGGCTCTTGGTTACATTTTAAACTCTGTGCTTTTTAATTTTTTTTTTTTTTTTTCATATAGTCTCTCCTTCCTTTTGATGTAGCTGCTCACTTGATTTCCCTTTGCAGTGGCCTCTTTCTCTTCCATGTACCAGTCCAGTTGTCAAGGGAAGTTGCACAGGAGCATATCCTGGGCAGGTATATTTATATATCTTTAAGGAATAAAAAAAAAAAAAAAAAAAAAAAAAAGTATTGCCATAGAAGAACACCTCTGATTCATAGAAAATGTATCCCTCATACTTCATTTTCCCCTTCCATGTCTCCCGTCTGTACCCAGTCTCATTACTCTCAAAAAATGGGATCTTGACTAGCATGAAGAAGTCCAAGCCAGATCCAACATTTGCAAGTGCAGACAATTTCTTAAAGCAACTTTTGTTTTAGCTGAGGTGGATTCTGAGTCATAAGGCACGGTGTTAAATGACCTGTCAAAATGTCCGAGTGCCTTGATTAATTGAATTATTTAGTTTCAGCTTCGTTTTACAATTGGCTTTGTGTTCTGCTAAATGTAAAGACTCCCACTTCTGAGAATAGCATAGCATGCTACAGGACAAGCTACCCTGAAATGAAGTCCCATGCTACTCAACCCACAGGAATCTGTCAGAATTGGACACAGAAAAGATAAAAGGAGCTGATATATATGTCTGATATACATATATAAAGTTTGACATTAGAGCGGATGCTGGTTAAAAGTTTTTTAAATAAAGAAAGAAGAAATATATTTCAAGGGAAAACCTGCTAAATTCTAGCCTTTTGGAGGCTCTATAGTAGTGTAAAATCTATCTCCACTTCAGTAAAATTGACTTTGTAATGAAATGAAGTGGAGATCAAATTGCATACCTTATGAGCACAACATCTGCATTGCTTTGATAATCCGCAGTGCTTTGTGATTTTAATTAGAGGGTTGAAATGTCTTTCTGCCTTCTTTTCTTCACTGGAAAATTCTCTGTAGAGCAGCAGGGTATTCTGAACTGCTGGTTGCTGTTCACGCAGGCCTCTTAAAGCAACACAAAGATGCTGCAGTAAAATATTTTCCTGTACTTCTCCTCTCTGCTCATATTATTCTCTTCCCACCTAAAGAATAATTAGTGCTGGCATTATTTAAAAACACCAGCAATCTTGGCAGTAGTCTAATAGCTAGGGAAGCTTGGAAACACTGGATGTATGCAGGTGTGTTCTGGCTTGGACAGCTAACCAGATCAGCACGTTGTTTTGAGTTGTTTTTTGTTTGTTTGGTTTTTTTTTTGGTTTTTTTTTTTTTTTTTTTTAGAAGGTATGTGTGTGCAATGCTAACTCTTAATTGCTTCTTTGAAATAACTTTGGTCCTGCGAGCTGAAATCAATCCAGGAAAAGCTGCTTTAGTGATTATTTATTTTATTTTATTTTTTTATTTTGCCGATTTTCTTTATTTTTTGTGTGTGCTAATTTTACTTACTTATTTATTCATTTTATTTTACTTTGGAAAACAAATCTTGGCCTTTCAGATTGGTCTTCAACTCCCTTGTGTGCGTAACGGGAAGCCTCCTGTTCTCCAGCCTTTTCCTCAGGACAAAAAAGCAAGGCCAAGAGGCGCCTTTGGTCAGACTCATCCCTGTGCTCGGGGTCACTGCCTGGAGTAGAGCCAACGTTAAACGCTGCGATAACCTCCTCCACCGTAGGCAGGGCGTCCAAGGAGCTTTCTTGTCAGTGTGGTTTCATTGACCATTTGTCTGATCCGATGCCACGTGCAGGTTTCCCAGTATTGCTGCAGTGCATGTGTTACTCTTGCTCTCTTGTCCTTTCGTATGTCTAGGGCTGAATTGTTTTGCTTCTACTGAGACATACTAGGAAAACTGCCAAACTGTCAGTAAACGGCTCCTAGTAAAATTCCTTATCTCCTTCTAGGCCACTACAAGGCACAGGAACATTGCATTGCAATCCAAGAAAAACTTACTTTTTTGCACACTTGCATAGAACTGATGTCTTCATTGCCTGGATAATGATGAACTTTTAATGCTAGTCTTGTACTTTCTTACATCTCTGTAGTTCCTGTCTGTCCTGATAACCGAGCATTGATGTACAAGGTCCCATTTCCTCATTCTGTCCCCTGCTTGTTCATCAGTAACAATTGAAACCAACTGCACTTATTTTGACCAAAGCAGACGCAGCCCTTTGCTGTGAGGGTAAGGCAATCAGTTATCCTATACAAAAGGGGAACCAGGAGCAAGTCTGACATGACAAGAAATGAAAGAACCAGAGCACTCATTCAATGTGTGGCCTTCCATTGAAATCCCGTAGGGAAAAGGCTGGTACTTCAGAGGAGAGGATGGGGGCCTGCCAGTCCGTGCCTCTCGACAGGCTTCAGTTCTTCTGCCTTGTGTCTCGATAGAATCGGCGGTGGTGCTGGAGGAAGGGAGCCCCTCGGAAACGGAGCTAAAGGAAAGCGAGTCCCCAGCCGAGTCTCCGGAGAGTGAGGACATCGAGACTTCATGTTCTGAACAAGGCCTGAGCGAGGAAAGGTTTGGTAAACCCCAGGAGTCTTATAGCAGGGTAAGAAGAAACAGGTTACGGGTTCTGTCCTGTATGACGGCCCTGTCTGTAGGCGCACGGGAGAATTGTCGGTGCTCGGCTGAGTCCTGCTTGGCTCCCTCTGAAAGAACTCACTACGGATATCAAAATGCGCATGCAGTCGTGATTGGGAGTTTGGATGGCTTGGGAGGGGCTGCACGCAGAGCAGCAGCACTAAATACCTCTTTTATTTGGAGTCCTCGGATCTGCATCACTTTGTGCTTGGCACCTTTCTGCTCACCTTTCCCTGGAAGTGTCAGGGGGTGCCCCGAGCATTACTGTTGTCAGCTTTTATTTTGCGTATCAGGAAAACTGTTCATCTTTGTTTCTCCCTCTTTAAGTCCTCCTCAACCTCCAGCCAAGAAGAGAAATCTCTGATGTCAGAAGGCCTGGTGGAGGGAGGAATTCCCATTGGGAGAGTCCTGCCCTCCGAGGACGGCCGAACGCTGGAGGAGCTTTCCTTCCAGCCATCCCAGCCGCTCAGCAAGTCGAGTTCTTCCCCCGAGCTACAGACACTGCAGGAGGTCCTCAAGGATGCAAACGGCAGGGAAGTGACGAGGAGGCTGAGCACAGAAGTGAAATCAAAATCCCAGTCTGGGAACCTGGAAGGGGAAGGGCTGGGCAGTTGGCTGGGCAAGGGGGAGGATGCCCGAGCGAGCGGGGCAGGCGGGTTGGATGGCAGTGGCCCTGTCACCTCGCCTCGCTCCCCCTCTGGGCACCGGCCCCGAGGATACACCATCTCTGACTCAGCCCCATCAAGGAGGGGGAAGAGGATCGAGAGAGATGCCTTCAAGAGCAGAACAGCAGCCTCCAACGCTGAGAAAGTACCTGGGATAAACCCAAGGTGGGTGGAGGGGCTGATGTGCAGCTAAAAGCGGTGAGCTCCGAAGTGCTGCAGCCAGGGCTGGGTTTGTTCAAAGTGGTCTGCTGGTTTTGTGGGATCTGCAAAACAGTATCTGAAAAAAAAAATATAAAATCTCTCTAAAAGGAAAGATTAACGACCTGTTTTATCAGGAGCTAATACAGACGTGATGAACCCACCACCACCAAATCAACTTTGTGGTTTAGGAAACAGGTCTCTTAGACGGTGAAAGAAATGGACAAACAGGTCTTAATCTATCCCAATTTAGGGTCCATGTGGACGTGTGGCTTGACTTCAGGTCATCTAGAATTAATTTGGCTGTGAACAGGATGAATTACTGGCCTCGCAGTTCAAGCAAGAAAATGTGCTGAATACTGAGACTGAAAAGGAGGGGCTATAGTAGTTGCTTTTCGAACTTTAGCTACTGGTAGTTGCCCAGAATTGCATTACGAGACAATCTTCACCTTACGGAGGGCAGGTAAAATGCAGATGTCTGTGCAATCCTTTATCTGCTAGCCCAGACCCCCCCGTAGCTGTGAGGCAGGCGTGTGTCCCGGCGCCCCTGTTCTGTGCAGAGGTTGCCTTTTGAACGGGGACTTTGTGCGGCGGCTGCTGTTGGACACGACCGTTGTTTCTCCTGACAGGGGTCTGTCACAAACTGCAGGTAGTCCGGGCACCTGCAGTGTCGCTAGAGGATGAGCAGTGCTCTGTTAGCATTTTAATTGCTCCTCTTTTTCTTCCCTACGTAACGTTTGCACATACAGCAGCTCAAAATTGACTTCATTTTTGCTAACAGGACTTTTTTTTCCCCCTCTCTCCCTTAGCTTTGTGTTTTTACAGTTGTACCACTCCCCATTCTTTGGAGATGAAAACAACAAGCCGCTTTTGTTGCCAAATGAGGTAGGCAAGGATATTTTTTTTTTTTTTTTAAATTCTTGTAATTAATTCTTCTAACCTCATTACTTTTTTTTTTTTTTTTTTTTTAAACATAAATGATAGTAATGAATGTCCAGCTCAGATGGTGCAATTTAAAGGTGTTTCCTACTAACAGTGCTACAGATTTTTCTGTACCTCAGTTCTGGTGGCTCTCACTTCATGGCTCTGGATTGAAATTGAGATATTAGGAGATTTTGCTGGTGCTGTTTCAGAATCCCAGTCAGAAGGCAGGATGGTTTGTGGAGTTTTGGTTTTTGCTGGTAGGAGGAGTGCAGGATGAAAACTGAGCATTAGGTGACACTGGCAGAATGTCGTTAGACAAACCTCTCAGCCCTCTGTATAATTGGGAGAGGCCAAGAGGCGGCCTGAGGTCGTAGGAGAAATTAGTCATAAGCTTTGTGGAGAAGTAGTGCAGGAGTGGGGGGTTCCTGTGAGCCCCACGGGCCGCCCGCCGATAGTTTTTCCTGCGCTTCCAGTTGGGGGGGTCAGGCAGAAGGGAGCCCGGGTGGGATGAGATGATGCCTGCTGCTAAAAATGTTCTTCAGAGCAAGAGGCGTGGTAATTTTTCATGCCTGGAGCTTAAACGAAGATACGATGTGATTGGTGATGGCAAGTGCATCTAACCAGTGCAGTTTGCCAGATTAATCTTGGCTGAAGAATAAAGCCAAGAAAGCGTGGTGGCGGGTGCCACCTCGCCCTGCCCTGTGCCTTGGGCTGGTGGTGCCCTGTGCCTCTGCAGAACAGAGCAGGGCACCGTTCGCTGGGGAGGACACTAGTGAAGGTCAGGAATCTCTGCTTACCTTGCGCTGTCATTGTCCTGAGGGGATTTTAGGGAGGGCAGTGGGGGTGTGGAGGTAAGTTTTTAAAGATGGGACCCATGTTTTGATTGCAGACGTTTGAAAGATCGGTGCAGCTCCTGGATCAAATTCCTTCTTACGACACCCACAAGATCGCAGTGCTCTACGTTGGGGAAGGCCAGGTGAGTTGTGTGCAGGTGCACTAATCCTTTAATGTTACATCTCGACAGGAGCTGAGGCGCTGCTACTCCAGCTGGGAGATTTGGCCTGCTCCTGCAGTAGCCTTGCTTTTCCTTAGTTTCTTGTACTAAAAATCAGTGTCTGTGTGAAGCCCTTCTAGGAAGGTAATAACCTCGTCGCCCGTGCTGACTGAGCGCTCTTAGCGGTCAGGGTGGGACTCCTGTGTTCTTATTTCCTAGAGCAACAATGAGATTGCGATTCTGTCAAATGAACACGGATCCTACCGCTATACAGAATTCCTGACCGGGTTAGGGAAGCTCATCGAGCTCAAAGACTGTCAGCCAGATAAAATTTACCTTGGTGGCCTGGACGTGTGTGGGGAGGATGGACAGTTCACCTACTGTTGGCACGACGACATCATGCAAGGTAAGGTGGCTTCGGATGTTGGAAGTGGAAGGATGGTCTCTTCTCATCTGAAGACTGACCTGCCCTCTACAAACTATTTCCTTTCCAGGGATGTAGGAAAGATGACGTGGGGCTCTCTTCTCCCTTTCTCTCTCTGGTATCTCTGCAAACCGTATGTTAAAGTTTGGGAGAGGTGCATACCTGCCTTAATTAAGGGAAAAAAAAAAAAATCACTTTTAAAGTAGCCTGCTCTATTAAAGGTCGGTACGGTTTGGTGTAGAGGTTTGTAGAATAAGCTGTTTGTTCTTGAGCTGCTGTGGAAGCTGTTAATTGAGGGTTGTGTGTACACGTTGGAGCTTGGCTAAACCTTCCTCTGAAGATGGGTCCTGAAAGCAGGAGGGTTGTCATTTCTGTCGTCGCTGCTAATTGAACTGCAGCGTTACCCAGCGGCGCGGGTATCATCCCGGCTCCACCAAGCTACCATCAACTTCCCAAATTTTCAGTACAGCTCTGTGCATCCCAGTCATCAACTTTGTGTGGTTCAGTGGAGCAGCTGCGGTGACTCAGCGTGGCCCTGGTGCTCTGCAGAGCTCAAGCAGGGGAAGTCCTGGCTTTAGCTATTTTAACTCTTCCTCCTTGAAGCGGATTCTACTGGCCGTGCTACTGCAGTCATGGACAGATCGCCCAGAGGCATGCCACAAACAAGGACAAACCTATCCAGGGAGCACAATTTGTATTTTGTTATTATCGTGGCGCTGGTGCTACTTTGCCTTCCAGACAGGTGCTGCGTGTTGACCATTGCTGCTGCCAATCCCAGGCCCGGCTAAGGATTTTTCTGTTTCCTCTTCAGCCATTTTCCACATTGCTACTCTGATGCCCACAAAGGATTTGGATAAATACCGCTGTGACAAGAAAAGGCACCTTGGGAATGATTTTGTTTCTATCGTTTACAATGATTCTGGAGAAGATTTTAAACTGGGAACAATAAAGGTACAGGATTTCACTTGCGGACATGTTATAAAACAGGCACGTGGCTGTTTGTAAAACCTTAATCTGATGTGTATTATCTTGGCAACCAGTGTGAGATCACGAATGGAGGTTTTCTGCCCTGGTGGGGTCACGTGTGTGCGCTCACGGCACTCGCAAGAATCCCGATGGCTGCCAGTAAAAGGTGTATGACTGTTTTACTGTTCTCTCACTAGGGTCAGTTCAATTTCGTGCATGTCATCATCACACCGCTTGACTATGAGTGTAACCTGGTGACGCTGCAGTGTCGGAAAGGTAGGACTCCCTCCAGCCCTTGTTCTCAGCCTTTCCTGTATTGGTGGTGCAGTAACTGCCTGAGCTTTGCAGTGGTTTTGTGTTTCAGAAGTAAAAACTTCCCAGTGAAACTCTGTGAAACCAGTTTGCTGCCCAGTTACGTCTGGGTGTGTCCTGTTCATATGTCTTCCCCAAGATAAGAGGTGTTTTCCCATTGTACCACTCACATGGTCCTCAAGCTGAAGACAGAGCGCCAGCGGAGTAGAGCGGGTCCCTCCAACAATTTCTTGGCAATGCTGGAGGTGTGAGGTGCTGGTCCCTGCGGCTCCGGCCTCCGCCGGCCTTCCCCAGCGCTGCAGGGCCCCGAGCCTTGCAAAGCGCTGGTGCGGTGATCCGCAGGGGCCCTGGCTTTCCTCCCGCCCTCCTGGGGTGCTTTTTGCTCCCACTTTGGTTCGTGCGATGAAGAGCCCAGCAGGCTCTCCTCGGACCTTTACAGAGCAGCCAGAATTCGAAAGCTGGTCGTGTTCAGTTGCAGCGCACGTTGTGTTACAGTTGGAGCCGTTAGAGCTCGATGGGAGCTTCTGAGACTCGGTGATGCAGTCCCTCCCGTTTATGTTACTTACCCGTTTAGTTACTGGCAACCCCTGGCTTGGTCTTAACTGCCTGACAAGAACTTTATTTTCTTCTTCCTTTAAAACAAAGACATGGAGGGTCTCGTAGACACGAGTGTCGCTAAGATCATCTCTGATAAGAACCTGCCTTTTGTAGCCCGTCAGATGGCCTTGCACGCTAACGTGAGTACCCCCGAGCTCCCTCAGACCCTCTGTCTTTCAGCTGGTGTCTTGGTCCACCCCCAGCTTCCAAGGCAACGAGTAGGCCTTGCTAAAGCAAATAAATAAGTTTTCTGCTTCAGTTATTGCTGTCAACCTTTAGGTCAGCTTTAGCACGCCAACAGTTATAACTTAGAGCTGTATTTCAGTTGCTGTCAAACTGTACTGAAAGCTTCTGTTGATTTTATTGTGGTGGTTACGTTAATGTGCCTCCTCTCTTTCCCTGCTTCCCCCCTCTCCCCTCCCCGAATTAGATGGCTTCCCAGGTTCATCACAGTCGATCAAACCCTACTGACACCTACCCATCCAAATGGATTGCAAGGCTGCGTCACATCAAGAGGCTACGCCACCGGGTGAGTAAAGCTGTTCCAAGTGTGGGGAGCTGGGCTCTGCCTGAGAGCCGTATTACAAATAAGGCACGTAAAATCGGCGCTCAAAGGGTGCTGAGTAAGAGGAGGAACATGCCCACGAAGGTTAGAATCCAGCTCTCGTGGGAATGACCGGTGTAGCGATGTAGGTCTGGACTCGGGAGCTTCCCAACAGCTTCCCTGGAGGCAAGAGGGGTGGGAACCCCGATACCCAGGCACGGAGCTGCCCCGTGCGAGGGCTGGGGGGGAGAAGCTGCCCCGAGTGACCTGCCCTGCCCAGACGGAGAGCGAAAAGGCTCCCGGAGAGAACGGAGCTCATCCGCTCTCCTTTGACTTCCAGCTGCGTGAAGAAACCCAGTACCAGACTCCTGGCCTTCCCCTGCAGATGCACCCGTCCGCTCCCACGAAGCCGCCTCCCCAGGCGCCTCAGGACCCTCCTCCCACCTACGAGACCGGGCAGAGGAAGCGGCTCATCTCCTCGGTGGACGACTTCACCGAGTTCGTGTAGCTCCCGGCGGGTCGGCGTCTCCGTCCTGGGACAGTGGAGGCAGCGGAAGCCGGGACGGAGGGCAGGGGGGCTGGGCGGGCGCCGCGTGGCCCTGCTGCTCCCCGGGGACGCGGCGGGGGGGCTGGAGCCTTTCGCTGCCTCAGCCCGCCGCGCGCGTCCCAGGAGGAGGCTGTCTTCCCCAGCAGATGCTCCAGGAGAGGACCAGCGCTACGTGTTTCGTTTTTATTTGGTTTGAGCTATTTCAAGGCTTCCGTCACCGATGGGAACTCTCTTGCAGAACCTTTCTTTGGACTCCTTCCACGCTGGCCTCCGGTGGAAGCAGACAAAGCCTGATATTCTGTAGGTCGTCACGTAGTTGGAAGGCGCAGGAATTGCGGGAATTTTGACGACTTTATTGGCAATGAAATATGAAGTGCTGAAATCCAGTCACTGTTTCTAAGCACCCTGGAATCCCAGCTCCTCTCCAGGCCTTGGTGCCGCTCGGCACTTGAACTCTTCAGGCTCTCGGGCTCATCCTGCTGCCAGCTCTGCTAAAAGTTAATGTGGGTTCCTGAGTGACCCGCCAGACGTGCTGCTTAAATTCCCAACGATTTGTCTCCGTTTTGAGAGATTGACAGCGAACCCTCCCTCATTGAGCAGAAATGATTTCGCTGCCAGAAGTGACACGGAGCAGGGAGGTGGGTGCCGCCCGCCAGAGCAGCGGGACGGCAGAGAGCTGGGCCACGGATCGCTTGGGATGAAGGGTCTGACTTGGAGGATCGAGCCAGAGGCCAGACCCGGCTTTTGGAGGCTCAGCCGCAGGATTTCCCCTGGTTGCAGCGCGGCGGGGGGGGGTACCGCTTGCCCTCCCCTGTGCACCCGGTAAATCCCCTTTTGAAAGACTGTTGCCATGTCTCGGGGCATCACCTCTCCGCGAGTTTTGCCTGTTGCACTAACGCCCAGTGACAGTCGCTCCTGGGACCTCGGCGGCGACGGTCCTGGCCGTGCAGCGCGTGTGCCGCTGCCGGGGGGGTCACGCAGCCCATCCTGCGCGGAGATGGTCGTCAGACACTACACTACCAAACCGGGAGGGAGAAACCCCGGAAGCTGGATTATACTGTGAGTACTTCATCTCCTGCTTTTGTCAATAAACGGGGAGCGTGGCTTTTTGGCAACAGGTAACAGCAGCGCCCTTGCGAGGGAGATGAAGACAAGTGCAATCTGCACCCGGAACTGTGAAGTGACAGGCGAGGGGGCGAAAGCGACGCTACGAGCTTGTGCAGGGCTGTTGGGGAACTCTAAGTGTACGTTGTGTTTTGAGTGTTTCTGAGTCGTAAAGGAAATAAAATATTCGTGTGGTCAGTGGGTTCTTGCTGGCCTGGGAAGATTCAAACCGTGTTTCATAATAACGTAAATTCCTTCCTCCTTTCCCCCTTTTTTCCGATGGGGATCGCTCCTGTTTCAGCCCCAACTCCAAGTGCTGGACCCGGGGTGCTGCCCCCCGGGGGTTTGGGTTCAGGCGACCTCCGCAGCGGGCGGCCCTGCTGTCACCATTTCCAGAGCAGCTCGTTTGCCCTGGCGCCTGCCCTGGCCGAGTCTCCTTCCCCTTCACCGCCACCCTGCTGTCCTTAATTACAGCCCCGAGCTGCCCCGACAGTCTGGCCGATTTCAGCAAGTGTCTTGTGTCCTGCAGGAGACCCGAATTAAAATTCTGGTCACAGAGAGAACGACGAAGGGGTGGGGAGGAATGGCCCTGGGCTGAGCTCTGCGAGGGCGCTGCAGCAGGCGGAACAAAAGCACCAGAGCCAGGTCCTAGCAGTCAGCTTTTATTTGACCTTGTCATTTTTTAAGAAACATCCCCACAGTTACAAAACATGCTATTTTTGTTTGCAGTGAAATGCTGACCAGACAGTAACAGTTGGCATACTGGTCACAATCATCAGTTTTGGGGTTTTTTGTTTTTTGTTTTTTTTTTTTTTTTTTAAAAAAAAAAAGCACTTGTGTAAATCCCTCCCTCTCCCTTTTTAACTAATGGATAAGGTTTTTTATTTAAGCAGCTTGAGAGTGTTGCATCTTTGTGAGACAAGACAATAAATAAGAAACCATCTCTTGGTGACTACAAACACAGAAATATACATTCAGGAGTATTTACGGGCTAGGGCTGCAAGTCAAGTTTATTGCTGTCGAGGGTCTAACTCCGTGCCTAGGAACTCGGGCTGCAGCGAAGTGCATGTAGGCGTGGGACAGCGACGGAACCCCGCGAGTGCTGCTCGAGTTTGCACAAATAAGAGAACTACGCTTGCTTGAAAGCTGTCAGGGGCGCCCGTGGGCCCACGCGGAGGTGTTGGGCTTTTTTCAAGAAACAACTGCGGGTTCCAGAGCTGCTCTCCGTACTCGGAGGGAAGGGCAGAAGTAGGGCGGTTGTCCTATCCTGATTCTGCTCCTCTTTGATTAGAAGAAGCACTTGGTAAGTCACACGCATCCAGTCACACTCACACGCGGGCAGAGCGAGCTGGGTAAGGGACGGACTTTTGTGGGGCCAAAAGTCCTGGTGCTTCATTTGGGGAGCAGCCGTGGCCCGCCCGCCCGCTCGCCTCCCCTTAGCTTATTCAAGGCTGGTTGGAGCAGCCGGGGCCTCTCGCCTCCCTCCCGCCGCAGCAGGTAACTCCTCTCACCACCCTCTTTTAACCGGGCGAACGCCAGCCCCGGGGGTGGCTCCCGAACTGAGCGTTTCGGCTCTTGAAGGCGCAAGAGCCGTCCAAGACCTGCTTGGTTCAATTCTCCTCACAGAACGTTTCCCCAGGGCCCTCGGGGGTGGCTGGATCTACCCAGGCTGCTCCCCTGCGGCAGGAAAGGGCTGGAGCTGGAGGTTAAATGGGGCTCTTGGGGGGCAGTTGGTGTGTTTTGCTTTTTAGTCCTCCCGAGCCCCAGGGAGGACGCAGCGGAAGAGCAACCGCAGCCGCGTGCCCAGCGCCGTTCTCAGCCCCAGCCCTGTACCTGGTGCCTCCCCCGGCTGCTCCTCTGGCTGCCCCAGGGGGGTTTGCAGGCACTTGCCCCAGCACCGTGCCTGGGCCGAGAAAAGAATCGTGAGCATCTGCCAGAGTTGAGCCTGGGGGCTGCGCCGCTGGGGCGAGTAGAAGGAACTAAAAACTACAAGGCCAAATTTTTAAACCTCTGGCTTGAACCCCAGTTTTAGAGACCGGGAGAATTCTGGAGCAGGTGGAGCTGTTTGTAAAAGGAGTAACAACTCCTCTCTGCCCAGCGCACAACGCTTGCTCCCTTCGGCACCTGAGCCGGCCCTGGGGCCCTCGCTGCTGCTCCAGGCACCCGCTGCCACCCAGCTGGAATCCCCCAACTACTGCTGCTGCGCTCCAGGCCCTTCCCTCAGCCTCTCCCGCCCGCCTTTCCTTCCCCTTACCAAAGCTTCGTGGTTACTAGTTATTAGTTTTCTCTCCTCTGCACCTTCCTTCTCTCTGTGCGATCCGCTCTTTCAACCACCTCACTTCTGGTGAGCTCCAAGCCCCAGCACGTTTTGTTTTCTCCCTCTGCGACCTTCCCCCAGCATCCGTCCCGCGCAGCAACGGCCTTTTTCAACACAAACTTACAGCAGCCCCAAAGCCACCACCACCGAGCGCCCCAAATCCTCCTGCACCCTCCTTCAGCCACCCCCAAGGGCCGCGGGCAGGTGCCTGGAGCACACAGACAGCTGGAACGAAATCTTTTAAAGTATCTAACAAACAGAACGAGGTGCTGGGAGCAGCGGGGGGAGGCTCAGGAAGTGATGGGATCAGATTAGCACTGTCTGCAACGACACCCCCCCCCCCAGGACCACCAGCCTGACCCCAATTATTCTGCTCTCGCTGCCTGAAGCATCTCAGCAACCCCCCCCTCAGCCTTCCTGCACCCCCCCCCCAGCACCCTGCGGGGCTCCCGGCCCCACCTCAGCTGGGGGGGGGGAGCACACGCACCACACGCACACAGACACCTCACACTTATATACATGGGACATTCCCAGGAAGAAGCACTTAATACATCCTTTAAATAACTCTGACAATAGTATTCTGTCTCCTATCTACATGTTTCAAACACGTTACCGATGCTATGAAAATATAGCAAACATACAAAAATATATACATTTGAAAAAAAAAAAAAAAAAGAAAAACCAAACAAAAAAAAAACCAAAAACACCCATTATAAATTACTTACACTATCCATAAGGTGAAATGGTGGTGACGAAGCGAACGTGGGCCCTGGGGAGGCTCCAGCCCCTGGCCGGGCACGGGGAGCACAGCCCAGCTGAGGCCCAGCGCACGGGGAGCCCCGGGGGGGGGGGGGGGGGGGAGGGACCCCAACAAAAGCTGCGTTAAGGCTTCACCTGCCTCCCCCAACGCTTTTGTGCTTTTCGTAGGGAAGATGCCAGGAGGTAGCGGCGCGGCTGCCTCGGGCTGGGGGCTGCGTTCGCTTCAGCAGCACGTGCTCATTTCAGTTTCTGATTTAAACAAACGAACCAAAAAAAAAAAAAAAAAAAATACTGCTTTTGTGATATATTATCCCGTTCTTGTTAGATCGCTTGTGTCATCGTTAGCTGAGGAAAGCATTGTTTAAAGTGCTGGGCAGTACATACGAACAAGTAAACCGAAAGAAAAAAAAAAAAAAAAAAAATTACATATACTTACGTCAATACATTCCTTGGGTTAGAAAAGCCAAGCTGGCGGGCGGGGGACCGCAGCGATGCCAGCACCTCGGCAACCCCACGCGCAGGGAGGCTGAAAGCAGCCCGAGGCCTCCGCACCCCTCGGGCTGAGCTGCTGCTCGATATCCCCTCCGAGCCTGGCCAGGGAGCAGGGCTGGCAGCTGGCTGCAGCTCGCAATGTCATTCGTTTTAAATATTGGATTTCTTTAAATACAAATAATAGTACCAATTTCCGGAGGATAAAAGTAGCCAATACTGGAAATTAACTGATCTGGGTGTAGATATCGTTTATCTATATCTATATATATTTATGCTTAAAAAAAAAAAAAAAAATTGGTTAAATATCTTCTTGAAACCTGTAGCTTTCCTCCACAGTGTGACTGGTCAACAAAAATCCAAGACTCAGTTCAAAACCTTCAAGGCCTGGGGCTCTCCTCTCGCCCTTCCCAGCCGGCACAGCCAGCGGGGAAGGGAGCTGAGCTTCCTCCCGGGGCCGCCCTGCGCCAGCCCCCAGCCCAGTGGGGTTTGTTTATTTGTTTGTTTGTTTGTTTGTTTGTTTGTTTGTTTGTTCGCAGCCGGGGCTCGACTTTCGAACGCCGCCCGGCCCTACCCCGCGGGGAAGGCTCAGCCTCCTCCTCCTCCTCCTCCTCCTTCTCCTCCTCCTCCTCCTCCTCCCCAGGCCCCAAGGCTGGAAGCGCCCGGCGGGACGTCAGCGCGGCCGCCGCGGCGGGAGCTTTCGGAAGCGGCAGCTCCCGAGGCTCCAGGTCTGCACGGCAGGCGCAGCCCGCCCTTCGCAAACCCCTTCCCCGGCCGCTCGCTGCCCTCCCGGGGCGCCGCCTGCTACTTGCCAGCGGGGTGCACCCTGTTCTTGGCCCGGAGCGGCCGCTTCTTCTTGGCCGCCGGAGCGACAGCGGCGTAGGGTTTGTGCGGGGGCAGCACCGCAGCCGCCACGCTGATGCCTCGGCTAGCTCGGAGCAGCCGGCTGGGCACAGAGGCCCGGCTGCCACGGGCGGCGGGGGAGCGGGGGGACAGCGGGGCGTCCCGCGGGGGCTGCGGGTCCGTGTCGGAGGAGACCTCGGGCGAGGGCCCCCGCTCTGTGCCGCCGGCACAGAACCTGCTCAGGACGTCCTCCTCCGCCGGCTGGGCGCGCCTCCTCCGGCCGCGGCGGCGCCGGGAGCCCTCCAGCTGGTGCTCGATGCGGTACACGTCCTCCGTCACTTGGTTGACCCGGTCAAACTGGGCGAGGAGCATCTCGAAGAGGGAAAGGAGGCGCTGGAGGTCAGCGTCCACTTCCAGGCTGTCGCGGGTGCTCAGCACGAGGCTCAGCCCGTCCAGCTGGCTGGAGGAGGTGGAGGCTCTGGAGCTGTCGGAGGCGGCGCTGGGAGTGGGGCCCCGGAAGGACTTGGAGTCGCTGGAGTCTCGGGACGGCAGCGGCTCCATCCCTTCGAACCTCACCTTGTGCCGGAACTGGAAGAGAAGAGGGGAACGAGGGGGGAGAGTTATTTCAGGAGCCGGGAAGTGGGAACGCGGCACCGGGTCCCGCTCCCAACAGCCCCGGGGCCGCTCTCGGCCGTTCCTGGTGGGCCAGACCCCGGCACGGACCTGGAGACAATCCCAGAGACACCCGCGTGGAACTGAGAACAGGCAGCAGCTGCCCCTGCCCCATCGCTAACCCAGCCCTCGGGCTGCCAGAAAGAGCCACGGCTCAGCCCTCGCTTGCCAGAGGAACCCGACTGTGAACGGCAGCGGGACGGAGCCAGAGGCAAAAGGGAGGAGAAGGACGGTGGACGCCGCCTTCTCTGCAAACAGCCGCAGCTTACTGCCGGCTACCAGGCTCCACGGCTTCTCCCAGGCCTCACTCACCTCCTTGGCTTTGCTGAAGCCCATCCACATTTTCAGCCGGCGCACGAAGAGCTCCACCATCTCGTAGTCCTGGGGCTCGAAGGCGGGGCGGTACAGCTCGAAGTGCATTTCCCGGTAGCTGTAGATAAGCACGGCGGCGAAGAGCCTCAGCACGATCCACACCTCCAGGACGATGTAGCTGGTGCAGAACAGGTAGTAGAGGCCCGAGGACTCGGGCAGGCAGGGGCGGAGGTTCACGCTGCCCCGCAGCATGGCGAACAGCAGCAGGAGGCTGCTGCCGACGCTGCGGAAGGACTCCGAGGAGGAGGAGAAGAGCTGCGGAGGGGACAGGGGAGGGGGAAATGAGAAGAAGGGCTCCGCGGCAAAACGTTCCCCCGAGCCCCCCCCTCCCACCCCCCCAATACTCACTGCCCCGCTTCACGAAGCGCGAGCCCTGCGGAGCGGCTGTGGCGGGGACAGGCCACGGCCACCGTCCCAAGCCGCCCGGCCCGTGGCAGAGCAGCACCCTGGGTGGCTCCTGGCACCCGAAGGGCCCCTCGGGCTTCGCCCAGAGCTGCGGCGTGGGAGCAGGAGGGGCAGCCCCACCCCGGGCAGCACGAGGGGCAGTGGGTAGTTACCAGGAAGCCGAGCTGAGCGTAGGCCAGGACGAGGACGGCGAACGCCAGCCCTGCAGCAGTCAGCTCCCTCGCAGACTTCTGGAAGGTTTTCCCAAACACAGACCACTGCCGGACGAAGCGCAGCTGCTGGGCAGCCTAGGACCACGGGAGGGGAGGGCGTTACGACACGGGCCCATCGCGGAGGCCGCTGCGAGATCCTTCCAGCCCCCGGAAGGGTCCCTCAAACGCCTCTACTGCTCCGAGAAGCGCCAACTCTGGCAGAGCAGAGCGCAGCCTAGTCAACGGGCTCCCTGCCTGCTGACAAAAGTCATCCCATCAGCCATGCTAGGCACCACTCCCCAAAGGAACTGAGGGCTCAGAGGCTTGAGACCCCCAAAAGGCTGCAGCAGAGATGCACGTGGCATCGCTGCCCACCACCTCCGTCCTGCAGATCGGGGCCTGGCACGGCAGCACCACCGCCTGCCACTCGGTTTTACCTCAGGGCCCTTTGCTGCCCACGGGACGGGGCGTGAAGCTGGCCCAGAACCAAAGCACACACATCCCTGCCCACACGCCGCTCCCACTCGACCCTCTCCATACCTGCACAGTCAGGAGGAAGAGGAGGGATGCAGCCAAGGTGCTGAAGACGGTGTTGAGGAAGGCCACCTGGTAGAAGTTGGTGAAACCTTTGCGGTTGTTGAGGTACTTGAGCCACTGCTGGTCGGCGAGGGTGGCTTGGCTGAGGTGCACCACCACGGTGCAAGTGGTGAGGAGGATGAAAACCCACTGGCCGTAGTTGCCCCACAGGGTGAAGTAGGCTCTGCCTTCCTTCTTGATGGACAGCGACTCGGACACCACGAAGTAGACCACAAACATCATGAGGAAGACCTGGGGGAGGAACGGCGAGGTTACCGGGGAAGGGGAGGGCAACGCTTGACCGCTGGGCTGCGCTGGGGGCCCCCCCTGCAGCACCCCAGGACAGCAAAAGCCCCACGTACTAGGCTGAGTTCTGCCAGCCTACAGCTGGAGCACACCCCCAAGTCCTTCCAGGCCTTCCTCAGAGCCCTGCTCCCTCCTCCCTAGCAGTGACGCTCCCCAAACCACATCCAGTGCGCTTGTGGCAGCGCCCAGGCTCCCCTTGCACTGCACCCTGGGCCCAGGCAGGGTCTCTGGGGACACAGCTCAGCTGGCTGACGTCCCCGCCGAGGACAGAACAACAAAAGCCTCAAGTTTCCACAGCGAAAGGCGCGAGCTCGAGGCAACAAAAGGGCTGAGACAACATCTGCTGCCAGCCAGGAGGAATCTCCTTCCCCTCAGCGGTGCCAGGGATGTTTGCTGTGTGCAATCCAGGCCTGGAAGCAGCGTGGTGACACGCGTGGGGGACAAGGGGCCTCAGGCCGCAGTGACCAATGCTGCCCTCCTGGGAGCCCGGGCGATGGGTCCCCAGAGCCCTCTGTGCAGTGACCGGGAGGGGACGAGGAGCGCCGAGGGGAAATAACACACTGACCATCATGAGAAGCTGCAGCGTGACCCCCGCGCTGAGCCGCAGCAGCGGGAAGGGGCTGATGGTGACCGCGGCGATGGCCTGGCCGGCCCCCAGGAATTCCAGCTGGAGGGTGATGGCAGCGTGCAGGTCCACGCTGGGGTTGTACTGCATCAGCTCCACAAACACCGCCCGGCTCCTGTGGAGGGGAGAAGAGCAGCTCAGGGCGCTGGGACAACACCAACTCCGGGCTTTGGTGCCACCGTTTTGCTGGACCCTGGAGCCTCTGCCCCTGTGACACTCCAGCAGCACCCCTGGGTGACAGCAGAACATTTCCTTCGCCCCTGCCACACTTACATGTTGTCGATCCAAGTGTGCTGCTGAAGGAAATTCAGCTGAGCCCTGCTTTCCTCTAGCGAAGCCCCCAGCTCCTGGACGTAACCGCTGCTATCGTAGAAAGAGATGTAACCCCAGTACCAGACCCTGCAGAGGAAGAGGAGCCACGGGGTGAGAGCCGAAGGACAGAGCAGCCACCGGTGCGCTCTCCCGCGTGGAACACCAGGAGCCAGCGTGCAGACGCAGAGCTCAACCCCTGTGCTGCACAGCCAAGAGGGACAGCTGCCTCGTTGTTTCTTTCACAAGACAAATTATGGAAGCGCATTGACCCATCTCAGCCCCCCCCCCCCCAACCTCAGAACGGCCCCAAGCCCTGTGGTGTCCCAGGCTTTTGACCACGACGCACCCAGAAACAAACCAGAGCAGAAACCAGTGGTGATTTAATGTCCAGTAGGTTGGTAAAGGCCGACCTCCCAGAACCCACTAACAAAAAGCAAGTGCTCTGTGGCCTTGGTGGGTGGCCGGGTTACCTTGTGGGGCAGCTTGTCTCTACCCTTGAAGCTGCAGAGTTGAACCCGCTGCCCCTGGGCCCGAGGGCAGCGCCGTGCTGTGTTGGAGAATGGCTCAGAGACAAGGGTCCTGAGCCCACCGAGCAATTGTATGATCAGAGCCTGCTCTAGCTGCTGATGCTGAGCCTCACTAGGGTTTGCCTGCAGCTGCTCGCAGCTGCTGATACAGGAGGAATGTCAAGGACGCTTCAGCCCTGTGTACCGTGGTGTGTCGAAAACAGGTTAAGGGGAATTAGGAATAGGGGTCTGAGAAACCCAGTGTTATGGTAACGGTGGGCTGAGAAACATTGTGTTACAGTGCTGTCGTGTATCGAAAACAAGTCAACAGGAATTAGAAATAGTAACATGAGAAACTTAGTGTTATGAGAAGCTTGTGCTGTAAGCTAACTGCAAGTAGGTGGACCGTGCGAATACGACCTTTAGAGCTTAAGCCAATCAGCTAGTGACTAGTAGGCATAATAATTAGCGTTGTCTGTATAAATATATGTACCCTGGACCAATAAACACACACGGTGATTGATGCTCTATCACCCACACTGAACCCGTCTCGGCGTGTCGCTCGTCCGCGGCGCTGCCCTTCAGCCAGCTCCAGGTGACACGCACACCTCCAGGGAATTTGGGTGAGCGGCACCTCCGGGCCTCCCACCTCTCACGCTGCCAGGCTGGACACGCTCAGGGAAGGCCTCCGGCATTTCTCCGTGTGTGTGTGTGTGTTTGTGTTTGCCAGGCTCAGGGGCTGCAGTTGGCCTCACTGAGGAGGGGGGGGTGGGGGGGCTGGAACCACCCTGGGCACCGAATCAACAGTGAAGATGCCGTGCCTCGGGCAGATGGAGCGAGGGGGTGTATAGGGGCAGGCTGGGCAGCTCCTTACCCCGTCAGGTCGGGCGGTGAGTAGGACCACGCTGCCGTCACGTTCACGCCTGCCCTTTCCCAGCCGGCTGCGTAGTCAGCGGTAGAAAAGCTGCGCGGGTCGGTGCAGTTCCTGCTGGCAGCCCTGCCCGCGCCGCGGAGGATGTCCCAGGCGCCGCGCTGGCACTCGCCTGGAACGAGACCAACCCCCTCAATCCCACGGGGAGCCCAGCTGAGCCCTCGCACTCAGCGGCTCCCCCCCTTCCCAAGCCCCCTCCACCTCCACGGCCTCAGGCGCACCGCGCCAACCTCTCTCTTCAGTGTTAAACCCCCAGGACCCATCGCCCCCCCCCCCCCCCCCCCCCCCCCCATTCCTCTCTGCAGGAGCGGAGCCAGAGGCACGCGAATACACACGCTGCAAAGCAAAACCTGCCTCCGTAACCTCTGCCTTGCTTCGGTCAGCCCCAGCCGCATCCGGAGCCGGGCCATTTCACCCCTCCAGGAATGTCACCACCCACCTTCCTGCAGCCTGAGCTGGCGCAGCCGGGCCGTCCCCAGCGTGGTGCTGTGGCTCTCCTGACCCGAGCGGTTGTTGTAGAGGTACGGGAGGAAGACCCGAGACATCCAGACCCAGAACTGATCCGACCTGCAACGGGAAGAGGCGGGAGAGGCAGAGCTCCTGGGGCAGCTCTGCTCGGGCAGTCTCTGCAGGTCCCATCCGTGTTTCACCTGGAGCAGGGGACCGAGTTTCGGGGGGGAACCTGGGCTGCTCTCCTCCCCGGTGCCTGGCTAGCAGGCACAGGCAGCATTCCCATCCATTCCAAGAGCTGGGCTGGGGTCAGGAAAACGTCTATTTGACATGCAATGCCTAAAGGCGATTGAATCCACTTGGCACCTGGATGAGGATCAGACCAGTGGGTCTGTGGCAGGGCAGGGGAAAAGGTTGAGGACCAGATTCTGCTGCTCTCCCCCTTTATACCACTTTCATCCCAGAAACTTCACCGAGTTCACTGGAATTATTCTTGATTTATATTGTGGTCAATTAAAGCCTGTGACTTTGCGTGGCACGGACAAGCCACGTCTATTTGCACAGAAGAAACAAGGGGTCTGTAATGAGACGGGTACAAAGACGCCGTTAATCCCAGGCAGCCGTTCCGATGTCAGTCTGGACCGCTGGAGTTTGCAGCGGTGTGGAAACTCAGCTGGGGAAATTTAATCTAGTTAAACCATATGGGCAGAGCAAGGAAGGGAAGGACTCTCTATTTATACGAGAAGTTATTTTTGCTTCTTGTGACACTGTTTATGGCTAAACCTTACAGTTGTAAATTTTAGAGACGGAGCAAGCCTGTGTCCTTAGACCAGGCACAGAAGGATAAACATTTGTAATTCACAGAGTCCCTTCCCACCGAGGAAATAATTGAAATTCAAAGAAATCAAAGCTCTCAACCCTCACAGTCCCCTCTGTTCTCCAGGGGAGAAGCGAAGACACAGGGACTGAAGGGGACCTGCTCACTGCCACGCCGTGCTCGTGCGCACATGCCCGGCTCCAAAGAGGCACCAGTGCTCCCCGGAGGGGCACCAGTGCTCCCCGCAGAGCTGAGAACCTCTTCCAGGAGTGACTGGAGCACAAGCCCAAGAGCCAGCCCCAGCCTGCTCCCCAGACTGTCGCTGCAGCCCTGCACAGCTTCTCTGATACAAAGCAGCATCTCCTTCCTCCCCGTCCCCATCATAAGTTACCTCTTGATGCGGAGGAATTCGCTGCTGCCCAGCTGCTGCTTGATGGAGCTCTGCAAGAGGAAGGCCCTGCTGTTGCGGGAGGCGTCTCCGTAGTTGGTGAGCAGGATCACCAGCAAGAACATCATGTAGATGAGGAAATTCTGGCGAGCAGAGAGTAGAAAGGGATTGAACCCCAGCACAGGGCGGGGGGTTGGTGCCCAGTGCTGCAGCAGGTCCGTGCCTTCCCCTGCCTGCTGCCCACCGTGCAGCAGGATCAGGACCCAGAGCATGCTGTTTTCTTTTTCCATACGTGAAGCAGTTTGTAATGAAACCCAGACCCCAGGCTCGTAACAATATTCTTTGTTCAAAGCATCCAGCCCAGCTGCACATGTTTCAGTTGGTATGCACTGCACCACCTCCCTGTACGAGCTCCTACAGGTGGGCAGCTCAGCTTATGCAACAGTTATGGGGGTTTCCATCCTTTGAAGTGAAATCACTTAGTTAATAACTTGACTCGGTTAAAGCAGCTGTGCACTCCGAGCACAAGTGTGGAGGATTAGTACCAAATGAGCTACCAACAGATTGAAACTTCTGTTCCTAGACAGGGGGTTATAAGTTTCACAAGACTCAACTAATTAATTTTCTTGTAGAAGCTGGTGTCTACTCCACCCTGCAAACCTTGCCCTAACCTGAAACACCTGAGTTACGGAGTCAAACACACCAGCTGCTCCAAATCACCCCCTTTACTCCTCTGCTTTCCAGCCACCTCCCAGCTTCCCAGAGAAGATGAAGGTCACTACCAGTCTTTTACAGATGGGAAAGCTGAGGCAGAAACCGGAGATGTGCACCAACTAGCTCAGGATTGGCAGGACCCAGGCAAGGATGCATCTCAGCTCCTGGAGCCAGAACTCTGCCTCCTCCCTTAGCACCACAGGCATCAGGAGACACCTTACCTTCAGCATCCTGTGGAGCAGTTTGACCTTCCTGGCCTCCTCCTTGGCCTGGAAAAGGGCAAAGCCCTGTGGGGGCCGGACTTTGCTGATCTTCTCAGAAACGTGCTCCACAAAGGGATGCTCCACCAAGGTATCGTCTTCCTCTGGGTGCAAGCGCTTGGCGACCAGTGAGAAGTAGAGGGCTTCCAGCAGGACCTGGGGAGACAAGCAGTGCCACCGGACCCGCCGTGGGCTGCAGGTCCCACGGGCCCCTCCGCACCGAGAGCGGGCACGGCAGAGCTCCTGGAGCAGCCAGACCACCTCCGAAATGAACTGCCACCCGCCCTGCCTTTCCTACTGCTGGTGCACACATCCTCCCCCTCCCGCAGGGATACCAAGATGGGAAAGAGTATTCAACCCACAGAGTGTCCTGCAGGGCTCGATTAGCACCTCGATAAGATGTTATACAGCTAATACAGACACATGCACAGCTACGTGCCTGGGTACTCGTGTTATCCTCACCTTCAGGGGCTCCCAGACCAAGAAGGATGCCAGAAAGCTGAATATCCCTGAGATGAGCCACATGAGGGCAACGCTGGAGGAAAAGCCCACCCCGATCCACACAGAGACCCCCGTGGAGGTGGCGAAGAGGAGGAGGCTGATACCGTGAGCCAGATAGGAGCACCAGGGTGGCAGCAAGCGCTTCCTGAACGTTTGGTCTGCGACTGGAAGGAGGGAAAACAAGTGTAAACATTACCGCAAAAGGGTCCCAACGGGCCCGGGAAGGGCTGAGCACACCACTGACCCCAGCAGAGAGCCTGCCACCAGTCCTGGGTGAGTCTGGAGGGATTATCCCAAACGTCTCCCGCTAAGCAGCGGCACAGGCAGCACACTGAGAGCCAGCCAGGCTCAGAAGAGCAGTTCTCCCATCTGCAGGCAACGGCGGGCAGGAGATGGGAATGGGATCCTGACCGGGGTGGTGGGATGGGTTCCCTGCTTTCTCTCAGAGCCCCCCTCCAGGATGCTGGGCATGCCCAGCCTGGCTGGCGGAGCTGCTGTCACGCCCGTGGACAAGCCACAAAAATTAGCTGCCCTGGCTGGCTGCAGACTGCTGAGCCACCCGCCACGGGGCTTGCTCAGCGCAGCCTCTTTCACCCACCCGTGCAAATCAACAACGTAAAGACAGGGCAACTTGCTGCTGCGTCCAATTTCCCGCGCTGCAGCCTGCCCTGGGAAGCCAGGAGCTCATGCTAAGAGAACCGATGCTGAGCTTCTCCCCTGGGCACTTGTCACCCCCCCAGACCTTGCGGGGCCTGGCAACCTGCTCCCCGCCTCGTGCAAGCCCAGCTGGCCAGCTCTTGTGTTGCACAACCCAGCAGAAAGCACCTCTTCTCTTCTTTGTTTGTTGATTTGAACTTTCCTTGGCATTTGACTCCCTTTCCCCTCTGGTTCTATACAGAGAGTCTCACTCTCTCGTGCTGGAGGGGTGAAGGGGCTGACGGCTGCAGAGAGCAGGGTAACAGGGGAAGCAGTGAGTGGAGCTTCCCCAGGGTGCACGGTAGGACTGTCGCAGCACAAGTGGTGGCCTGGCGCTTTCTGAGCTTCAGGCTCCAAGAGAAGCTGTCAGGAAATTACAAATACATCCCAAGCCACGGAGCAGCTTTTCTTAAGGCTCCTTTTCTGTTGACCTGCCCGTGCCTCCCAAGCGCTGCTGCGTGCGACAGCCCCTCTCCCTGCACTGCCCCCCCCCCCCCCCCCCCCTCCCCGCACCCTGGTACCTGTCCAGGTTGACTTGGCCGATCTGCTCACTTCCCTGGGAGGAGGTGCCATGCTCTGGCCTTTGTCGTTCAGCTTCTGCATCATGACAGTCTCCACCTTCTCCCCAAAGACGCTGGACCTGCCGAGGCAAAGGGTTGGTACCGGTGAGCCGTGCTGCTGCCCGCTCTGCGGTAAGCAGGCTGGCACCAGGGTTGATTGAACTCCAGTGCTAACACCAGCGCAGCAACCCTGGACCAGTTAGAAGCATGTTATTCTAGAGCAGCAGGCCCAGGCACACAGACACTCTGCTCTGCATCTCGTGGAGGAGGGCTGAAAGTCCTTCCCCTTGCTTGATACACCGGTTTGCACTGGCTACCCAGCAGCAAGCTCCCAGTCTGGCTGGGTGCTGGTCAGGGTGCTCTGGGCACAGCAATGCAACAGAGGTTCAACCCCCTTTTCCCTCCCATCAGTGCCACGAAGCAAACCCGTGTCCCAGCACTTTGTCACCAGTCCACAAAGCTCCAGAGGCACGTCTTCAGCTGGGGCTTTAAGGGGATATTCCAGGCAGCTCCTGGAAGGGTGGCAGTGCCCTCCTGGAGCCCTGGCTCTGGGAGCTGCGGGAATCATGGCCAGCAAGAACACAGTGAGTCGTGACAAGGCCCTGTCAGCGGGGGACTCCGCTCCCCGAATACTTACAGGCCTGAGATCAGATCTGTTTCAGCCCTCATGTACGGCCCCAGGTCCTGGGAGTGGGAGATGCCGCTGGCTCCATCCGCCAGGATCTGCCGGATCAGATCCTCGTCTGCAGACAGAGTGCAAAAAGCATTGGCAGGAGCCCAGCACCGCGCTGGGGGACGGCTCTGCACCGCCCGGGCTCAGCCACACCGGTGGAACTGGGGAGGAGGAGGGCCAGGTCCTTCTCTGTGGGAATAGCCCTTCCCTCCTCCCAGTCTTCTAGCTCCTGTCTATCTGCAGCTTGGCTGCAGAGCCTGGTGTGAAACTCCTGGTGTAGGAGGCCAAGTTCTCCTTCTCCAGCCATTTACAGAGGCTCAGAGACACGCTGCGGCTTTGCAACCAGTGAAGAAGTGCCGGTTGCTTGAAACATTCAGGTCCCCTGGGAACACACCTCTCTTTGCTCCCAGTCTGCCGGCAGCCTGGTGACCACCCGCTTCGGACTGAGCCACATCAGGATTTCTACTTTCCCAGACTGAAATCCCCATTAAGAAAACACGACCCTCCTCCTCTCGCCCTCCAAACTGAAGCCAGTAGTGACGGTGGCAGAATCTGCTATTCTGCCTTCTCCAGAGCTCAGCCAAGGGACCAGACTGCTCTTCCTGAACTTCCCCGGGGCATTCAAACCCCTGGCACAGAGCGATGCTACCCACACACCCACCTGAGGCAGAGAAATACCGAGGCTGCCCCTGGTGAACACCAAGTGACAAGCTGTCCTCCTCGGTTGCCAACGGGGCCTCGAGCCCAAGGTGGCGGCTGGCCCGGCCTCTCTTCAGCTTCTGGATGGTGTTGCCCATGATGGAGGGGTCGCTGAGGAGGTCTGGCCAGCTGAGCAGCGCCTCGCTGGAGGGCCAGCGCACGAGGCTGCAGGAAAACAGAGGAATGGGGGCCATCAGGTACGTGTGGGGAACAGGAAGGGTGAGAAAAGCAACTGTGCTAGTGCGTAGGAGTGCCTGGAAGAGAAACAGCTGTGGGAGCACAACCCCAGCCTGCCAAAGCAGAAACTACACTAAACTCCGACTTGCTCCGTCCTCAGAAACCTACTTACCTTTTGGAGTCTTCCAAGAACAAATCTGTTTTGGTTTGCTCGGAGAAGGCCTGTGGAGGAAGCGGAGGCATTTCAGGCAGATGACACTGGTTTGTGCCTGGTTAAAACAGCGCGTTGTTAACATCGACAACACGGGTCACGGGAAACCTGGAGCCTGAGCTGCTCTGAGCCCTGGGTCCACCCCTTCCAGGAGCCTGCTCTCCTCTAGAGAGGACACCCAGGCACACCAGGAAGATCCACATTCCCAGACACAAAGCAGTAGCTGGAGACAGCTTGTGCTCAGTACCTGGGACTGGCCTGGGCAGAGATGCAGCAGAGAGATGAAGGGCTGGGGCTCCCCCCCATCACCCCTCTTTGCCAGAGGCACTTGAGTGCATCTGTTCTTGCACTGACAGGTGGAGACAGACACTGTGTCCGTGCAGGGGAGCACACAGGCCCGTGCAGCCTGTCCAGCTTTTGGGTGGGAAGGAGGTTACCTCTGCCCGGAGCCCAGGGAAGGTGGGAAAGGAGCTGTCGAGGATCGAGGAGTCCAGGTAGTTGTCGATCTCCAAGGATTGCTGGTCGGAGTGAGTCAGGGTGTGGTTGATGGAGACCTGCAGGAGACAGGGAGGCTTGAGCAGAAAAGCGAGGGGCAGAGGTGACAATGTCAGGGTGGCTCAGAGGGTCCCATCAGCTCCCTGCTCTGCTGAGGAGCTCTGGGGGGATCCCAGGGCTGAGAACAGGCACACACACATCCACTGCCTCCTGGGCACTGTCCCACACCAACCACAGCCCTGGGCCATCTAGGCTGTCCCAGGTACACGTTCCCACGAAGCCCCCTGAGTTTACAATTTCCTGCAAAGCGGGGAGTGCTTACAGGAACAAGGAATATCAGACACATTTGCTCCTCATCAGTCACCGAGCAGCTAGCTGCAGTACTTAATGGGACTGCTAATTGTGCCTAACTAGTCATTAAATCCCCAGCTAATCCTTTCACAGCTGCCTAACCACAGCTCTGCTCAGACAGCTGAATTTGTACCCAGGGCAGGCATTTCATTAGCAATGCTCCACTGAGCATCTCTCAAGCTCCTGCCAGTGCAGCAAAGGGTCATACCCTTAAATGGCATCTGGGTGTCTATCACACACTGAAATCAAGAGGGAGTAAGTGCCTTAACAGCTTTTAAAATCTGCACTTTTGGTCTCTGTCTGGACACTGTCAGAATCCAGGCAGTAATCTGTCCCTCTATGATCTGGGGCTGCTCCCAGCTTGAGAGGGAGGCAGAGACTTGCTAAGGGTAAGGGTCTGGCCATGGTGCAGGACAGAGCAGAAGCACAACTGGGAAAGTGCAGAAACCAGCTGAAGTGATGTACCACAAAGGCAGAATCTAGCCTCAGATGAGTAAACCTGGTAGCATCACACCCATCTGGGCAGCCTGCAACTCCTTCTCCTCGTTACCTTGCCACGAGCCATCCGGAAGAGAAATAAAATGACCAGGTAGAGAGGGTAGACCACCACGCTGGACACCAGACCAACAGCCACTGTGTCCACATTAACAGGGATCAGGTTGGAAATGGCCCCGTTGCTGGAGAGAATCAAGAGAGATCAGAGACCGGTGTTAGCAGGGGTTAGCTCCGGGCTGCCAGCTCAGCAAGGAGTGAGACAAAACTGCACAGCCTGGCACTTGAGATGTGCAGAGACAGAAACGAGCATGGGCTGTGCTAACAGATGACGCAGCAAAACCAGGTAAGGGGGAAAGCTGCTCAGCTTGTCCTTGGTCATCCATCATCCGCGTCCTGGTCCCATATTCTTTGGAATGGGAAGGGCAGACTCAAGGCCACGAGCAAGGCAGCGATTGATTCCCAGCAGATGTAAGGTCTGTCCCGCCCTAGGTAAGGGGAAGTGCAGGAGGGGCCCTGAGGAGGCAAGGGACTGGCCAGAGCACCCAGGGACGCAGCGCACCTGAGGTGGATGTTCCCCACCACGCCGTACCACACGGCATTGGCACAGAGGAAGAGGAAGATGAGGAGGGAGCAGCAGGTAGCTCTCTGGACACGGGTGAAGCGGCTGCGAGGCGGGCGGTCCCACATGGACAGCCAGACGTGCTTCTCAAAGAAACCTCGCTGCAACTCTGCTACGAAGATCCGGGAGAAGCTCCTCAGCTCCGTCTCACCTGAGCACAAGAAGAGAGAGACCCTCAGGGCCAGCTGCAGCGCAGAGGGGACCCGGCTGGGCCTGCCACAGTCCCTCCTCGCAGGCTGAAACTCAAGCAAGTACCCCCACTGCACATATACAGTTCCTCCTGCCCTGCTGGGTCCTCGCTGTGCCTCGTCCTCTAGCACAAGGGACCCTGCAGAGCGCTGGGCTGCGCAAGGCATCCGTGCAGAGAGGAAGAGCCAGTGTGCAGGCTCAGTGGTCGCTCTGCAGTCTCCTGCTGTGGGCCCTTCCTCAACGCACCGAGAACAGCCACGCTGCTCAGCCATCCCAGCCCCAAGCCCCAGGGGCCGAGCACTCACTGGCAGCATAAACCTCCTTCTCCACCATGCCGTCGTTCTCTTCGCTCTCCACCGACAGCCAGTCGTTCACCAGGAAGAAGTAGCTCTTGCTGCTCTGCAGGTCCCGGACTATGACGTGCTGCAGGTACCAGGAGGGGCTGAGTCCTAGAAGTTAAGAGATGGGAGAAATGTGTTTCCTGGCTGACATTCTCTGCGTGAACCTGCAAAGCTGAGAGGGCAACACAAGAGCCCCTCAATGGGCCAGCAGCAGTTACCCCATGACACTATCTTCATCGGTGGGACCTGAACAGTCCCCAAGAGAAAAACCAGGTCACCTCCGAGGCTGTACGGACATTTAGAGACACTGTCACAGTGCTCAGCACAGCTGCATCCTATGGGTACAGGATTACAGCTGACCCGTCTGCAGACTTCCCTGTGATGGAGACTCCACGTCCCTCCCCAACATCTTCCCCCCCCCCGCCCAAGCCAGCAGGTCGCCGTGGTCTCCCCTCAGGGTTAGTCCAGGCTTTGGGCCCAGGTGCCAGGCAGAGCAGAGCCTGGTTCTGCCCCGGGGTGTGTTCTGCCCCGCCTGCCCGCTCGTGGCTCACCTTTATTGTCGTGCCAAATGCGGATGCGCCAGATGCTCCCCAGACTCCGCTCCGTTGCGATCTGAAACACGTCGAGGCTGTTGCGGTGGAACGCGTTTTCTCCATCCAGATGTCTGTGACCACTTTTATTGTCTACACCATACAGGGCGATCCCCACGTGGGCCGTGGTACCTGGCAGAGGCAAGGGGGCTCAGTTAGGGAAGTCCACCCAAGGCGGGGCTGTTCCCCAGCCCTGCCCTCCTGCCAGCGACCTGCTGCCAGCTGCAGTGTCCCTTCGGAGGGGCCACCCGGAGACTCGGGAGGAAGGAACGCGTTCAACAGCCACCCCGCTCCCAGGGACAGTGTTACACACAGCCTGGGGGGCAGCTGCTCAGACCGGTCTGCTGCGTGGACCTTGGCACGCTCATGGTTTTCCTCTTTGGAGGGGACTGAATCTGACATTCCTTGCCGTGCTAACACCCTAACGGGAGGAGATGTTTATTCTGGATGTTTTTTCTACCAAGTAGTTGAAAGACTTGTTTTCTTTGACTTCCCTCCGGTACCAGTTGCCATGTGCTCCTTGGTCCACCTGCTCAACCTGGATGGTTCTTGGGGTGGCTCCAGGAGAAACCAGTGGTTACACTAAGACCAACGGGAGCATGTTCCTGGCAGTGTCACAGTGGCACTCCACCTCCATCCTTGCTTAGAGCTTTCACACCCCGACCGCCTGGATTTCCAAGTCCAGGATGATGTTTCTGGCAGCTCTAGCTACAAACCCAGCCCCAGATCAGAAAGCCAAGCTGTCTGCCTTCATGCCGCTGGGAAAGATTCAGACGGCAGATCAAAGCGATGGATGCTGGAGGACAGCAAAATGGTCCATCTAAAGGGCCCACAAGGCCTGGTTGCTTCTGCAGGAGAGGGGCAGAAGAGAGAAACAATCGCTGCCTCTTGGCTGTTCCTGCAACCACAGTCCAGTCAGGGAAAGCAGGGTGGGGGGATTTCTATGCTGGGTGGTCCCCTCCAGCAGCAGTTGCTTGTCCCACCCCAGCAGCAAGCGGTGGGGCAGCATGCTCTTCTCCACAGCTCTTGACCTGCCCCATTCATCACACAATAAAAAAACGTGAATGCTGTGGGAAGCCCTGAACTGACTGCTCAGTGCTGCTCCAAACACCAGCTCAGCTCTGGGCGCTGCAGGGGAACATTTGGTGCAAGACATGCTGAGGTGAGATCTCGGAGGAGCTACACAGATGTCACCCTAGGAACCAAGCACAGGAATAGACCGTGGGCTAACCTGATCCTCTGCCCCAGCCAGTTTTCACCAGGATCTCGTATTTGTATAGCCCGTTCTTCCCACAGAAGGGAATCACCCCCACTCGGTTGATGTCAATCATGTCCAGCTTGTGCACGATCAGTGCAGCCACGGAGTAGGTCACGAAGCAGACGGCACACGTCAGCAGAACGATGTAGTTGAGACCTGGGCCTGGAGCCTAGAAGAAAAGAAATACGTTGAAAGGCGCCCTCCTTCCTCAGGAGGACCCCCCCCCCCCATTCCCCAGGAGTCACGCTGCCTCCTTCCTGGCTACACTCATCGTTCACACGCGCGACACCACAGGCAAACAGAGACACCGTACCACGCCGCTGGCTGAAGCTGCTGCAGCAGCTGCTGAGAGCTCTCTGCTCCCACTCACATCACACCGAGAGAGCTCGGGAGAGCCTGAACGCCCCTGGGAGGTGGGGAGCAGCTGGCTGCTGCGAGCTCGCTGGGGTAAAACAGTGCTGGGCGAGAGCTGGGAGGAGCGTTGGGCATCTCACTACGAGGCGAACGCACCGCGAGGTGTCCAGAATAGAGAAAAGAAGCCATTTGCAAATATCTGGTTTTAGCAGCAGCAGCTGGGATTCGTGATGAGAGGAGACAGCCCCTCTGTGAGCTGTGCCCATCCGCAGCCCCCCAAAGGCCCTCAGGTGCTTGTGGTGGGCTGCCACGTGAAGCTGACGGGAGCCCGAGGCCTTCCTCTAGGTGACAACCACCTGCTCAGCCCGCGGCAATGCTGCACGGCCTCTGCTTTGTTTTACTCACAGGAAAGATGAACTGGACGGAGTTTGGGGGGACAAACAGGCTGGCCCCAAAAGCGGTGAGGTGCTGGGTTAAGCACACAGCCTGGTCTGGCCTGGTCTCTTCCAGCGGGATGATGCCTTCTGTCTTCCAGCGTTTCTCCTGCTCGCTGAAGTACTGGCAGAGGGAGGTGTACAGCCCCAGAGTCACCTCCACCGGGGACCAGCTGAAATGGTTTGTGATGTTGAAGTAGTATTTCTGGATGGTGTCATCAGTTCTGGAGAAGGGAAAGACAGCAAGGAAACTTTATTAACACTCTTGCTAATGGGACACGAAGCCCGTTCTGATGGATGGATGTCGGTGCACAGGATGAAGGGGAAAAACCCAGTGAACGTGGTGTCGTCTACACTGCCCTTGAGCTGTGCAGAAACTCTGGGGTTCTACAGGCCACTTTAATTCTTTTTTATCTTTGTATTATTTCAGCACCTGGAGCACTGTGTTGCACATCCTCTTCTCTGTGCTGGCACAGCTCTCTCACCCACCCTTCTGTGAGTGGCAACTCTGTGATTCTTGGCTGAGAGTGGATTTGCTTAGTAAAACGATTAATCCCTCTTTAAGCATCCTGTTACCAAAAGCCATGGAAGATGTGTCAACTTACACAACAGTGGCTCCACTCTTGCCCCATCTATTCCCAAGCTGCTTATCTTTTCTTCTCAGATAATGCCTAGGAATGGCTCCTAAGTAACACAAGGCACCGACAAACACGGCAAGGCAGCAAAGCAGCAACTGAAGTTACAAGAATGACTGCTCTGATAAAAAGAAGGGAGCTTTGCTGCAAAACCCAAGAGCACAACAGCAGAGCTCACTGAGCCCTGGCACGCTCCAAGCAGGCACACCGGGTGGACGGGAGCCCACGAGGGAACCTGTGCTCTCCTCTGGTCACACGTTGGGAAGATGAGCTCTGAGGACAGAGGTGCTTTTGTGAAGGCTGTGCTGCAGATCAGGAACTAGGCTAGCGTGTGGTGCTTTAAGCTGGGAAATGGTCTCATCAGCTGCATGAAGCAAGCCCTGAACCTGCAAAGGTCAGTGTGAGTCCTCTGGGGAAAGCCTCCTGGTAAAGATGGGCAGCTCTGGGATTGGAAGCGCACAGGGGGATGAAAGCCTGGACAACCAGCAGTCAAACAGCCTACAGCAGGCATCAGGCAAGTGAGCAGAGAAAAGGGAAGCGAGGGGAGACATCACCAGGAGAGGCCCTGAGTGGGGGTCACGACACTCACAGGGAACAGGATTTACAGCTCTAAAAAGGTGGAACCCTCCCTCACCAGGATCAGAAAGGCAAATCACAGAGCACTGAGCTGCTCTGGCACCAGCAGCAGCAGGTCTCTGGGAAGGAGGGAGTGCGGGGGCAGAAGAGGTGCCAGTGCTGGGGTGTAGCAACAGCAGCTTGCAGCCCCCTGCCCAGGAGAGCTGTCTGTCTCCTCCGAGGACAGAGGAGCACTGCGGATAGCTACAACAGCACCAGCCCTGCAAAGGAACCTGCTATACAAACCGTGGCAAGGCCCTCAGCATCCCTCACATACATCCAGGGGACAGCCTGTGGGTGACGGGGATTACCAGGGAGGCTTCTCTTACCTGGGTGAGGTGAAGAAGGTGTAGAGCTTGTGGTCACTTCCAGCCAGGGCATCCAGGCCGATTTTCTTAGAGGCACTGCAGTTGTGCTCGTTGGGCTCTGGTTCGTGATGGAGGTAAGCCATGATGAAGGGCTCAGGCTCGCTTGCAATGTAGTGATCTGCGTGGGGAAGGGGAGAAAAAACAGAAAGTACTTTCTAAACACCGGGAAGAGCTCGACCACAAGCCTGCTGCCAGCAGTGGATGTTCAGGGAGGAGTATCAGAAAAGCAGAAAGTCGGGAGAGATGCTTTTCCAGCCTGTAGTCTCAGCCTGAAGTTCAGAGGATCCCTGAGCAAGAGGCTCTGGATGCCATCATACCTGACCAAGAGAGGGGCTGGACAAACTCTCTCCAGTGCTAATGTGGCTCAGCAGAAGGGCTGGGAAAAGCAAAAGGCTTCTCAGTGCCAGAATCTGTAGCCAAGGATTACAGCAGGGACTGGATAATGCCCGTGAGAGCCGGAACCTCAAGCAGGCAGCGCGGAACTTGCTGGCTACACCTGACATCCCCTCCCACAGACCAGTTATCTCTTGACACAGCTCTCCTTTGCTGCAACACCCAGCCCTCCTCTCCCACGGGAAGAAAGAGCAAACAGCATAAAGAGTTGGATCTGTCTGCGCTACCATTCAGGACTCTGTAAGTGAGCTGGAAGTGCAGTCCTGCTTCTCTGTTGTTGCTCTCCATAGTCACAATTAGGTTCACAGACGTTCTTGCCTCAACGACTTCAGTGCCAGCAGAGAGATTGTCAGCATCTGTGTTGTTTGACACCATTACAGTGATGGCTTTCTCCGAGTCCAGGCTCCCAATGGGGATCTGCACGCCGTTGTGTGTCTGAAACTCCATGGAGGCGACCTTTGTGGACACGGTGTAGTTGCTGATGTAACCAAAAGGGAAAGGATTGGAGTCCACTTGAAACATGACTTGAACGACATCCGTCAGGTTGGAAAGGGTGGTGTTGAATGCCTGGGGGATGGAGAACTGGCAGTTTGGAGTGTTTTCGTAGCAAAGCAAGTTAAAGGGATCAGACCGCTTGCCTGTGGCCTTAATTTCGCCTCCCACCAGCTCAAGGGGCTCTTCGTTCAGCACTCGAGACTTCATGAGGATGCGCATCAGGCTGGAAGACAGGTTGTAGGCTTTGGGAGCTAGCAGCAAATTGTGGGAGTCAGCGAGCAGCTCCTGGGGCTTGGATTCTTGGGAAACCGTATTGACGAGGTGAATTAGGTCACCTGCCAGGAGAGAAATAAAGGTGCAAACGGAGGAAGTGGTAAATAGCCTAGATAACTGCTGCAGTTTAGGTAACAGCTGACACTCTCCCAGAACAATCAGACCAGTCTTTCCTTACTGCCTCCTCACTGCAACTCTACACTGTGCACATGGCCTTCCACACTGGAAGCGTTCAGTAGCCCATAGCTAAAAATAGAGCTGTCAGCAAGTCCTGCAGTCTCTCGGCTAATCTACAAAGTTTGGTGGTGAATACTTAATCACAACAGGCTTTATTTTCCTTCTGTATAGTGACTAGAATGGCAGATTGGGAAACAGGGAAGGAATGGATAAAGCAAACATATGTTACTAAGTTTTTGCATTATTAAGCGGAGAACACTCAGAAACACCTAACAAGGAGTGCAGAGAAGGTGTCTCTGATTCCTCCCAGCGTAACCAGGTGGGAATTTCCACACAGTGTTCATGGGTGCCCCGGTCAAATCTGGCACCCTCCTCAGATTGCAGCCAGGAAGGCAAGCATCTGGAAGCCATAGCTGTTACTCCTTGTTTACTAAAGAGAATTCCCTGGCATATTAGTGAGTTTATTAACTGTCCTAATTAAATGTCTGCAGAGACAGCTGCCAAAGCCAGGGCAAGCCTGGGAAAAGTTCAGGGAGAAGAAAGAACCAGGGTGCCACACTCCAAACGTTAGGTGCAATTTTCCTAACAGCTTGAAAAGGCCAAACCCCTAATGGTACAGGAGACAGTCTGCAAAACTTCCCTCAGCCTACTTCTGCCCACCACCCTGCACAGGGGGACCGGCCAACTGCCACCCGTTCCTGCATGGACAAAACTGACCTGTGATGTTGAGGATGTTGTCGGCGATGCCCGTTGGTGTCACAGTGCCCTGGGTCGTTTCCCCTTGCAGAATGGTCATCATGGTCTCCAGCTTATTCAAGGTCCTTGTCAGGCATGACTTGCAAACCAGCTCCTTGCTCACGACCTGCAAAGGGAAACACAGTTTGCTTCAGCAGGAACAGTCCCAGGGAAGGATGAAGGCAGCTGTAGGCAAGTTCAGCTGGCTCAGTCCTGCAAAGACCTGAGCACATTTGTTCAACCACCATTTGGGCTCTGAAAGTCACCTCTGCTCTTTCCAGCCCCAGGGAGGTGACCACAGAGTGCTCACACCGAGGGATGCCAAGAAGTCAGTGGTGTCTTCAGGACGCTTCCATCCACCTCCCCCCATGCTACAACCTGCCAGCGTACAGGCAGGAGTCTGATGGAGGATGTGTTAGGGTGGAAAAGAGCCATGAAGAGCGGCATATTCAAGTTCCCTGGAGCTCCCTTGTGAGGACCAAGCACGTCTCCTGCTGTTGCACCTCACGAGCACCCCTTTGGGGCCACACAGAATTCCTACAGGAATCAACCAGAAGGACCTGGGTAGGATTCCCGCATCCACTTCGCTATCTTCAATGAAAGCAAGATTTAGCCCTTACTGAATCCATTTCAGTGTCCAAATACTCCTGAAAGCCGTGGGAGGGATCCTGCCACTCAGGCATGATGGATGTCCCTCCCTCTGCTCCCAGACGTGTCCAAGAAACAGAATGTTCTAGCCATGGCCTGGAGCTCCCCGCACTCTCGAGGGCTGGATGGGAGGGACTGAGGCAACACATGGAAGCTGTTACCACAGTCCCGTTCCTAGCTCTTATTCATCTTTTTTTCTTTTAATCATCATAGGATTCAGACGTGATTCACCGTATGTTTTGATGAAGAACCAAAACAGCATCTGCAGGTCTAGAATTCCCCCTTTTCCACTTTTATCTCTGAGCGATGAGAAGCGAGAGCACAGTGTGTAAACTGGAGCCCACAAGGCACAGGCAGGTATCAAGGAGGTGGGGAAGAAAAAGAGTTGTGGGGAGGAACCACCCAAAGGGAGCTACTACTTAGGAAGGAGAATTGACAAAGACGACTGAGACTTTTTTTTTTCCCTCTCCAGGAGAAATAAATGCTGATTTTTCCTCTCCCCTGTAGGTAAAATTATCAGCACTGACTGACACTGCTACAGGAAAAGAAATGTGTGAACTCTGTGCTAGTCTCAACCACTTGGGAAATTCTAGATTACTGTTTTTCTAAGCTTTTCATTCCAATCCAGAGCACAAACTAATCCTGGACTGTCAGCTTTTCCCATGGAACAAAAATTCTATTTGTAGACCTAAGCTTCCACAGCAAGATCAAGTCGCGAGGCAAGAGCATGTGGGAGAGACAGACACAAAGCAATCCAGCATCGGCATGGGATGTGCCGAACCCCAAATCCCTGAACAAAGATGAGCAGAAAGAAGTGATTTTTGAGGTTTCCAGGCTTTGAAGCGGAGAAAGGAGCAGCGGAATAGGGACGCTGTGGGTGGGATGCAGTAGTCTGCCCATCATCTCAACGACAGCCCGTTCCCGCTGAGCGAGGCTGCTGACCTGGCTGGGGCGGCGATGCGCAGCCAAGGCCAGGGTACCTGACTCCAGTCCCAAAAGCAAAGCTTTGGGAAGGCGGGGAGGTGGAGCGTGCCAGAGCTGACTGGCTGACCACCAAACCCCAAGCACATTATATAACTGGGCTCTCTTCCCTTTGCCCATCTGACAAAACACATAAGGCCACTCCTAAATCCACCAGGCAGCAGCCCCAGCACCGGGGAGCTGAAACTGCGAGCTGGCTGGGGAACGCGGCGCTTCCAGTCAGCAGCAAAGCAGAGCAGTGTTTCTAATCTTGTATGGTAGAAACAGTGCTGGAAGGAACGCCAGTCCTTGGCGCTGGCCCCTGGCTCAAGGCAGGTCCGGCTCTACTTGTTACTCCTGATGGAGTCCAGCCTGTCCTCGGAGATTCTGCAACTCCCCCAGCAACTTATTCCAGTGCTTCTTCAGTCTGCCAAGGCCTGTCCTGCAGTTTCCATCTGCAAGTGAAGGAACCTACTCGCTAGGAAGCCGCCACGCCAGGGCTGGTACCACAGAAGCAGCACACAGTTCTCAGGTCTGTCTTCCAGCACATGAATACATCATCTTACCCACGCCGTGGCACAGCAAGAGGCAGAGCTGACACCACTTAGGACGTCACCACAGAAACCCTGAAGATGTCAACAAGCGGTACCTGTCCTCCCAGTGTGGTATGTGTGGGGGAGAGAGACAGGGAAGGGAAGCAGAACAAGAATTGAAGAGCACCTAAGGTGCACCTGGAAGAGCAGGAGGCTGGAAGGGGCGATGGGGAACGTACCGTGCACTGCGCCAAGGCAGCTGAGATCTGCTGGATATCGTCGACTGTGTTCACGTTCAGCGAGTTCAAGGTTTCTGTGATATTGTTACGAGTCCAGGTCCGGAGTTCAAATTCATTCCCAGTTTCAGGTTCTGGAAGCATGGATCGCTCGTACTGAGGGGAGAAAATCAGGTAGAGTGAGGAAATGTATCAGGTTCTGTCAGAGGATGACGAGCTGTGCTGAAGTCACCTCTTCCCTGCACTCCATATCTCCCTGCCTGTGCTTCTCCCCAAGAGGGTGAGCTAATGAGCTGATTTTTTCAGTAGAACGTCCTCAATTTCACTTCTGCTCTCCAAGCAATTATCTTAACAGCCTTGCACTTGACAGCTAAGTAGTACAGGAGTGTGCAGTCCTTATCCAGCTAAGCACAGTGCCTGCACTCAGGGGCATCGCCCCTGCCCGGCTTCCAGGCAGGCAGCAGGCTCTTTTCAGGCAGGAAAGCATGAGTATAGACCAAAATTCCTGCCCTGCCTACAGAGATGTGCATGGAGGGACTGGGCCCTACTTTAGGTAGGAGTGAAAGCGAATGCTGCCAGGAGGATGATGCTCCTGCACTGTGGATTAAGAGCCTTGGAAGCAGGCAGAAGACCTTTTTAGCTGCCCTAGCTCAGCAGTCCGAACAAGGGAGGTCTCCTCGGCACCCAGAGCATCACCTGAGCAGCCACAGGGAGTTTCCAGCCCTGCGGAGTTGGAGTGGGGTGGCTGGCTCAAGGGAAGCGTGAAGGAGGTGCAAGGAATTTGGGCTAGGAGTTCTGTTTCTAAATTCAGTGTTTAGACTTGAGGTTGGCAGTAAAGGGGAAAAACTATCTGAATGTGAGGGCAGAAAAGCAGGCTGCATGGAAGACACCCAGGCCAGTGCCTTCTCTAGGACCCCTGCTTTATTTTGCAGCCCCTCTGCTTTCCCTGGTCATCCTGTGTCTGGAGCTTGTTATTCTTTTTGATGCACAAAAATAGCTCTAGCTCAGCTCCCAGCATGCATGGGCACTGATTTATGTAGCATTAGTCATTTCCCTACATTGCTGTACAAAACCTGGCCAGAGAACATTACTGGTGATTGCAAGGCCTTCTGGAGGCCCCTCTTGGGCAGAGAGTGCTGCTTCACCTCATTTAAGATGGTGATGAGGGCCAGAGAGTACTCGATGACCTGTTGAGGGTCCCCTTGTTTCACCAAGCCCTGGAGCACAGTGTCAGTTTGATTGTAGAGCCAGTGGGAGAGGCTGGGGAACCCCTCGGGTAAGCTGATTTCCATGGAGCTGCCAAGGGAAAGAGGCATTTGGGTTAAACACAGACCATCAAACGGGGCTGGGGGAAGGGGTCAGAATCTGCCCTTTAGCTGGGAAGGAAGATGAGCGGGGAAGCAGGTGGTTAAACAACAAAGACAGCAAAGCTGACGCTTGCCCTGGTGCCCAGTTTGCACGAGTTGTATGTAGGAACATCCTGGACCTGAAGTCTGGTTCCTCGCTGGTCCAGCTCTGTGAAGCTGCAGATGGAGGATGCACACAGGTGCACTGAACCCAGAGGAGAAAATCCAGGTTTAGTTTGATGGAGCAGAAAGAGCACTTAAAACCAGGGTTGGCGTGCTGGGAGAAGCTGCACAGCTTTTGGCATCGTTCCCTGGGGTCTGAGGAACAGCTGGGAGCCAGCTCCTCCTCTGCAGGCACTGCGGGACCGGGCGCTCCAGCCTGGGAGGCCGGCACCACATGTACAGTGCAGGGAGCTGTAAATCAGCTGCGAGAAGGAGCAGTCCTACAGCTCGGTCAGGCAGCAGAGACCAGCTCAGGATGCTGCCCGAAGATCTGCGGGCACTTGTCACCTGCCTGGAGCCCACTGGAAACCAAAGGGAGTTTGCAGAAGGGCTAACTGGGCTTTCATGGTACTGGCCCTGCTGAAACTCGAGCTGCAACCCCTTCCACCCTGCTCCAACGCACGTGCTCTCCGCCTTGGCTACACGAGACCTCCCTGGCTCTCAGCAGCCAGACACCAGCTCACCCGCAGCACCACAGCACGCTGCTGCCAACTCTCCTCGGAGGGCTCCCGGTGCAGGTGGGAGAGCACAGAAATCTGCTGAGGAGGCGACGTCGTGCCTTCAAAGCAAGGCGTCACCAGGGGATTAAGGGGGTGGTCAGGAAAGCAGTAACTTATGGGAAGGTCTCCCCCTTGATGATGCACAAAGACTGGAATTCTCCGTATTGCACTTCTGCCGAGCCTCCCCTCACCCTCCAGCCAACAGCCTCGTCCAGGGGGCAAACGTTTCACCCAGGATCTGCTGAGCCCTTCAGGACTGGGACCCAGCGGTCAAGCCCCAAGGCCGTGATTCAGGAGCCTTGGCTGGACCCCGGGGCTGCCTGCGAGCGGCGGGTCTTACCGGTTAACGGCCACCACGGTGGCTCCCAGCTGGTCCTGAACAAGGACCGCCACGGACACCAGGAAGCCGCTCTCGTGAAAGCCCGGGGGCAGGAAGGCGCTGTGCTCGGCACGGCTGCCCTTGTACACGCAGAACTCGTGGTAGTGCCCGGCCCTGCGGCGGGATGCCAGGAGGATGTACACCAGCGGGCCCTCCGCGTCCTCTGTGTCTCGCCAGCCTGCAAAACGAACCCAAACAGGGGGGCTGACGGGGGGGGGGGGAGGGGGGGGGAAGGGCACAGGGCCGGGGGCTGCACCCACCATCCTGAAGCTCAGCCCGTCTGTCAGAGCTGGCGTTGCCTGGCAGTGCCCCTTCCCTCCCCTGGAGTGTCCCACCAGGCTCAGCCCTTCAGCACGGCATCTCCCCTTACTGGTGTCCCCAGCAAGGGGCCCCCCTCCTCTGGCAGAGGGACGGGCTGTCCCCACAGTGAGGACAGCTCAAGGATTCCACCAGGCTGGGGGGGGGGATGTTTTCGGGGCCTGCAGTGTAAAGCTCTGACCCCCTCTGAATTTTTCCGATGCTTAGGGGTTTCTGCCTAGGTGTTTGGGTCCTGTAACATTTAAAGAGATTTGTGAAGAGTTCGCGAGCAAAATGAAAACGGGCACAACTCTTTTGGGGCTGGGAACAGCACTGACGCAAGGCCGCAGCTTCTGTACAAGCCCTGCAAAGCCTGACATGGGACAGAGGCTCAGCGCAGCCCTCAGGCAGTTCAACATCTCAAGAACAACCGAGTCTAGGATAAAACCCGCACAAAAGTTTCTGTGGAGCTTCCAGGAATTCTGGGGAGTCTTGTGGGAGCTGAGCAGTTGGGCAACGCACCGCGTGTTTGCCAGTGAGCACCAGTGAAGGTGCTGGCTCTGCCAGGGCTCGCTGCACTGGACTTCGACCAGTGGGCATCCTGCCTGTTTCATTTCAGCTTAAAAACAATCCCTAAGCACTAAAATTCCCACTACTCCAAAGACGTTTCATAATTATTCTGGGTAGCTCAAAACATACCCAAGTTGCAACGACATCAGGCTGAATACACTTCTGCTTCTCCCCCAGCTTAAGCTGGGCTTTGGTGACCAGCCCCCCCAGAACCAGCAGAATTCATCATCTCTGCAGCGTGGCTTCCCAGCATTTGTGCACAGACAGCACTAATCTCTAACACTAATCATTTGGGGAAGTATGGTTTTCAGAGGCACTTATTCCTTGGCCCAAGGCTACAGAACGTCAGCCAGGCCACTTTTCCAAAGCTGGACTCGTCGTTGCTGTCTCTGCAGCTGGTTGAGAAGGTAACTGCCGACGGGAACATCCAGCCCACATGGCAGAGAAGGCCCCAGTGCTTTGTCTTTTGACTCTTCCCACATACGTGTGACTCAGTTTTGGGCACCTATCTTCTTTTTCCTGCACTGAAATACCAGTTTCTTCCGCAAGTACTGGCCTGGCCTGGGCATCACCGCTTAACTATGTGAAGTAGGATGAAAAAAAAGTGCCTGCCTGCTACCATGAGTTTTAGAGCTCCGTAAGTCGGGGATACAAATTTGCTCAGGGTCCAGGCTTTGGGGATCAGGAATGGAAAAGCCCAGCTTCTGAACTCAGCCCTGGCCAAGCATCTTGGGGTAGGAGCTCAGCGTAAAGAACGCATCTGCGGGGAGAAGGGCAGCTGTAACACCCTGGCCAGGAGAAACCTTTGCCCAGGAGGAGCAGGGAGGCTGGCAGGTGCCCAGCACCGCTGCCTGTACGCTCTCACCTGCACACTCGAAGTGCACCTTCGCCATCAGCGCCCTGAGGGGTCCCCTGGGAGACAGCCGGCAGGACCCGCCGACGGGCGGCTGGTTTGGGAGCAGGTCGATGGAGGCGAATCCTTCCTCCCCCGTTGTGAGGTCTGTGATGTGAAGGGTAAAAGTATATCCCTCCCCGTCCTTCAGTGCCCCTTGCCTCAAGACCAGGTTCATTCCGGTGTCGCCAGTGGAGGTAGTTTTTTTGTCCAGGATGAGCGACTTGTTTTTAAAGCTGTGTGCTGCCCATCTCTGCAGAGATGAAGAAGGGAAAGACAGGAGAGGTTTTGTTTAAATCTGAAGTTATATCCTTAAAATGTTTTCAGATTGAGTCTCTTATAAAAAGTAACAGATTTCTAGTGGGAGCGTCTGCCAAATTTGCAGTTGATAATTCAGCTTTAGTCTTGTGTGCTACAGCAACAAGAACTGGAACCTTTCCAAAATGTCTGGTGGGAATATTTCCACTGTGAGATCTACTTTAGTCTCTGGGATTACATCACCCTCCGACAGAGTATTTCATAATACAGAATACAAAACACAGGAAATAAATTAAGTACTGGTGGAGTCTCCACGGGATACCATGTTTTATAAGCTTGAAGCTGAACGTGTCCTGGATGGTTACTGTTAATAGCGCAAATGTACAATTGTGATAACAAGAGGAATAGTGAGATAGGCAACCAGAAAATGCCATACAAGTACATGCTGGGCTTACTGGGAGCAATACAGACTGGCTCTCGCAACAGGACTTCCCATTCTGAGACCTGTTTCATTCAACAGGTTGCAGAAATGCTGCATAGTGGAATCTGTAATTAGAGGAGGGCATGAGAGATTTGGGGGATCAGAAGAGACTGAACCACCACTGCTTGAGCCACCAGAATAAGGGGCAAAATGCCAATCAGCAGGGAGAAGGAAATAATCTACAGATCTCTTCTCGGAAAATAAAGTGGCTTTTGTGTGAAGTGAGCTGGTCATTCATGGGCTTGGCTTGAAAATGACCCAGCAAGGACTTGCCCTTGGGTAGGTCCAGACACTGATGGAGGACTGACAGGCACAGCCCAGGGCAAGGGAAACCTCTGGACATCTCACAGGGGGTCCCAGTCGTTACAGGACATGGGGAACCTGCTTCAGAGGCCCCAGGACATGGCACGGCACGCAGGAGCCCCGGGCCACTCCAGGCAAGCTCCGTGCAGGGCCCGTTTTAAACTTCTGACTCTGCAAGCCAGTCCTGCACCCAGTTCCAGGGGCTGTGATGAAGAGACCAGTGCCAGCCAGTCTTCCTCGGCCCCTCAGCCAGACCCAGCCTGCCACTGCCTTTATGGTCAGAGATCGCTTCCCCTCCTTGTCTCTACGGCAGTTTAGCTCCAGGACTTTATTTCTCACACAGCTCTTTCCACCCTGTCCCCTGATTCTCCCCTTCTCCCTGAAGTCCACCAAAGGTGAAGCAAAGACCAGTGTTGTAACGACTTTACCCCAAGCTTGGAGTCGTTGTGACAGTTCTGGCAGGTCCCCTCCAGGTAGACATAGGAGCTCTTGCTAACTTCATAGACAGACTGAGCCTTGCAGGAAACGCACTCCAGGGACACGATAGGGACTCCTCCCCTCTTGATGAATACCTGGGGAAGCAAGAGGCTCCATCAGAAGATCTGAGACAAAAATACAGACATCTAACAGGTAATACAGACATCCCAGCACCTCACTCTGCACAGAGGAATTGCCCTGCACCAGCCCAGTCTGTCCTCAGGAAACAGCAGAAAGGGATTTCTAAAGGATTTCATGACAGACTTTAGCTACATCACTTTTCTTACACTGGCCAATTCTGCCACTGATTTTTAAGAGCCACGCAATACCAAGCTGGGACAACCCAGGTAATTCTGGATTTACTTTATTTACACTTTTTAACAGCATGCATCACTTTCAACATGTCCCTCTGGTGCCCTGTGCTGAACTCCCAGCAAGTCCTGCTTGTGCTGTCGGGTGGGGATGACGCTCACTGAAGCACTTTGCTGTACTGACCATTTCAGGGCAGCTGCCTGCCCTAGAAAAATGGGATGCGTGTTAGAGTTTGGGAAAAAGGAGCAGTCTAACGGGGAGGAGGAAAGCCTCCGTTACAGCACAGACCGAACATCTGGTGAGCGCCTGCCCTGGGAAGCAACTGCAGCTCTCCTTTGTTTTCTGTGGGCCAAACTCTTGGCCCTGCCTCTGCAGCTGTGGAGCGCCTGACCCGGTGGGGTCACAGCAGATCTGCCGTGGGCACCCAAGAGTGGGTGGGGCTGTGGGTGTCTGCCCCCAGCTCGGAAGGGTGCTCAGGGGAAAGCGTGCACAGTCCAGAGTAGCAGAGGGCTGGGGGTGAGCCAGGGAGCCTGGGTTTACTGAGGACGTGCTGCCCGGTGCAAAGCCAGCAAGGTCCCTGCTCGGCTCTCCGGAGCTTGGGCGAGAACCACACGCCACGTGTCGAGACCCGACCCTTGGGCTCGCGAGCGCGCTGCCCGTGCAGAACCGTCATCGTTTCTGACACTACCTACGTCCCCGAGAGACAGGAACGGTGATAAAAACAGCCAGAAAACACAGCTCCCACTGTGCCTCAAACGCATTTTGCTCTGCAGGCTGGATGAACCACCTTTTCCAGAGAGCGGCACCGTTGTTCCAGGCTTTTAGCTCGGATCTGAGCTGCACATCACCAGACATCTACCACACCTCCCCGGCAAAGCACTTGGAGAGAGGAGAGCTCTAGAAGCACTGGTGGCTCAGATACAACAGCTATTGGAGCTCTGACCCCTGTACTTTGCCTAAATTCCTTCAATCCCCTAAGAAATGGCGTTGTCCAGCATTTGACAGGGCCCTCTGCCCTGGCATAATGAATATTCTGTGTTCAAAGAAAGACAGTAATGAAGACATTGTTTAATATGGCAGACTTTTAAAAGAGGGTAAGTATTCCACAGCACTAAGCCGGAGCGCCTTGAAGCTTCATTCATTCCTACAGTATTTGCAAATTTCCTGCGACACTGGAATCATTGTTTTGCGCTCATGCATGGAAACCAGATAGTACGGAATGTCCTTGAAAGACTATCAATTTAATTTTTTGCTTTTTATCCTCCAGCTCTGGTTTAAAACCCAGGCAGTAAGAGTTTCCACTTTCAGACTAACTATATCCCTAATTGCCAAATGCACCACGATGAATGTTTCTGACATAAACTATAACTGCTGTCGGACTGCAGATGCATTCAGTGTTAGGCTTAATTTGACATAAACAACATGCACTTAGAAAAATCCTCCCTTAAAAAAAATTCAGAAGGAGAGAAGAGAGGAACTGTTGACAGCAAAATTAAGTACCAGCTCGTAGGAAGCTCTCTCTGGGCAAAAATCAGGGAAGAGCCTGGTGCTGTGACACGTGAAGAGCCTGGGACTGCACACAGTGCTGGAAGAGCTACGGGCCACGGGCTCCTTTGCTGCCCTCCGGCAGATCTGCAGTCACAGACTCTCAGTCCCAGGAACGGTGGCCAGTACCGTTCAGGATTGGGTCACTAACGCAGCCTCTGCACAGAGAGGGACTAACGCAAGGTCTAAAGGAAGGAAGAAACTAAAAGGACTTGGCAGGACAAGCAAAAGCGCTGCCCCAGGCAGCGTAAGATGAATTGATCACGGAAATACCAGTGTTTGTTCCTGCCAATGACCTGGATGAGATGGGTTATGGAGACCCAGCAGTGCCCCAAAATCCGCTTTCCCGTGCGGGCTGGTGCAGGCAGGTAGCGGTAGCTCCCACACCCCCAGCTGAACTGGGACTGGTTCTCAGAGGGGGCCAGGGGACGCAGCCTGGGGAGTCACCCATGGCCGGGCACGGTCCCGAGCCAGCACCGCTCTCCTCTAGAAACTTCCTCAGAAAAAGGGCTGCGGAATTCCAGCTCGGCTGTGTCCAGCAACAGGCACACAAGGACAGAAAGCGACAGTTGTCTGTGGTACGTACGGTTTGATTTGTTGCCTCGGGACTCATACCCTCCTTCCTGACGGTGAGGTCGAACGTATACTCCACATCTGCTTCTAATACAGCTTTGGAAATTGTGACAATTCCTTCCTTGGCACTGAAATTCAGAGAGCACCCTGCAGCCGAGCTCTGCTTGCAAGGAGAAAAGAACTTTCAAACCCTCCTTGGTATGGGTGCACATTGGGTTAGTCCACAGCCAAAACACTCAGGTCCACACAAAGTCACTGCTACAGATCTTACTGTGCAATGCCACCGCTGGGGTGGGACAAACTGGGCGGTGTGTGGACAATAAAGCACATTATCCTATTCTTCAGGTTAGTAAGCAGTACTTGGAATAGTCCTGTATTTCATCTGAGCTTCAAATTCTTATTTTATAGCAATTAATTCCTCATTACATAGCTTATAAACTTTGCCAAACAACACAAAAAGCTCACAACAAACTCAACAGTCTAATCCACACACACTCCACATCTTTCTGTTTTGAGGTAAAGATAGAAAACAATGATTTTTTTACAAGCAAAAGAATCCCACATTCAATCAAAAAATGTTCCTGAGGTGGGTCTCCTGTAAGAATTTGAGGGGCAGTTCTCCCTCGCTCTGCTATCACCCTAGGGTCAGGCCATTTCAGCGTGTGACGACAGTGACCTGCTTGTGACCATAGTGACCGTGACCTGTGGTCACTTCACTCCTCCAAAGCCTAACTACGGCCCCTGCCAAAACCAGAGACACTTAACCGTTAACGGGAGAGGGATCAGAGCCCTCAGCCCCCCCCGGGCTGCAGTCGGCCTTCAGGTTATGGAACCAGCTACGCTGAAACCACGAACCAGAGGCCAAGAGCAAGGGAAGCAGCAATGCGAATGCCTCAGCTTCCAGTGCCACCACTTCTGCCACGCACCGGGCTGCACTGCACAACTCTTCGCAGCAATTTCTGTACCATCATCCTCGGCTGGGAACAGGGAAACCTTTGCAACCCTCTTTCCGGAGCAGCTTTGATAAAGGTGCTCACAGAAGCTTCCCTCAACACCGCTTCAACCCAGACACATTTGTAGTGGAGCTGACGTGTAGCTGGAACTTCCAAAGGATATCAGCCCCTCTGGCTGTGCAAAACTGCTCTTACCTTGGAGGAGAATGTGCAAGACCAATCGTATAACAACGGAGTCTGTTCGCCATCGTCCAAGTTCGGGTCATAGGACTTCTCCCCATCCAAGATTAAGTCCTGAGTGTTGGACCATACACGGTATGACCCCCCATCAATGATTGGGACCAGCTTACTTGGTATGACAGTTACATTGGCAAAAATGCTTTTGGACAGTGGGGTATCTCCAAAGGAGACAATAAAGATGAAGCAGTAGTTCCCAACTTCGAGGGCAAGCTTCGGTATAACTAGCTGGGGCCTGTTCACATCAACGTTCGGCAGACGGATCCTGCTGGAGTCGTCCAAGTTCATACAGCTGGGTGCTTGGTAGATCTCCCACAGGTGCTCCGTCTGGTACTTGATGCATCCTCGGAGGTCAATCTGTGCCTCTAGGTAGTTCCTCTGGGACCGCTTCATGACTACTTGAGGGGGCAAGGCTAACTCCACCTCTGGCTCCTCGCACTCCAGGACTTTGACAGTGACGGTGAGGTGGGCTATGAAGAAGCTGATGAGATTGGTGGCATTCACCTCCACCAGGTAATCCCCAGGGCTCAGGTAAGAATAGTTGGCCACTGCAACCCTGGTGATTTGAGTGGAAGAGCCATCCCCAAAGGTCCACAAGAACTCAACGCTCCTGCTGCTGGGCACCACTGCTGCTTCAAACAGTGCTGTCCTGTTGACAAAGGCATTGGAGGCTGTGAGGGAGACCTGGACTATCGGGTCTTGGACCTGGATGGTTCTGGTGATATTGACACCGCCCAAGTCATTGAAGGCATTCAGGTGAATCTCGAGCAGCCCTGCAGCTTCTGGAGTGTAGGAAACACTCTCTCCTGCCGTAGTGACCACGGATCGACCTTGCAGTTTCCACAAGGAGAACTGCCAGGAGAATGAGACGCGGGAACCGCTCCCCACCTGGGCACTGAAGCTCTTCTCCGTGCCCGTGGGTATGCCTTCCTCACAGCAGTTCAGGAGCCTGACATCGCGGATGGCCTCCAGGACAGAGATGAGCACCTGGGCATGTGCGATGCTGATCTGGTTCTGCACCGTCACAGTCACCAAATAATCGCCGCTCTTGGTGAACTCATGCGTGTACTTGGACCCGTTGAGCACCACAGAGTAGTCCCCGCTTATGCTCACCAGGTAACTCACCGAAGTACCTGACAACATCCTGATCACAAAGGTGACCTGTTCCCCTGGCTCTACCACCTTCTTGCTGGCAATGATTTCCAATCCTTGAATCCTGTCCAGCACTGAGATATTCCTGCTGGCCAGAGCCCAGCTGATGTCATTCGATGCATTCAGGTAGACTGTATAAAACCCTGCTGTGGGGAACATGACTGCCACGGACTGGCCAGTCAATGTGCCATTTGGCACCTCCCAAAGCCATGTCACTTCAGTGCCTTTCTGCAGCTCCCCCTCAAAGACCACCGTGGAGCCTGACGAGACGTATCTACAGTCCAGTTCTGCAGTCCCTATGCTCAGCCCCTCTATCACCTCCTCTACACAGATATTAATTGTTGCATTGGCTGAATCCAGCTTGTTTTCTGCTCCAACGATGACCTCTATCAGGCCAGGGCTTTGGTAGGAGTGTATAATAAAGGGTTCAGAGGTGACAGAAGAGAAGCCATCTTCTAGGTACCAAACATATGTGATGCCAGTGCCGCTGGTTATGGTGGTACTTATGTTAACAGAGGCATTAATAGCAACTGGGTTGGGGAAGGCATAAGGCTTTAGAAGACCAATGCTTTCAATGAACTCCAGTGTCCTGTTGGCAGTTGCGCACCCCAGCATATTAGTGGCTTTCAGATAGACAGTGTAGTTTCCAGCTTCTAAGATGCTCAAGGAGAAGGTTTTCCCAGTGAAGGTCTGCACGGCATTGCCGTCCCTTTGGGCTACCCAGCTGTAAGAGATGTTTGTTCCCTCTCTCACCACTGCCTGCAAATGGAGGGTTTTGTTGGTTGGGAAATACATGTCTTCCACCAGGTCACTGCTAGCCACCTGCAGGCCTTCAATCTGCTCCAGGACGTAGACGTAGATGCTGTCCTGCAACGAGCTGATCTTGTTCTCCGCTGTCACAATGACATTGAATGTGCCCACGGAGCGGAAAGTGTAGGAAATTGTGGAGGAGCCTTGGATAGGAGTGCACCGGTCACAGAGGATCCACGAGTAGCGGATGGCACTGCCAGCTACAAGCGTGGCTACGAAACTCACCGAGCCATTTAACGGCACCACTGTCCTGCTGGCGTTGATGGTCAGCCCCTGAAGCCGACGCTTCACGGTGACGTCAATGATGGTCTCATTAAAGCTCACATCGTTCCGGCCCGTCACGCTAATAGTGTAATGGCCCGTGTCGTTGTAGGTGTGGGTCGCGATCTGGCCGGGCTGCGTAGTGCCATCTCCAAAGTCCCAACAGTAACTCACTTTGGTTCCATTCATACTGGCAGAGAACAGGTAGATCTGGTTCAGCTCCAAAACAGTTGTCCCATTATATTCAATCTTTGCTACCCCAACTGGTTCCTGGACCTCCACAAACGCTGTGTCGTTGTTGAAAGAGACATTGTTGGAGACGGTCACCGTGACCAGGAAGACCCCTGTGTTCTTGTAGGTGTAGGTCACTTCAGTCCCACTCGATCTAGTGGACTCGTTGTTCCCGAAATCCCAGCGGTAGCGGTACTGGTAGAGAGGCACGGCACTGACCTGGAAGCTGCTCTCTTCACCAAGCCTCACAAACTTCTTGGAAGGGAGAAGGGTGACATTCACTATCTCTGGCTCCACACAGACACTGGTGAAATAGTGAGCCTTGTTAAACCTGCTTGAGAGAGTCAGGGAGAGGGGGAATGTCCCGCTTCGGGTGAAGTTGTGCATCACCACAGGGTCCCCACTGACAGTGACATTGGACGAGCCATCTCCAAAAGTCCAATCAAAGATGTATTCATCAGGATTCCCCGTCACGTATGCAGTGAGCTGCACATCCGGGTGCTCAAGGATGCAAGAAGTAGGCTCTATTTTGAGTACTTCCAGGACAAATATCCGAACAGGCACAGTCTGGGAGATGGAATTCACAGGATTCACAGCTGTCACATTCACAGTGCAGTTGATGTCCTTTATGTACACGTGTTCCACCACTGGCACCTGACTCCTCAGCACCGTCCCGTCCCCCATATCGAATATCCAGGTGACACTGTCCCCCGTCTGCACTGAAGCATTAATGGTCACAGATGCTCCCAGCTCTGCCGCCTCACCTGCGGACACACGGAGCCCAGTTATCTCTTCAAACACTTGGTAGCACTCAACTGTCTCCACACTGCTTAGGGTATTGTTCGCCGTCACAGTGATGTTGTATACCCCTCTTCTGGGGTAGCTGTATGTCACTGGAGCCTGGCTCTCTGTGAACAGTGAGGACCCATCCCCAAAGTCCCAGGTGTACACGACGCCATAAGGAGATGGCAGTGGATTGGCTCTGAAGGTGACTGGACGGCTCACGACTAGAACATTCTCCTCTACTTCGATCTTCACATCAATCAGGTAACTGTGGATGTGAACCGGGGTCAAGTGGGTGAGGTTCTCGAACTGGTTCGACACGAGCACCACCAGGGCGTATTCGCCTGCGTCGGAAGAGAGCAGAAAAAGAACCAGTCGTGAGGACGTGCTTGTGCAACAGCTTGCTCGGTGCTGCAGCAGTGTGAGGAGCACGGCGGGGGGACCGCGGGGAGAGACTCTGCTCCTGCACCATGCACGCCCTGGGCTTCCCTTCTCCAGTCCAGGACAAGCAGAAATTACAACCAGGCCATGCGTGTGAGGACCAAACACCATGTGAGAATCCAGCCCAACAGATACAGAGAAAAGATTTTCTTTCTGTTTGCTCACAAAAACAACCCCCCTTCCTGCTGCCTGCAGCAGGGCTCCCTACCCCTCTCCCAGCAGCACACAGCTCGCCTGCCACTCATCTATCTGCTGAGACTGCCCAAAAAGGGGACTGCGTGTGGTGGACCTGCTTCTTTCAGCATGGACAAACTTCTAGAAACAGAGTTATGGAGGATGGCAATCGCTGGAGACTTCCAGTCACTCTGGCTCTTTGCTCAGGAACAAGGTGAAGACTTTCAAACCACTGCTTTATTTGAATGTGCCTTGTAACCCCCATGCAACAAAAATGCCTGAGCCCTTTCTTCCCCAAACAACTGTCCTGAGCATACCTGGGTCTTGATAGACGTGTGAAACATTGTGCTCAATTACAACCTCATGGACACTGGGATCAGGAACAAGGAAAGACTTGTTGTAGGGAGGCTTGAACAGGTATGTCTCCTGGACACCATCTCCAAAATCCCACCTGGAGAAACATGCAAACCACGTTACACTGCACAACAGGAGAATCATGGATATCCCTGAGGAACCCTAGCCTGGCCTAGGGCTGCCTTTCTGGCTCAGGGCTGGTGTTTCCAGGAAAACCATAGGAAGCATAATGCCAAGTATCAAAGAAGTAGCTGTGCCCAGTGCTGCAGAATTACCGCTGTGAGAGGAGTACAGACTGGTAAGAGGAGGAGGAACCCAATATTAAAGCACTGTTGCAACCCTTGAGAAGAAAAGTATTTCAGCCTGAACTATAGGTCCCAGTCAGTGTGACTGAACCACACTTGCAGGGATCTCAAATTAACTAGACAGAAGCTGAAAAACGAGCCATTTGACATCAGCTGGCCCTGGGAAGAGAAATAGTGCAGGCAAGACTGGGAAGCTACGCACAGGAAGATCCTACATTCAGGCGACTTGCAAAGGACTCACAGGAACATAGCATCCACAGCTGAATCAACCTGGACTCTTGCTGTAAGCTCCACGGTGCTGTTCTGAGGGAGGACCGGCAGGACACCCAACACAGTCAGGTTCTTCATCTTATTCATCATCTCCACCGTGACATTGTAATTGACTGTAAAGTTACTGACGTGGTTGGAGGCGGTGAGCTGGGAAGGACAGTGGGACAAAGAATGCATTTGGGATCACCTTGCTGTGCTGCCCTCTCCTGAGAGTGGGCCTTCACCGTGCTGAAGAGGTCCCACCAGGCAGGAGAGCAGGGCAGGGCAGGTCAGAGTAGCCTGTGGGACAGGGAGGCAGGGGCAGGAGCCTCAACGGCACTGGCAAGCAGTGCGGAATGGAAGGTCACCACCTACTCGGTGAAGCCATCTCTTGCTGGAACCACCACACCTTCACCACTAAAGTCAGTCCAAGGAAGGGCTGGTTCTACAGCAAGAGGACAAGGAGAAGAGCTTCTCCTCCAGTTACCCTTTTCCCTGCTCCGATGTGCCCCACACGTTGTCTCCAGCTGCTGAGCCCAGGCACTTGCTGCCTCCAAGGGAGCAGCAGCCCCCCAGTTTTTAGGACAGTGGTGGATGAGTGGCCCCAAGCAGAGAGTGGGGATGGGAGAGACCCAAAAACCAAACACACCAAATGCAGCTCCAGCACACTGGGCACCGAGAGGGAGAGCAAAGTTAGGCAGATGAGGGGAAGGGAGAATGGACAGGCAAGAGACTGAAGAGACACGACAAGAGCAGGATCCTCAAGATTATCTAGGCAGGTCCACTGGCATCGCTCCTAAAGATGAAGCATCTTGCTACCTCCTCACCTGCAGAAGAGCTGAGCTGCTGGCAGAAGGGATACTTCAAACCCAGTGGAATAGAGACCCCCCACCCCAACAGATAAAAGTTGCTTGTGTCTAGGCTTCTGTGGCTCTGTTACACTGAACCCAGTGGACGCCAGGCTAATGCCACCTTGTCAATTCTGTAAGTAAAAGCAGTCCAGGCTTGTCAGCACAGTGCTTCACCCAGCAAATTAGTGTTACTCAGCATAGTGCTGCACCAAGCAAATTAGTGCTAGCGTGCCCTCGGAGCTAGGGCTGGTGTCTCATGAGGAAGCCAGCAGACACCCTGCAAATGGACCAAGCAGCTTGGAGCCAGACCAGGACCCTGCATGGCAGTACACGGCATGATACAGAAAGATCTTTTGGCCAGAGATAAACTCCTCTTCCACAACAGATACCTCCCTCTGCCCAGACTCCCTGCTCTATCCTTCTTCTGGGGTCACGACAAAACCCACTGTTCCAGTTTGAACCAGTAGAAAGAGAAAAGGACAGAGACCAGAAGAGCTTGTGGCAGAAGTTCTGTCCTGCCTATGAAAGCCTTACGTTTGCATTCTGTCTCGGCCTGCTGCTGAATCCACATCTCCTGCCTGCCAAAGCAGTGGCTGGCACCCTGCAGTGGGGCTCCCTGCCTCATTTACAGAAAGGAGAACGTGGAGAAAAGAGGAGAAAGCAAAAGCGAGGAAGACAGAAGCCAGCTGTAAAGGAAGCATAGGAAGAAACTCACTATTTGCATTTGCAAGAGCAGCTCAGTGAGGAATAGCAGATGAGCTCGTTAGGAGCACAGCGAAAACCTCCTCAACTCTGCCCTCTCCTCTCCCTGCTGCTTTTCCTGCTTCATTTGTGGGATGAAATGGAAACCCAGGATTAAAATGGTATCATGGGAAAGGCCTTGGCTTACCGAAAGCTTGTACACAGCTGGGCTTTGGTAGATAACGTTGAAGACAATATTGTAAAAAGTGAAAGATGGCTTATCATCTACTGTCCATCGGAAAGTCACATCTGACCCAGCTTCCATCACAGGGACGTAGCTCTGAAAGGCATGAGGACATTTTACACTAGTGCAAGTGAAAAGCATGCACAGCACTTCCCAGGAAACCTCCAGCTGAACTGGAGAGGGAGCAGAGCCAGACTGGGAGGCATCACACGCCTGTAAGACAGTGCCCTCAGAGCATGACACGGAGGTGCAAGACCATCTGTGGCTTTGCTGCCGATAGAGAAATGCAGACCCTGACTCCATAAATCAGGAGCAGAGCAGGGAGCAGAACCGTACTGCCTGCTCCCACACCCTAGGGCTCTGCTCTTGTGACCAGGTCTCTTTCTTGCTGGCTAAAAAACTTTCCGGTATCTTTGCAGAAACAACTCAGCTTTAGCTACACCTGTAAGCTGAGTCTCTGACCTTCATCCACTGATGATGCCTGACCCGAAGGCTAAAATGGTTGACGTGCTCTGGACAGGGTAGGCTCCCTCCTCACTCCTACAGTGCCTCCTGAGCAGACCACGGCAGCCAGGAAGGGTGAGACCAACAGGCGTTGCAGGCGCAGGGTTCTGCCATAAGCAGCCAGAGCTGGACAGAGCGTTTCACAGATACTGATGGGCAGTCACTGAACAGGTCCCTGCGGCTCGACTGCAGCTCTGGGGACTTTTTGAGATAAAAAAAGGATGGCAAACACCAGAATAACTCCAAGATTTTGAGGGATGGATGAAACATTTTTATAGCTTCAGCCAGCTGATATAAGGATTTCGTAGAGCATATCTAAACACCTAAAGGAATAACTACAAGTCAAAAGAAGGCAAATTCCGGCCTTTCAAAATGCCTCCGGTTTTCTGGAGAACTGGAGAGTCAGTATTCCCCTACCAGAAGATGCTGCCTTACCTCTGAGGGAATTAAAGTGAACGTAGAGCTGAGCTGCCTTCCTGCTGGAGAGCACCAGTGCTTTCTGCCGCATGCCTGCGTCTGCAGCAGCGCTGTCTGCGCGGCCGGGGAGCCGGCGCTTAGCAGCAAGCAGCGCTACACCCGGCCAGTGTGGAGCCGAGCCCCCGCCCTCCTCGTCAGCAAACCACCCACCGCTGGTGCTAAAGGCTGAAAACGCCACCCACGAATGAAAAGCAGCCACTCACCACTAGCGTATTTAGCAGGACTCTGCTCTCAGGGTGTGGGGTGGCCCGCAGCCCGCGGATGGGCTCCTCCACTTTCACCGTGACGGTGACGTTCTGGGAGCTGACGGCGTTGTCCGCAACAAGCACGTGGGTGCTCACCCCCTCCCGCAGGCCGCTCAGGGTGACCACAGCAAACCAGGTGTCGTTGGTCTCCCTGGCACAGTCCGCCGTCAGCGGCGCAACAGCCGCCGGGCAGGACCCCTCGAAGGGGAAGGTGTGGTTGTCCCCCAGCCAGCGAGCCGTGGCATTCACCCCTGCGGAGAGTTTGACAACCAGGGTGGTGTGGTTGGAGGGCAGGTAGACCTTGCCGCCTTGAGGAGCGGGGTGGATGACACGCAGGCCTGCCACCCAGGACGTCACCCAGAAACTGCAAGACAGGTTGGTGCTGAAGACCCCGTTGTCCACGCTGGCTCTGACCGCGTAGCGACCTGGATGCTCCAGCCCCGCGTTGTGGGGGCTGATCACCGGGACCAGTTGCTCCTCGGCGTAGCGAACTCGGAGAGAACAAACAGTGTCGTTCATCCAGGTGGCACCGATGGGGCTGTCAGACAGGCCAAGTGCCCACGCTGAAGAGTTCACGCTTAAGATGCTGGTTCTGTAAGGGGATGTGGTACTTGGTTGGCACTGGAGGAGTAAGCCCAAGCCTGCGTTGTGCTGGATACTGAAGACATCCTCAGCCCTGACAAAAATACTTTCTTTTCTGAATGTGACCTGCAGAGAGAGGAGAAATTCTGGATTAATGCTTGAAGTTGAAGGCGCTCAGCACCAAACTCTAGCCTGGGCAAGACAGCTGGATTTACTGCCAAGTGGAAACCGAAGAGAAAAGCCGCAGATTCAAACACGGCATGGGGAGACATTTCACCACTCCGCTCTCCTTGGCCACTCTGAATCAAATGTGCTAACACAGAAGTGAGCTTCACACTCTGTCTCCACTGCATAAGTGCAACGGGAGTAGCCCAGGAGATGTGCACAGCCTTCTGACCAACTGTGCTACTGCAGCAGGGTGCTGCAGGGAGTCCACGGCTTTAGAGCGGGGAAGACAGAAAGTGGTGGCGTGTGTGACACTGGGCAAGTCATTTCATTTGAATGGACTTCAGTACCTCCATCTGCAAATTGGGAACAATTCTTTACGAACCCAAAGCAATCGGGACAAAACTTCCCCACCTACTCATTGCTTACAACAGCTAATAAACACTGACCAGGTACTGGGAAGAAGGGCCAGCTGGTATTGTAAAGAGAAATTCCTTGACGAGTTCATAGCTGAGCTGGCTTTCACTGTGCTGAAGGGAAACGGGGGTAGGGCTGCTGGCAAGAGAACTGTTGGCACACTCGGTCGCGTTGCAGCAGTTGTTTAGTGATGAGCACAAATCAGTCAAATGACACCATTCGAAACCAGGAGGACATTCAAGTAACGTCCAGTTCCCATCACCCTGAGCAGTGTCGAACGGTTCTGAAGCATTTTTTCCCTCCTGGTAGTCTGGAAGAAGTGAAAGACAAAGCAGTGACCATCATTCTGACAAGTAATGCTTTTAGTGCACTTCTTTGCTCCAAATTCAGCATTTTTTTCCACTTTGACTGAAGATGGCTCCACTCTTAGTAAAAGTTGCAACTGCAACACATCCTGGTGCTACGTAAGACCGGTGTCCTGTCTTACTGGAAAACTTCACAAAGGCACAAAGATCATTAAAAACAAAGTTAGTCTCTTTTCCAGTGGGAACACACCAATTTGCAATCTAGAAGAGATGTTCAAGTGAAAGTGAGTCCAAGCAAAAGCAGAGTTGTCTTTGACACTGAAAACACATTAAGCAACTTTTCTTAAGTTCATATTTCCATGTCAAAGTATCAGCTTTTCAGTGTCAAAAAATATCCTTTTGGATCCAGCCAACCCTATGGCTACAGCAAACATTCTGCTGCAAAATTAATTGTTGCCAAAGCTGTGACTATTGAGCTGTTATACAAGGAATAAAAGACTTATTAGATTATCTCATCCATCAGGAAGAAACAGGCTCAGGAAAATGTTCTTCCTTTTTAACCTGTGGGGCCAGATGGACCAGAACACATTCCCATCTGACATGTCATGTCTTCCCAAAGTCTAAAATTATAGCCCAGAAGATTAATTCACTTCTACACGTTCCTTACGCTCACATTTTCTTCGTGCATTGAGAAAGGTTTCTCCCTCTATCAATTTCTTCAGGCCAACCACTTCTCCAAGGCAACCTCAGGCTGCCCAACCATACCTGCAGATTTTGCACTTTAGTCTCCTCAAAAAATAGAAACAAATCTCTGAGCACTTCAGGCTTCAAAACTTCTGCTCTGAAGACACAGGGGCCACGAGAAGGCCACACACACTCAGTCTGGCGTGGCCCTGACGCCATCAGCTCTAACAATACCACGAGTGTTGAGAGGAGATGCCTCACCTTCTCCATGGATCGGTCTGTGCACCTGGAACCTCACTTGAACGGGTTGACGCAGTTCCTGTGTCACAAACTCCAGGGCAGTCAAATATCCCCCGTGCCTGAATGCCAGCTCAGGGAACACCATCACCTGCAAAGCAAACACGGCTCTCACCTGCCTGCGTCTCCCTGGGCTCGCTCTGCGGCGGCAGGAGGAGCAAACCGTTCTTACCTCCACAGCTTGCCACGGAGCTGACAGCACATCTTCTGCCACATTTTTCACAGCCTCGTGTGTGTGAAACACAGGGTCTCCCACAAAGAAGTTTTTGGCATTTAAGAGAACTCCTGTTGACAAAAGACATGTTTGAACAAAGCCCGTGAGACTCAGCAAGGCCTGAAGCTATTCCCCACACCCTGCTCATGCTTGCTCACACCGTGCAGCAAAGCTGTAGCCCGGCTTGGACCTCTCAGGAATCTGTAACTCCAGCTTTACAGGAGAAGCAGCTGCTGTAATCTTACATCTTCTTACAGGTATTCTGACTTCTCAGCCTGCACAATGAATGTTTGCATTCGTACTTCCCTCCAATTTTGACTTCTAGGAACTCTGCAAATACTTCTCCCTTCCAACACCCCATGATTTGCTTTGAAGTTTTGAGCACGAGGTGCACTCCCCATCCTCCTTATTCCCGGGGCCTTCATGAGAAATGTGGCCAGGACCAGCTGGTTTCCACCAGCAGCAAACACCTCTGGCGCATTCACAGCCAGATCAGGCTCTGGGGACTGAGCACAACCAGCCGGTGCTGTTCCTCCCACCAGGGCCTGTGGGCTCTCTGCCTAGCGATGGCTTTTCCTTCTCCCATATTTCATGTCCTTTCTGCTTCTGTTTCTTGGTCCCTAAGACTGTTTCGGGAGCTTTGCATAAACACAAACCTGCACAGCACACACCACATAAAAGCTCGCCTAACGATCTCCAAGGCCCTACAGACTTTTAAGTCGTAAGACCCCAACGTCTCACAAACTACAAGATGCCACAGAAGGACAGCAAGAGTCACCAAGGCAGCACCACAGCCTCAGACCCTGGCAGCAGCAGAGACTGCTCAAGAGAGAAAAGCTACTTCCACAGCTCTGCCTCAGAGCTTCACTCCTCTCTCTATTTCTATTGATGGCAAAGATTGGAGTGGGCCAAACGTTTGCCTTTGGGCTGAGGCCGGATTTCTAGAAGCCTCTGTTGGGAATATTGTGGTTGTTGCCAGTCCCACTTGATCTGGGGTGATGCTCTGGACGACCCCCCCCCCATGCAGCCCTGCTTTTCCTTGGCATGTGCCAGTGAGCAGGATGCCCGCGATGCCCGCGGACAGCGGGACAGAAGCAGCTCCCACCTTTTGGCTTGTACTCGCAGACGTAGCTGTGCTTGGCCATGCACAGGTCCGTGTTGCACTGGCCCGTCGGGCCCATGCGGACACAGTGGTCGGCGTTTGACGGATGCGGTTCTCCTGGCAGCCAGTTCTGACAGCTCTCCAGATTAAATCCTTCGCCTCTTTGCTGTGCTCCAGTGCTTGCAAAATCATTGAATCCAATCCAGACATCGAGGCTCCTTCAAAAAAAAAAAAAGAAGGGAGGGGGTGCGTGGTTCAGGAAATCGTGTGTATTAGAAAGATCTGGGACAGATCCCATCCACGGTCCTCTATGAAAATCGTAACATGACAATCATGCCTCTGTGATAATATTACCAACAGCTTCATAGGGTGTCACAGGGTGCATTTAACGGAACTTTTTAGTTACTAAAGGATTTCAGTATCCATCCTAGCACCAGAACCTGGCCCTTCCCTACCAGCTCCTTCACGGCACGCCGTCCGGCTATCTACCAGCCCTTCAAACCCCTGTCCTAAGAGCTGCAGAGAGCCGCCTGCCCCTTGGTAAGCTGAGGGGACAGCTGAGCCAAAAGGATCCAGGCAGAAAAATCATCACCACCCCCACAGCACAGAGGAGCTGGGTGAGAGAAGCAGCTCAGGGCACCACTGTGTGCAGCTGAGTCAGACCCTTGCCGATCGCTGCTCCACAACTTGAGGCACCCCATTCCCAAAATGCCAGTCTCTTGCACTGGAGTTACAAGAGGAGCCAGTTAAAGGCTCCGTCAGCACCACAGAGCTCGTGACATACTGGTAAGCACTGATTCATACCAGCCACAACTGGTACAGCACAGTATCAGAGAGGGTAATGAAACACAGCGGGGGGAGATGACACTGGCTGGAGAGGAGAACCACGTTTTGTTGTCTTCAGAAATTCCCAGCACTCCCTCCAGCGGCACATCTTCTGCTGCCCCAAGCTGAAGTTGCTCCCTTCCTATCAACCCGTTTATTAGTACCACCATGCTGCACATCTTCTACTGCCCCAAGCTGAAGTTGCTCCCTTCCTATCAACCCGTTTATTAGTACCACCATGCTGCATATCTTCTGCTGCCCCAAGCTGAAGTTGCTCCCTTCCTATCAACCCGTTTATTAGTACCACCATGCTGCATATCTTCTACTGCCCCAAGCTGAAGTTGCTGCCTTCCTATCAACCCGTTTATTAGTACCACCATGCTGCACATCTTCTGCTGCCCCAAGCTGAAGTTGCTCCCTTCCTATCAACCCGTTTATTAGTACCACCATGCTGCACATCTTCTGGTTCCCCAAGCTGAAGTTGCTCCCTTCCTATCAACCCGTTTATTAGTACCACCATGCTGCACATCTTCTGGTTCCCCAAGCTGAAGTTGCTCCCTTCCTATCAACCCGTTTATTAGTACCACCATGCTGCACATCTTCTGCTGCCCCAAGCTGAAGTTGCTCCCTTCCTATCAACCCGTTTATTAGTACCACCATGCTGCCTGGCACGCGGCGGGCCGGCGGGGCTGAGACCAGCGCTCCCGTGTAAACCCGACACAACGCAGGGAAGGGGGATTATCTGCAAACCAAGGAGTACCAGCAGGTTGACCTGAACCTCCGACCCCTCGCAGGAGAGCAGTCTGCTGAAATGGCCTGCCTGCACTGCAGCTTAAATGACCCCCACAGACATTTGCAAGCCTGTATTGAGTCATGACTTATGAGGAGTGCTATGGTCACACAAAACTGTCTGGAAAAGCTGCAATCCTTTAGAAAACTTTTGCTTTGTTTCTGCAGACCTGTGGAATTTGCCACTAGTCAATTCTTCACTGCAAGTGGAACTGGCACCAGTGCAGGGACGGTGCCAGGTACGGGAGCTCCAGTTCAAATCGGGGGATCTTTGATGCAGCTGCTGGGAGGTGATCAGCTCCTCAGCCGCCACTGAAAGGCAGCAGCCGCAGGGGGACAAGACACGGGCAGCAGAGGCCAAATCTGCAGGCAGATGAACCACCCCCACCCCCCCCCCCAAGAAACTGCCGGGATCATTTTAGGGAGATGAAATGTCCCTGCCACATTTGGAAACCGGCCGCATCCCAGCAGAGATTCTGCTGGAAAGTGCTGAGTGGTCTTTCATAGCCACAAGCAGCCTGGACAACTGTTTCTAATCGCACCCAGCAGAAAGTGAGGCATTTGTTCCATATTAACTTCTGGGGAGGGGGAACAGCTTCATCACAAACCCTTCAAAGCCCCCAGCTTCTTCTCCACGCTCCCTCCTGCGGGTTGCAATCAGTTCTGCTACGGCCTTGCCCCTCCGCGCCACTGTGCTCCCAGGGTGGTACAACTGCTCGGCAAAAAGCAGACCAGGGAGATAATCGGTGTCTCTCCACCACTAGGCTCAGCCAGATGAAATGATTAATGAGGTCATGCTGAAAAACGGCGACGAAAATAACTGTTCTGTGAATCAGTAGTTTTCATTGCAAATAAGATTAAAAAATAAATAACCGCTGTGCTCTGCTCTTGAACCACTGGCAGGGGATTAGGGAGAACAGGCTAGGAAACCGCCTGTTTGCTGCCATCAGTAAAACTCGATAGAGATTTTCCTTTTCTAATTCCAGCTATGATCTAACTGCAAGTCATCAAAAAAAAAAAAAAAAAAAAAAGAAGAAGAAGAAATAGGCTGTCTGTCTTGCTTCCCACCCCTGCCCTACTGCTTGGCCCGTTACCTTGCGGAGAGGAACAAGAGGACTTTTGACATCCTTTTTTGAAGCAAGAATTGAGCATCCCTCTGTCTTTGAGGAAGGATGAAGCTGCCCTGCTTGGGGCAGCAGGAGCAGAACGAAGCCTGAGGAGGCTTGGAAGGGGAGAGGGGCTCCCTGAGCTGCCTCTGAGGGGAAAAGGAGGGTCCCCAGGAAGGGGTGTGGGCTGGAGCACTCTGCTTCTGGAGGTGTGGGGGGGGACCTGCTCAGCACACACTGCTCCTGGGGAGGCCATCAAACGGCAGGAGCAGAGGAGAGGAGAGAGCGGCCCTCACTGCTGCGTGCTCTAATGGGAAACAGATTTCTGCTTCTGTCATTTTCCCACAAGAAACGATGGAGGCTGTATGTTCCAAAAACCTGCGGCTCGGTTGATTTGTCTTTTATCGCCAGGGAAATCGCATCCTGGAACTGCCTCATTCATGTTTATCTGAATGGATTAATAAAATAAATACATGAAATAAAGGGGGCCGGGGAGGAGAGCAACGTGGGGCAGCAGCTGGGAAACAGCTTGGGCGGCTCATTCCCTTCTGAGGTCTCATGATTTCCTTGCGCTGCAGTCCATCAAAAGCCCCTCACGCAAATGCCTGATAACTCAGAGCACCAAGTGACCCACGGAAGGGACAGACTCCTCTTCCCCAGAGCAGGGACCACGTCTGCAATCTCAGGATAAATCCCAGCGTGAAGGCAAGAGGGCGAGGATACAAGTTTGGGGAGAAGGGGCTGTCAGACCTTCGGCAGGACCGTTCGGAGTCTACGTCACACACAGCTGTTCCCTTTGCATGTGCTTTCTGGGCCGTGTTTACTCCGAGGCCATCTCCACCATCTGCATCTGGGAGTGCTGACAAGAGCTGTCAGGCCCCTGCAAGCTCTCCCGATCGTCCTCCCCCTCCAAGACAGCTGGTTGCAGAAAGGGCACTTAGAGGGGCGGATTTAATCAAAGGCTGACACTTTCAGTGCTCTCTGTTTATAAAGCCCAAGTCCTGAGGTGGAACAGATGCTGCTGGAGCCTGACACTCGGAGAGGAGCGCTGCTCCTTCTCCGGATGCCAAAGAAGAGGGGAAGGGGTCTGGGCTTCAGGCTGCAGCCGTGTCTGGACGGGCGCAGGATCCCAGCTGGATCCCACCCCTGCAGCCCTGGCCTGGGCTCTGCTTGATGCCACGGTGTCACGTGTGGGACAATCCAGCTGTAATTGTGCTGATGGAGGGAGCTGGTTGCAAGGTCACCCCCCAGGCCCTGCCCAGCAGCCAAGCACCCTCTGGACACGAACACCTGAGCCCTCCCCGCGCCCAACCCGAGCCTGCAGATTTTGCTGAACTCCCAGGGGGAAGGTCTGCTCAGCCCAGCCCTGTTTGCTCCTGACCCTGCACCTCTCTGCACCATTTCAGGTGCACCCACAGGCACAGATGTAGGGTACAAGATGCCCACCAGCAGCAAGCCCACAATTCCCGGTTCTGACTTCCAGCCTTTCTGCCCCATTCCTCTTCTCCCCTCCACAGCCTTTAGGCAAAGAAAGCCAAGTTCAGCAAGGGCTCAAGCTCTGCTTATTCCTCCTTTTTGCTCAGGAGTCTCACCCCTATCCTCTCCCCGTGTCTCTCCGGCCTGACTGGCTGCACTGGGCTGCCTGCAGGACCCTCCCTCCGGACCCCTCTGCAGATGTGACCCCCACGGACACAAGACCTGTCCCTAGGAAATCTGAAGCCTTACCCTCCTCGCTTACCTGATGACATGAGCGACCAAGAAGCTCTGGATCTCGGGGCTGCTCACAAAGGCCAGCTCTCCGTTGCCATGCTTCTGGCAGTGCTGCTGGGCCTCCAGCCACTCAGCCTTCTCCACCACCAGTTGGTAACAGTGGTTATTGCCCAGGAAAACCAAGCCATCAGGGGGGCACAGGGGGTGAACCGCTGCATGAGGCAGAAGAACAGAAGCATGATGTCCTTTCTACGGGCCCGCACACCCCAACCCGATCTGGGGAGCGAGCTCCAGGAATGTCCTGTCCTTGAGGCTGGTAAAAGCTGTCGAAGCGCGCTCTGTGCAGTCATCTTCTTGGCCCAGGACAGTGCAAAACTCTGCCTGCTCAATCAGGGGAGCAAGGAGCGCCCACAGGAGTCATCCCTCAGTCCTCCTTGGGAAGGAATGGAAAGGGAAGTCCCAGGACCCAGTGCCACCCTTCCCTTGCCCGGAACCCACCCAGCCAACCCTGCTTACCTCTGCCCAGCTCTGCAGCCTCTGCGGTGATGCCATATGACACCGTGAGGCCAGTGCCGCCTCTGTTGCGGATCCGTATGTCCAGACTCTCGTTTGTCTTGACCAAAGAAGGACACTGCAGTTCTAACTGCTGGGGTGAAGCCACCACCTCAATTTCGGCCTGCACGTGTAAGACCTTGGTGCCCACAAAGATGGTGGCAGTGACATTGTACCGCCCAGGTAAGGCATACACGTGGACAGCTGCGTTTCCAGTGGTGTTGAGAACCTCTGTCTGGTCCCCAAATTCCCACAGTAAAGTGCTGACAGCAATGGGAATACTGACGTTGAAGAGCACGGCCTGGTGTAGGCTGTACCGGGGCTGGAGTCCTCTGAAAGACACAGGCAGATGTGCCTGGAAGGGAGAGGGGACAAGTGATGGGCCATCACAGGCCTGCCCGGATAAATGCTCAGTGCAAAATGGCAAACAACCGGTGGAAAAGTTTGTTTCATGGGCAGTACCACACAAACACTGCCCCTCGGTGCTGAAAGCTCCATACTCCTGGTCTTCGGCGTAACAGAGAGCACTGCAGGTCTCCTCAGTGAGATTCCCAGGGTGAACAGACGTGAAGAGGATGACAAATTCAGCCCCTTCTGTGTGGTTGCTTGTCAGACACGTTATGTATTGAGCTCCTGGGGGACAGAACAGAAGATCCTCTTGCAAACTGACACTGGTGAAACCCTCCAAAGGACACCACCCCACACCCCTGGGAATGGACTTCTCCTGGGCAGCCGCTAGTCCAAGCATTTCCTTTCTGAGACTCGCCTGGGAAGTCTTTATTCCCTCAGCAACGATTTCCAAACTCTTTATGCTAATTAATGATGACAGAAATAACAAGCCAGTCACACAGATTTATGGAGCAGCAACATTCAGTAAATAAAACAGGTCTCTGGAGAGCCTGATGGTCCCATGGGACATGGAGCCACTGTCTGACCCTCTAAGGAGCCCAGATGACTAGCCGTCAAGTCAGACCAAGAGAAAAGGTTGTCCCTTGGCTGTACTTTGGCTTGGTCTGGTGCAGCACATTTCCCTGCAGGCTACCTGGGGCTTCCAGGCACAAGACTATAACCAAACACACTTGGGGAGCACATCGGGGGCATGGGGGAACCACCACTGGACTCTCCACCAGGCCCACGCTGGAGCTGGGCTTACACTGCAGCCACCGTCCTCCTTGGAGAGAGCCAAGAGCTCCCTTCCTACTTGCAGGCAAAATCTGGTGCTAGAAAAGAGAGCAACGTCACCCACAGCCTGCACCCAGGGGGTGTGGAAGGATGCACACGTATGCATTCATGGGAAGGATGCACAGAAACAACGCATGCCTGGTTACCCGGAGCACACACACACACACGTGCACGGACACGCAGGCACATACAACGACGGCGGCCACAACAGCCCTGTTCTCTGAGTTACAACTCATTCCCTGGAGTTTACTTCCCCCTCACTGGCTTGCAAGGGGGTGGGATGTTTCTCTGCCACAAACACAAGGCAGGGCCTCTGCCGCGCACACAGCCGCAGCCCAGCTGGGACTGCCTGGCCTCCGCTCCAGCTCTGCCCACGCAACCGAGCCATGTTTGCTCCTCTGTTTCTGCTGGTTGCTACAACATCTCCCCCCAAACATCCCAACAGCTCCAGCCTTGTGTGATCTTCCCATATCGAATCCATCCAACTGTCCGGCCTTCTCCAAGGAGTTCCTGCAAACGTCGAGCCACTTTTCTTAAGAAAAGTCCCGTGAGGAGGACCACAGCATGGGAACTACTTTGCTTTTTAACACCAGCCTGGTCATACTTCATTCCCTGCCAGCCAGTAACAACTGTCAGTAGCTGGCAGGCTGTCCCCAGCCTACTCCCATTCCACTGAATTACCCAGAAGACAGACTCACATTATTTCCACACTACCTTAAAGTAGTTCCTAAGAGGGGAACAACTAATTATCAAGGGGAATAACAGCGCCGGCGTTAGTCCCCTTGGTAATTCCTGCAAGGCTGGAGTAACTTTGCTGGGGCAAGAGGAGCAGCCACCACGCAGGTTTTGGCCCTGGGGAGCACTGCTCTTCACGAGGTGGCTCAGCTGGCTCCCACCAGCTCTAGTTCCCTCTGCCCTCATCACTGCACGCATTAAAGGAGATGCCTGATGCCTCTCGGCGGGAGGACTCGCTCTCCCTCTCTCTTTCTTACTTAGAGACAGCTGAGCATCCAGGCAGGATCAGGTCTGTCACCTGCAAAGACTCAACTCAGCACATCCTCAGGTCCCCTCAACTCCAATGAGATTTCCCTGCTTAAAGCCAGACTGTTAAAAGCTTGAGAGAACGACAGCCTAAGGCTGGAGCTCATGGAACTAGTGTCATCTGACGGCTGCCGAAGCTTGCTCTGTAAGGAGTTTGCTGATCCCAGCCTTGGTGTGACTGACTCAATCCCTACGGCACCAGGGCACAGTCACATGCTGCCGTGATTTGCTTAATTAGATTAGAACTGGTGACTCGAGGTCTGAAGAGGCCTCGATGTGATCGCCAGCTGCCCGCGGGCCCATCGTTTCCACTGGTTTCACCATCTCCCCCACCACAGCCCGCAGCGTTTCCTTACCGCAAGTGGCATTGACGAAGGAGACATCGAAGAGGGACAGGTTTGCCACCTCGGGAGGGTGGGAGCATCTCGTATCTGACGCCTGAATAACTTTCACTTTTCTGTCTTCCACCCAACGGGGCAACCAGGAAAGTTTGCAGTCACAAACAAATGGATTCCAACTTAAGTTTCTGTAACGGGGAGATCAGACAAAAGTTAGGCATTAACTTGACATGTGCTAAGTGTTAATTACAGCAGCGTGCAGATCCCTCACTGCTCCCATCTGCGCCACTCCACTGAAATGCTTCGGAAAGAACTGTGAGGGGAGTTAATGAATAGGGAATCAAGCAATAATTAACATGATTTTTCTAGAGGCTAGAATTAGGCAAGTACTCCAAGTACTTTTTTAACTCTACAAATAATTGTTGCAATTAGAAGCAAATTACAGACACAATCTTATATTTAAAATAGTCTGCCATCTAACAGCCATTGGATGTAATGGCAGCCTCTCCAGCTAAGGGAGACTATTTACAGCTCCATTAAAAAATAGCTAAGAGAATAAAATTGATCTGTCAAAAAAGAAATGCAAAGTCAATGATAATCCTTCCATGTGGCAGTTTAATGAAAAGATGGAAACTTTAATTGCAGCTAAGCTTGATCCAAATTACAGCCTTTGGCATTCAGCTGCGAACAGGACAGAGATGGAAAGCTGTTTGTTTAGCTGACGCCAGCTGGCCTGGGCTGCCGCAGGGGCTGAACCCAGGATTTTCATACTGAAAGCACCACTTTGCCAGCCAGCCTTCGCAGGGACAGACTCACTTGGACCCAGCCTGGAGCCTCTGTGTCTTTTCAGTGCCACTTGTAAGCGAAAATGCAGAGCTGAAAATGCCCTTTGTGTCCTGTCTTCAGAGAGAATGTGTGGCTGAGCTCTCTTCTTGCTTGCCAAGAGCGACTGCACAGGGTTAATCCTTTGGCTCGTTCAGATACAGAATTTGCTACTCTGTGCTGTGACTTCATGTATGTTCTCCTGGAAATGTGTGGTTTCCCCTCGCCTCCCTTCACATAACGGCACAGATTTTCATTACTTCCATTAAAAACCACCATAGGCTTAACAACTCGAATCACTTAGGGAGAACATCTTCACATGTCTTCAAGTGACTTAGACACCTCAGTCAGGGTCTCCTGTTTTGCAGGTCAGTGCCCTTTTCGTTAGATCCCCCAGTCCCCAAGTGTGACCATACAAACAGGAACAATAAGTGTGACCCAGAGGATGGTCAGAGACAAGAACCTCAGCAGAGCTGGTTTAGGAGAGAAGCAGGGAAGCCAAGAAGGCAGCGACAGAGCTTGGAGGTATCCAGGAGACAGAAGCAAAGTTTGGGAGGAGGTCAGGCTCAAAGGGCACCAAGAGGAGCCAGGAGCAGGACACAGCTTGAGGAAGAAACTGGAGAGAGTCCAAAAGGCAGCTGCTTGGTTGGGTACGTGCCCCAGATCTCCCCAAGACAGTGCTGCATCCCACCCCACCGGGAAGGGAAAGCTGTTCAAGGAAAGGTCTAAATGAAGACCTGGGAAACAAAGAGGATGAACTTACATTTCACTTAAATTAAATAAATTATCAAATATTCCATCTTCTAATGTAGAAATCTGGTTGTGGCTTATATCTCTGTAAAAGAGGGAAAATGAAAAGGAAAGTTCAACATGCTGGTAACAACTTCCTGGCCAACATACAGGATCAACCTCTGTCCCAAGCTCTGCTTGGGAACTAGTTACCCTCTGAGCACCTTGAGTCTCAAAAGCCACATGCACATGATAGCAAAATGTCCAGCCAGGCACTAAGTTACAGAATCACAGTGTGGCTGAGGCTCGAAGGGACCTCTGGAAGTCATCTGGTCCAACCGCCCTGCTCAAGCAAGGTCACCTAGAGCGGGCTGCCCAGGACCACGTCCAGACTGCTTTTGTGTATCTCCGAGGATGGAGACACCACAGCCTCTCCACGTAGCCTGTTCGCATGCTCGAGCCCAGTTCCAGTGCTCCAAGTCCTTCCAGAAGTCCTCCTTTTAGGAGATTTTTGAGGTGTAAAGATTGCAAGCTGTCCAGGCTGCCAGCTACTTGGTTGGAGCCACCAAAGCAGGTTTTGGTGCTGGCTGAATTGGTGCCCTTTTTGACCTGACAGTCCAATTTTTCTTTAAAAAAACAGTTAATCTTCTCTATGAACCATCAGCAAGTAACAGTGCAAACTGATCGGCAGCTGAACTAGTGAGTTTACTAGTGGTCAAAGCTCTCCTCCTGGCCCACAGAGAGTCTGGGCAGTTTTAGTGAAAGGGGACAGCTCAAGCTGTGGGGAGCAGTGGGACATCGGGCCTTTCCCTAACTAGTGCCGGGCTCCTCAAAGGACCCTCACACTCAGTACTCAATTCCCTCTGAAGATAAGTGGGACCTGGACGTGGCAGCTTTACCATCATTTTCCACGTACTAACAAACATCTCGCGACAAATCTCAACCTCTCGCCTCGATCTCCTCTCTCTATGCAGCAGCCCAGCGGGTCAAATCCTGCCCGACTCTCTGAATGCCAACAAGCGAATCACCGGGCTGTGCAGCTGAACGCCTTGAGGAGAAAGTCCACGGACACATCTGCCTGGGGCTCGACGGACAAGGTCAAGCAAGAACAGGGCTAACTTGTGACACACAAGCAAGGGTTCTGGGTACCAGCTCAAATGTGCACGGTGAGCTGGAGGACTGGTAGGGCGCACTGGGTACTTACAGTTGTGCCAGAGAAGTCAGGCTTTCGAACATCTGGACATCTAAATCACCGATCTTGTTATTGGAAAGATCCCTAGAGAAAGAAGACACGTTTTTCAGCTTTTGTTCAACCTCATTTTGTCATTCCTCCATTACCAGACCTTAGAAGAGCCTTTCTCCAAACGCCACCCAGGCTCTAGAGCAGAAGGTTTTGGTGTGTTAAAGCGGAGCATTGCTCCCAGCCAAGGAAAGCACCTTTCCCAGCTGTGAAGCACTTGCCGCTCAAAGCTTTGTATAATGTGCAGACACAGGTTAGGACTATCCTTATATGCCTATCGTTCTGCAGCATATCCAGAGCAATTACAGACATGACAAATGTATTACTAAATTTGATGTATCCTTTAAAAAAAATATCTCAGTCTAATATATGTTCAAAGAAGGAATTAAGAAATAATTTAGTCTAAAGTAGTAATTAACTTAGAGAAAAAAATATGAGGAACTTCTAAGCCCGTTTCTAGTGCCAAAGAACTCATCACTAGTTACACAATTGATGAGTTCAACTTTTACATTTTAAAGATCTATCTGTCTCACTTTGGAAAAGCTTAAAAGGAAAGAAGTAACAAAGAATATTTTCCATTTATAATCAGGTTAGATTCCTTATAAAAGGAACGCTGTTTTAAGAATTCTCTATTTGCTCCCTGTAACACTAATAGCTTTCAAGTCATCCAAAGCAAAATTGTTTCTGTCCTCCAGTCCAGCTCTCTTTTCACCCTATGTTCTCTTTTTCAATTTTAAAATGTCACTCAGCTAAGAAGTGAAAGTTTCGTGGATCGGTCACCACTTTTTCCCAATAAACTTCACTCTTTGGTTTCAGATGAATCTCCTTTGGCCAAAACCTTCTTTCAGCAGCATCAAAATACTCATTCTGAGCCCATGCAATAGTTATTATCCTTCAAGGATTTCTGGCAGACCTCCGGGGCGGTGGACAGGGCTGGATTCACAGCCGTGCCGTGTCAACATTCTCCTGCCCACCTCCTTTCTCACCTTTTTTCCTACAATCATCTCCCATAATTTCTCCTTGTTGTCTCACCTCTTCTTTTCATCCCCTAATCAATACATTTTTGGTTAGATCTGACGTTTAAACTTAATCTATTTGAATGAAAAGAATTCTGCCAAACTGGCAGGAAAATGACATATCATTCCAGGAAACTCTGGGGATAAGTAACAGGGATGGATGTCTTTTCAAGAGGTTTGAGTTTATTTTCCCTGACTTGCTGTCCGGGAGTTCTTTGCCAGGCTGAGAGTGGATTCAGAATAGTTCACCAGCAACACCAGCAAAGAAGTCCAAGAAATGTGCAAAACAAAAGCTCAACAAATACACTCAAAAAAAGGATGCTACCAAAAATATTTGATCAAGCCAGTGCTCTTTTCTCTCAGGGCAGCTCAGACAACAGTTAAAGAATACAGAGCATCCTTTGCTGAAGTGACACAGACCACATGGGAGTCACATTCTGCACAGGGGACATGAAAGTCACCTCCAAACGCGTTTCCAGCTCCCACTTGCAAGACAAACACACAAGACATCTTGGACTGGAATCCCAGCGGCTCCCAGCCCGGTCAGATCCCTCCTTGCGGAGGCTCCCGCTCCACTTCTTGAGCATTTTCTGTAAATTGTACTTCTCTGCCTCTGCACCTTCTTGCATTACTTGACCAGTTTTGGAAAGGACCAGACCGCAAACCAGCTACCTCACAGGGAGACCAGTACAACTACTTTCTTCTCTTTTGAAATACCTGGAAATAACCCATTTAGTTTTTAGGCAGCACCTCAAGCCCAAGACAGAAGGAAATGGTGTTTCAGCTCTGATGCCTTCTTGCTCCTTGCCCAGACAAGAGAGACCTCCAAAACAAACCATCCTGCTGCTACAAAATCAGGGCTTTGCCGTTTCAAAGAGCCTCTTCAGAAGGGCGGCTTGGCCGCGTGGAGAAGAGAGCGCGCAGGGCTGGGTGAAGCTCTCACCATCACAGATGGCACCACAGGGAAAGCGGGCACCTGAGCCAGGCAGGGCACTGGGACACCCAACCTCAAGCCCAGCTGTCTTCTCTGCAGCTTTCTGCAGCTTTCTCTCCATCTCTCCCATCTTGCTGCTTCCCAGGTAGGAAGGGAAGGACTACAGCAAGGCAGGTCTGCTGGTCTCCATCCCTCTGCCACAGCGCCGGCTACGGAGGGCCTGGCTGGTCCTGAGCCTCCCCCAGCCCTTTACAACCCCCCCCCTTATCATTATTTCCATTTTACCTCAGAGAAAGCTTTTAAACTTCAGATAAGCAAAGGCTAAGACCCCAAATCTGCAATTCCCAGGGTCGGTCAGCTTCATTCCCCCTCAAGAGCAGGACCAGGGATGACTGTGACCTGGTACCAGCTCCAGGAAGATGCTCAGTGGCAGAGCTGCTCCCAACCGGCCTCAGCAAACAGGTAAAGTGTAAATACAGGCAGTAATCCCCCGCTCAGCGCTGGTTTTACACAGCGTGTCGGACTGACACTAGATGTCACTGCCTGCTGAGCGCAGACTCGGGGGAAGGAGCTCCTGGTGAACGGGAGCGATCCAGCGGGGACTCGCGGGGTGCAGGACGGCTGGTGCTGCGGCCATGGCCAGCGGGTTTTGCTCAGGAAGGGCCGGGAGGACCTGTCCCCCATAAACTACAAAGTGTCCACCCTCAACCCTCTCATTGGCTCGAGGGACGGCGGTGCTTTGTACGGCCCCAACGGCTTGTGAGGGCATCAGGCCACTCGATGCGTGTCCCTGTCGCGTCCCTGCGAGCCTTCACCGCGTCACAGTGCAAGGGCTGGAGAGGAGGGCTCCTGCGCCTTTCTCCTCTTCTCCTGCTGGCACAATTTGGCTGCCATTCTGCACACACCATCACCAAGCTGATGCTGCCAGGCATTACCTGCTGAGCTCACCCATCTATCCGGCACCCACCACTGTCATCCAAAGCCAACACTGACCCTCAGCCCAGCAGGCAGAGAAGCTCCACCACGTGGGCTTCGAAGCAGAAAGCTGGGGCTCAGGTCCCAGGAGAGGCTGCTTCAGAGGCTGCCAGATGCTCTGAACCTTTGGTGGTTGTAATTAACCCAAGCCCTGTCTACACCCTGACACTATGTCACTTAACTACAACTCACACGCTTTCCAGGGGATCCCAAGACCTTGGCTCCCACCCTCTGTCTTCCAGAGCTCCCATCCAGCACCCGCAGACGCTGCTGAACTCCATCCAGACCAGGCACCAGATGGCAACCCGCCGGTACCTACAAACTGGAGCCCAATCCCCTTGCTATTTTCTACCCTTGCCTTCATGATCTGATGAGCAACTGGTAGAAAACCTCCCAGCTTTCAACGTCCCCAGACCTCCTTGGTGCAGAGCCTGCAAGGGAAACAGAGCTCCCGTTGACAGGACAGCTTGGAGAAGCAAGGGAAGGTGGTGGATGCCAGCGCCTGGCACTTCCAGCCGCGAGTCAGTGAGCTGGGCTTCCAGCTGCCTGCCTGCCTTCTCCCACTGGTCCCTCTCCAACTTGTATGGAAAATCATATTATGCCTTCCTGGCATGGGAAAGATGGCTGTGAACCAAGCTAGGTTGCAGGAAAAAAAAAAAAAAAAAAAAGAATAATAATAAAAAAAAAAAAGAAATCAGGAAATACTGAGCAATAAAACCCAACGCAAAGGTTGTGGGACAGAGCTCAGCCTCTCAGTGCCACAAACTGCCACGACTGTATTTTCCCAGCCCACTGCCAGGCTGGAGGAAATTCAGAGCAGGTTCAAAGCAGAGCTGAAGCCAGCAGAAAACAAGGCTCTCCATTGAAATGCACTGTGCACGCAGACTGCCGCCCTCTCCATGAGAAGAAAGAAAAACTTAGTTTATTTGCACCATGGGGGGATACTGAGAACACGCTGTGCTGCCTGAAAGAGGACAGCTATGGGCAAGTCTAAACTTCTCAATCCTGCCTCAGTTTCCACACCTCTAAAATGGAGCAGTGCAATGCCAGAGGCTGGGAGGGCTGGCCCACTTCCCTGCAGAACTCTGTGGAATGTGGGGCACCAAAACCCACTGACGACTACGCTATAGAATATGTGGTGTGCAAAAGATGCCTTACAGACAGCTCCCCTTGCAGCTCCCCAAGTGCCCCAGCAAACACTCACACATTTACCTTACATCTCTAGCAAAGGAATATTTCAAGAAACCTTCTCTAGGAGTGGAGCTGGTCGTGTGGGCAAGGTGAAGCTTCAGATGTGGGAACATTTGGGAATGAGGACGTCAACCTGAGCCTTGGGAGCCTTCAGCTCCATCCCAGCTCCTCTATCAACTCCCTGTGTGATGCTGGGTGAGCCAGTGAGCCCCCCCAGAGCTGCCTGTACCGCAGGGATGAGAGCAGCCCGCGGGCGGGGGGCCGGAGAGGTCACAAACACGGCCAGCGAGGTCTCCTGCAGATGGGGCCGGGTAACTTCTGGGGGTAAAAAGCATCGAGCACTGGCGTACCCCCACACAGCTGCTGCTTTCTAGTGACGGCAGCGAGCAGCAGGGCTTGGTGTCACCCCCTTTGTCCCTTCCTGATGCTCAGACAGGCTCCACAGCCCCGCAGCTGCGAGCCCAGGGCAGCCCAGGGTTTTTTTTTTTTTTTTTTCTTTTTCCTCGGCGCTGTGGTGGACAGGCTTTTTTTGGTGCACTGCTGTTTTTTTCTTAATTCCAACAGAACATATAATGTTGAGCAGAGTATAGCACGCCTCCGCCTGCCAAGCCTGATGTCATGCTCTCATTATGTCATTTGTGGGCCCGTTCTGCCTTCATTTCACAAAAAAGGGAGGGAAGGGAAGGGAAGGGGGGGCAGTGCTGGCTTGTGCCTTCCCTAGCCCTTTTGGTGCGTGGAGCCCAGCCAGAACAGTAATGGGAAAAGCATCCACAGACGGCGAGCAGCGTCTGTGTGGAGAGGAGCCTGTGTGCAGGCTGGGGGAGTCACAACAGTTCAGTAGAAAAGAAGCTCCAGGTCTGTAAGCCATGATAAAAGCTAAGATTTCTGTGGGTCAGTGAAGTTCCAGAGGTACTAGGGAA